TCACTTTCATCATTTCCCAAGTGGCCACTAGTCCTTTGTTGGCCTCTGTTGTTCTCTACCAAGACTTAACATTATCTGCTAAGTATGGTTTTGCACATGGGACCTTTTCCAAGCTCGGTAACTGCAATGCTCGGAAGTAATCCTCCATATCGTAAAACCAATCCTCCACCATTTTATAGTCATTCACTTAAAGACCGGTGGGGGCTTTGATTTGTACTTGGGAATTGCTTAGGGGACTGATTCCACTTTGGTTTGTTCAACCTTATTTGGTTCCGCCTCATTCCCTACTAAAGGGTCCATGCATTTTGCACTGCTGGCCTCTTTTTGCTTTTACTTTTGCTTGTCGTCACACTTTAGTTTGCATACCAAGGTCTCTAGCAAGACATTAGTTTATGCCAATTGTCCTTCTAGAACATTCAATCGAGCTTTGGATGACCGAACTTCTCCATCAAACTCCTATTTGGAAGATTCCTCACTAGAGTCTTCCTCATGCAAGGATTCCTCATCTATAGCTTTTGGTTCGACTAAAGGCTCCAACTTTGGAGGAGGTTCCGTCTTCGCCTTGGTTCTCTTATGCCCTGTCTTAGCCATCTCCTAGCAATCCACCTTTATCCTTCACTAGAATTAAGGAAAAGGCTCCAATACCAAATTGTAAGTCACAAGTTTTCCCTTTCCAATTTGTTAGTTTACCTTTTCTATCCAACCACCATGGCCTTGCCCTTAGTTAAGTTCACTTGCAAAGGTTCTTGCCTATTGTATCAGCTCCCACTTGGTCCTATTTAGTCTCAGCAACTCATTATATAAGCAACAGAGCATTAACCATACTATTAGGATCTTATCCCTTACACCCTAAGCCAACTAGCTAAAGGGGTGATCACTTGATTGCAAAGCCCTTTCTTTATCCTATGATACTGATTAATTAAGTTCCCTCACAAAGGTTCCTACTTTTGTACCAGCTCTTACTTATTGTACCAGCTCCTATTTGGTCCTATTTAGTCTTAGCAACTCACTACATGACAAACAGAGCATTAGCCATACTATTAGGATCCTACCCCTTACACCCTCCCTTCGTCAGGGAATGATTGTCCACAATCATACTTAGGCCACCCTTTAGTCACCATGGTCCTTCTCTCAGGGTCTACCAAACCTCCCTCTAGATTCACCATATTGAATATTCCTTTAGAATATTCTTGCCCCCACTCGTCAAACAGAAGAATCGAACTAGGCTCTTATACCAATGTTAAAATGCTATCCCTTACACCCTAAGCCAACTGGCTAAATGGGTGATCACTTGATTGTAGGGTCCTTTCTTTATCCTATTATCCTAACTTGGTGCCTAACACATATCTTGAACTCCATTTCAGGTCCATTTTAGACTCCATCTTTAGTTCATCTTGGACTCTATCTTGGGTCCAACTTAGATTCCATCTTTAGTCCATCTTGGACTCTATCTTGGGTCCAACTTAGATTCCATCTTAGGTCCATATCAACCTTTATCTCGAACTCCATCTCAGGTCGATCTCGGATGTTAGAGGAAGGAGGATGCCTCCTCCAAAAGTCGCTCAAACATGAGAAATACTCCAATGCTCTTCACAAATGCCCCCCCCCCGCCCCACTACCCTTGTGGGGCAACAGTTTTATACAAGGAAGATAGGAATATTTTGAGGATTAGAATATTCCCTCTCTCTCACACTCTTTAAGTGTCCATGCCCTAGCATGCAACTACAGTGGATCGTGCTGATTCCATATGCGCGAAAACCCTCTAAAGAGTGTAGAGTGTACCTCAACTACTGCTGCTGCTAAAATGGAAGGAGATGTAGGCTTATATAACCATTGACCTTCAGAGGTAGAGTAACCACTAATCTCTTGCAATAATCAGCACCCAATAACTAATAACCAATAATCGATAATTCCCTACTCTCACTCTTACTCTAGTGCCTACTCCAACACCAACTCCTACTCCTGCGCCTACTCCAGTGCCAACTTCTACACTTGCTCCTACTCCTGCACCTCCTCCTGCTCCTACTCCTACTCCCTAAAGGTTGTTTCTTTCCCAAGAAACTCTCACCAAAGTTTAGCCCAAAAGAGAAAAATGAGTACTTTGGTCTCAATTTTTTACCATTTTAATTGTAAGAAGGCTTGTTGGAAAAAGTGTAGCCCCATCTACCACAGTACTCCAAGAATTTGTGATGAAAATGCCTTAATATCCTGCGAGATCCAAGAAAATATAATTTAGAACACCAATTTTGTGAAAAAAAACATCTACATGTCACCAATCTAGATCAATACCAGGTGCTGTTGATATTTTCAGAAAGCCTAGGACCACAAGCACCTCTAAAAACAAATGACATGCAAAACAAAGTTTGGAAGAGCATGAATTTTTGCTGCAAAGATGCCCTTATCTAGCCAAAGAAGAAAATTCTTTTGTATGCCACAAATTTTTTTAAATCCAACACCAAAAATCACCTCTACTTATAGATCCAGGCTATATCTACAAACCCAAATGTACTGTTTAGAGAAATTGGGCCAAGAATCTAGACAAGAAAGGAGAAACCCCAAAATGTTCACTCAACTGAGTCAAGAAACATTGTATCTCCGCAAGGCTTAATAAGCATTATACATTGCCAAAAAGAAGAGCTTAAGACCTATCCAATGTGCCTAAGATCAAGCAAAACCACTACAAGACGAACAAGAAATTGCTCTTGAAATTCTGTGGCCCAAAGAAAAAGAGAAAAATTATGTAATAGAAAGCACTGTATATCACATTGGGTTCACCATTTGTTGGGGGAAAAAGGGGCACCTCCCTTAACACTTGCTCAAACACAAGAAATGCTCTAATGCTCTTCACAAATGCCCCCAACCCCCCCTCCCGCAAGGGTTTTATACAAGAGAGATGGGGAATATTTTGAGGATTAGAATATTCCTTATCTATCTGACACACTCTCTAAGACTTATTTTTGACACTTTTATATGTTATGACATTTGCCATGTGTCAATCCTTTTTATATCCCTTTTTAGAGATTCATTCATAGATTGTTCTGTGTTCATTCCTCAAGCACTTTTTTTGGAGTTCCACTCCTACTCTTGACCTTCCAAATTAGAACTTTTAGTCAAAACATGTTATGCTTGTTAGACTTCCACTTCAACCACTACCATATAGCACCTTTTCAACTCCATTTTAGGGCATAAGGATTTGTGCCTCACACAAGAAACTTCATAAATATATTGCTCGTGATCATATAAAGATGATATAAAAGTCACAATGACTTAATCATCAATCGAGCAATACCATGAACAAGCCTATATTGTTACTTCAAAAGTTTACATGAGTATCAAGTGCCAACTCAATTCAATAAAATGTAACATAAATGCCATACCTTATCAATAGAAATTTACAACACTGAACACTAACAACTTTGTTTACAACACGGATAAGCTCATGCCACTTTCTATTCGACCAAACTCAAAATTAATCTAACACCAAACTACTAACCCATAGCATCCACCAACGAACGTAACCACTCAAGGAAAAATGCCTATGCCCTGTCCAAAAGGAGACTCGGACAACACCACAAAGTCGGCAAACTTTCCTGGCGTCAGCGACCCAACCAAATCCTCCAATGCAGCTGCACACACAGCCGAGGATGTGTACCTGAGTACCAATGCTACACTCACAACAATGCTGCTCTGAGTCTGGCAGCTTTGGGAAAAGGATTTGGCTTAGAATATCACTGACCCGGCCAATTGAAGCAGTGCCTCCTGTCAGCAAGCATAAGCCACAGGTACACCTGAAGATCCATAAGCTGGCAAAGCTTGCAGATCTCTATGTAAGAACTCCATTCGAACGTCATAGATACAGCAACCAGTGTTGAAATCCAACAAGCTGGTTTAAAACTCCAATACCATTTGGGAGAAAATGCTACAATGCCCTTGCCGAGAAACATATGCAAGTTTCTCTACCAACCAAAGATTTCGTGATATGTGGATGGTCACAACAAATGTCCTGGTACAGCTCCTCTTGTTGATAGAAATAAGAGAAATGAAGAAAAGAAAACAAACAAACCTGACTCTTCTCAAGGTAACGTTGCCCCTCTCAAAGCCTAAGAACATCTTTGGTTGGTAGAGAAACTCGCATATGTTTCTCCCAACATTTCGCAAGGGCTTGGATTGTAGCGTTTTCTCGGTAAGGGCTTGAATTGTACCATCGTCCAATGCATCACATTGCTGCTTGCGATGGTGATCGATCCATTTCTTCTTCCTGTGAGAATTTCTTGGTGCTGAAGAAGCCTCTTGTTTCTCACCCCAATCATAGATGAAAGCACACTATCTCGAACCAGCATTTGTATTACCGCCTGCTTAGCTGCTCGCTGATCATTGTTACGATCCATGCAATGCCGCAAATTTGTGAGTGCGAATCATTTCCCACAAAGTTCCTCAGATCCAGCCTGGTAAACTCCTCCACGAGCGCTCTCATCTGCCTACGCCTAATTCCAACCTGAGCAGCACTGCTCTCTCTCACATTCTGCATCTGCCATGGAAAACATCCCCTACCATAAACAACAGCACCTGCATTCCAAGCTAGAAGTATACACGCATGACATCATATAATTGGCTCATGGCTTGTTGGCACGGAACACCCGTAAAGGAGAGATTCACTGCTGGCGAACATCCCACCGGGGAGCCGTAGTACCCCATGTCCGGCCATGGTTAGGACCAAGGTACTTGTAGGTGGTTACCCGAAGTAGCTCATGTCTCTGACCACAGCAAAGGGCATGGTCTGTGATTTATAAGGTTGACACTGAGTAGGAGGTCATCCCGTAAAGAGGAAATTTGCATCCCCCAGAGAGTGTGCGCTTCTAGAAATATTTTGAAAGCATCCAAAACTTCAAAGAAGGCTTTTGATGAGAGGACAAGGGAAGAACTAGCTAGAGGCATTTGGAGACATCCAATTGATGCTTGCAGTTGCAAGTGAACAAATTAAGTATATCTGTACGGTAAAGTTAAACGATAAGAACCTCATTGTAAAATTAATAATATCTATTTTCCACGTCTCTCTCTCACCTGATCTTTGCCTCTATTGCGCTCACGGTAATCCCTCTCTTTGTACCTATCACTGTCATACCTTTCTCGGTAACTTCTACGTTGACCCTCGTCACTGCTGCGAGCGCCATTGTGATCTTCTTTGTTGCGTTTGTCCCTTCGAATCTCTACGTACCCTAGATCTTCTTTGTCCCAGCCAACGGTACCTAACGACTGACCTGGAGCTTCACCTTGTTTAGACTTGAGGCGAAACTTTTTCTTGAGGTTGCCAAACTCGTCGTACATTTCACCGTCATCCTGTGCGCAAGGTGACGTGTATAGCAAATGAGACGAAGCGTGCGTACCTCCTCCAACTCTTTTCGCCGGCGTTTCGTCTCTTCAATTTCGGCTTCATCGAACTCTTTGTAGCCACCCGCGCGCCCTTCCCTGCCGCAGATGATAGGGGGAGTGAGGCACAAGGTTGACAAAATTTTACTTACCGGACACCACCTTCCGTGTGGCCTGGCTTGGTCGTGTTACAAATGTTGCACTTGGTCCGTTTGGCCCAGTTGGTATTTCCACACCTAAGATACCAAACAAGGACAAACCGTGAGAATGAGGAGACGAGCAAAGCAGAGAGCTGACATTGGGCAACTCCAGTCATTTGGGCCGAAAATACTGCCGCGTCCACCACGGCCGGCGGAGTCGGCACCACGTCCTCTGCCACGCCCACCTCCACCCCCTCCACTCCCACTCGATGGCCGTGATGCGCCACAGCGGTTGCAGGAGCCTCGAAACGCAAAGTTTATGTTCCCACAACTGGCAGACCAAGGCACGGCCAAAGGATAAGAAAGTAGCAAGGCAGCAAGCGCGCAGAGATGGATGCACAGCCACCTATACTTCCCATGCACAGAGACAGAGACAGAGAGAGAGCTGATTGAGCTGCTCACCAAGTTCAACAGACCTTGGATTTGGACATGGCCAATCCCCTTCCTGTTGCCAGCATTTGGCGCTCGCAGCGGCGTCACCACCACGTCCACGTCCTCTGCCACCATCAGCCGCCGCATCGGACGCGAGCTCGCCAGCGCCACCAAGCCCGTCACCCACCTCTGGGGCGGCAGGCGGCAGTGGGAGTGGAAGAGTGGGCTCCGCAAGCACCAGGAGTTGCTGCTCAGTGGCTGCGTCTCTCGCCTTGGACTCGGCAATGGAAACTCGAATCAAGTTGCCGTGGAACTCCTTGTTGTCAAACCATTCTACGGCGGCCGAGGCAGCATGTGGATCTTCGTAAGTGACAGTGGCATCCCCCTTGGGTTCATTGCTGGCCTTGTCACGGTATATCCAGATCTTGGGCCGTCCGTGCCGCTTGTCCTTCTGCACGCACCGCTACCGCTCAACTTAAAGAGGAGAAAAGCCCGTCCGCAATGCACTGTGCCTACCTTGATGACCCCAATCTGTCCAAAGTGCTCTGCCAGCAGCGCCTCATCGGTCCCGGCAGGCAGGTTACAGACGTAGACGGAGCTGGTCGCTTGCGGGCCTCCCCGGAGCCCGATCATGGTGCCGCGCCGCGCCCCGCCCCACCCGCCGCTGCCCTAGGAGTGTCTCTAGGGTTCCTATCCCGTTTTGCTACTCAAGAAGATAAAACAACACTGTCTGCGGTTGTGCATCTTCTCCCCCCTCCGCGCTTTCTGTGTCTAGGTAGCTATAGCAAGAAATGCCGTCAAGAAATGCCGTTTTGATTTAACTTGCTACCGCACTGTGCCGTGGGGGCTCAAGGAAGGTGGTGACATGCCTGAGAAAAATACAAAGGTTTGTTCCACAGTAGCTCTCCAACCTTTGTTGTGTAAATCTAAGCAGGCATATGGAGCGGCAGCGGCTTTTTTCAATTCCAGTCTTCCAAGAAGGGTTGACATCCTTGTCCCAAATGCAACATTGCCACAAGAACCAAAGAACCCATGCAAAATGCTAGATGCCATCACCGCTTTGCTTCATGACGAAATCAAGACCAGGATTGTAAGTGGCTTTTAGTTGCCAAAGTAAGCACAGCATTGAGCGGGTGGCTGGAATTTCAGCATGAGCTGAATGCAACTATTGAGCCACGGTTTGGTAGCTTTGAGCGTGCTCTTAAGAAAGCAAGAAAGAAGATGGAGGCAAGTCGTGCTAATCCGCTCCGCTGGCAGTATTTATGTTGCAATCTTATCAGGCCCAGCTCAGTGGCGCGGAGAGACGCATCGGTCTTCTCGAGGACGTGCTCTGTTCGAATGTAAAGTCAGTTGAGTGGTGGCGTCACTTGTCACTCTTCATGTTGCAGGAGCGGCTCCGTGGCACAGAAAAGAAGAGCTTTGAGGGCGGTCCTCGCCGGCTTGATCATGAGCATCACCGTCGTGTAAGTTCGTTCTCTCTTACAGATATTGGTTATGTTGGCACTTTGTGGGCAGAGAGAACTGAGTACCCCAGAGTTGATTGCAACGGTGCGGGCGCGGTGCAACAAGACCAACGAGGTAGTTCCATATAACACACGCAGAGGCTGATTATATGCTCCATGCAGCTGTTGGTTTGAGGTGACGGCGGGGGCAGCGGCGCTAGAGCGAGTCAGGTAACGAACTTTTGGCACCTGGTGTCATTGTGGACGGTTTGGCAGTGGCAGGAGCAGAAGCGAGCAGCGCAGCGTGGGCATGTGTAGTTTGCACTGTAGCCACACACCGCGCAAAAGTGACGCCTCGACGCCCGGCTTGGCGGCCCAACGCCGGCCCTCACGTACGACGGGACATGAGGCGGCAACGATTCCCCCAGGTTGGCCTAGCGAGAGAGAGCATGCCATGAGAGATTGAGGTGTGAGAGACACCCACCACATACCTCTTCAAGGAGGTCGAGGAACGACTTGGGCCCCTTGCTGGCACTCCTCTCCAACGCCAAGGATTGCCTCGTCTTGCGCTTGCTTCCTTTGGGTGGTCGCTTGTGGACGAACACTGGAGTGCGCAACATTGAGAGCGTGACAAGGGAGAGAGAGAGAGAGCCCCACCTGCATCGTCGTCGCCCATGAAGTCATCGTCGTGCTGAGCCTCGGAGGCAGCAGCCGCGACAGCGTCCATTGCAACGTTGTCATTCTCGAGCGCGTCCAGGCGAGCTTGGATGGCCTATACACACATGGGATGAACGCCAAGGGGAGACTGACTACCTGTTGCCTGGCGTTTGGGTCGAGCAGAGCCTCCTCGAGCCTGGCGCCAAGCTTCCGGATCCTGGTGGACGACCTGCGCGGAGTGGCCGCATCCTCGACCTCCATCACAAGGAAACCCTAAGGCAATGGCCAGCTTCCGGGACTTGAGCCGGGCGTCGTGGGGCAGTGAGGCGTGGAAGGCGCTGATGCGGGTGCGCGATGCCGCTCCCGTGGTGCAGTGCATCACCGATTTCTCGGCGTCCATGGAGCTCATGGCTAGCGCTGTCATGGCGACTGGAGCAAGCCCGGCCATGGTGCATGCCGTGGAAGAGATCCGCGAGTTCACGGCCAGCCGGGCCAATGCCGTGTGCATCAACGTGGGAACGCTGTCGCCCGAGTGGCTCTTCTCCATGAAGGTGGCGGCTGCGCAGGCTGAGGAGCTCCAAAAGATATGGGTACTGGATCCAGTGGGCGCTGGTGCCACCAAGTTTCGCACCGCCAAGTGCCTGGAGCTCATCAACCTGCGGCCCACCGTCATCCGGGGCAACCAGATGGAGATCATGGCCCTGGCCGGGGCCTCGGCGTCGCCCAACAAGGTAGAGCAATAGCTAGCAGCATCTCGTAACTTGCCAAGTCTTCCCCCCTAGGATGGCTCCAACCCCACCAGCGATGGCCTCGAGGCTGCCAAGGAGCTGGCGCGCATCTCTCAATCCATCGTCTGCGTGTCGGGAGCCATGGACCTGGTGACCGACGGCAAGCGCGTGCTGGGCGTGAGCAACGGCGTGCCCATGATGCACAAGATCACAGCATCCGGGAGTGCCATGACTGGCCTCATTGCGGCCTTCGTCTCCGTCCACCCGCCCCCCCGGGCCCTCGAGGCTGCTGCCTTCGCTCTCGCAATCTTTGGCCTCGCCGGCGAGCTGGGAATGGAGAAAGCCAGCGGCCCCGCCTCGCTCGCCATGCATCTCGTCGATGCACTTCACCAGCTCGCTTCCGAGGAGTCGCTGGTAACATCGCGCATCAAGATTGGCCAGATCTAGCTGATCTCTCCTCTCTCTTTCTCAAAGAAAACCCACATATATAACTTATATAAAATCCACTGTCTCCGGCTCCTTCACATAGGTACAAGGAAAAGGCTGTGTTGCGTCCTCTATACATTTCACATGTACGTATGTACCTCTTCCTCCTTGCCTCCGTCTCCGAAAAATTGAAGGCCCGGCTGCCGGCGCGTCGCGTCGTCTCGCTTCAAAGCCCACTTTACCGATGGATCCAAGCTAGCCGGCCTCGCACCCGGCTCATCACAGCAGCACCGCATGCATGCTGGTTGTCCGCCCGTTTGTGAGTTAGATAGTACACTCATCCTGCAGTGCACTCAATCAGGTGCCCACACGGCAAGCAGGCAGGCGTGGCTTACCTGTTTTCTGAACCGCAACCCACACCTGCTTCTGCACGTAGCACCAAGAACAAGAATGAGCCTTTGGCACCGACATAGAACCCTACCTCTGTGCAGCCGAAGGGTGTTGACGCTGCACCTCCCCTCTTGGCAGCCACATGCTCAGAGTCTCTAGGACCCTTCCGACGAAATGCACCTGATGAAGCAAAGCCAGCGAGTTAAACAAATCAAACCACCGGCTAAGGCTTGTCTACCGTTTTCAACAGCACCATTTCTCCCGTCCGTCTCGTTGTCAAGGTCGCTTCCCAGCCGGGGCCTGGTGTCGCACTTTACATCTCCAGGATCAACCTCTGCACGTGTGCGGAGCGTGATAAACAAGCAAGATGAAGATCTCAACGTCTCACCAGAATCCATGGAATCCAGGCGTCGACGAGGGGTCCAAACAGGACGGTCAGGCCGATCCTTATTTCTCAGCCTCCGACCATCCGTTGTTGCGCTAGAATCTGCTTCCGCCACGGATTGCCTCGCAGCCTGCAACTTGGACGCCCGCCCGGAACTGTAGCCCGAATGCTTGTACGTTGAAGGCGACTGCCCAGGAGATACCGGGGGGCGCCCACGTGAATTGTATCCGGAATCCTGCAAGGCTTGCTCTCAAAACCCACTGCAGGAAGACAAAGGCAGCTTACAGTCTTGTCCTTGATCGGCCTACGGGTGTGTCTTAGCGCATCTGAGTCCACCGGCTTGGGATCACCCTCGCCTGCACGTGAAGAATGTTAACAAAGATCTCAGTAACTCCGCTTCAACCTGCTGGTGTTTCATCTGCCTCTTTAAAATGACCATTCTCGTCCCCTGCTTCGCGGTTCTGCTTCTTTTCCTTGAACTCCCGTTTCTTGTGTTCCCGGCGCACATACGTGGGAGAATCTTTGGCATCTGCTGGCGGCTGAAAGCACACCCGTAAGTCACAGACGTAATTGCACAAGCAGCAATCATTACCACAGCCTTTCCCTTATCACCACGCTTCTGGATGACGAAGCCCGAAGGTGGAGGCCCCATGATAGAACCAGAGCGAAATCCTGCTTTTGCTGCTCTCTGTGCATGAAGTGTAAGAGTGTCCGCTAAAGCAGATCAATGCAATCTCTACCTGGGCAGACTTGGCTGCTCGTTTCTGGCGGACATACTCCATCAAGGGAGTAACTATAACACCTTCTCTGGACGAGCCTGGGAACAAAAGGCACGGTATAGTGTTCGCATGAGAATCATATGAAGAAACCTGGCCTTTCCAGCTGGACATCGGCACTCGGCAGAAGCTCGGCTGCTTTACCCAACGTGTCCACAAACTCCAAGTAATCCGGGTCTGTCCAGCAGTGTCGCAACACAAATGCCTTGTCAATCGAAAGGTGAGGTACCTCTCAGGATGCTTCCTTCGCGACCGTCCTTCTTCACTCGCAAATCCGGCACGCGTTGGTAGGGTGCGTACTCCACCATGGCTTTATACTGCGAGCCTGCAAGCTTGACCATTTGGTAAGACCGTGAAAAGGAGGCGCCCCCACCTTTCTCGTTCACAAAGACATGTCCATGGAAATCCTCATGGAAAGCAAGCACGTCCTCTGGCCTCTCGAACTCGATATAGGCGCGAGAGTGGATTTGGTTTCTGTGGCTGCAAAAGAAAGGAGGAACCTCTAAACCAGCTCAAGGGAGAAAGCAAACGCGGAATTGGGACTCACGTCGATTTCCCAGGCCGGAACAGCATCCACAGGTAAGGCCTGGCAAACCTGGTTTGGATCCGGGACACCAAGGCGTCTTCCGAGAGTGTGGGAGGCAGGCGGCGGACCACAACCTTGGTTCGCGACAGGGGATCCTTCATCGCACACACGCTACTGCTCTGCCACTCTTGCTGCTTGGCTAGCAGTGATGAGTAAGCTCCCGCCGCCGCATACGCTCCCTTGGCCTGCCACTGCTTCTTGTCGCGCTCCCGACCCATCCTTCGGCGGCATCGTCCCGCTCCAAAACCCTAGCCCTTCCCCTACACTCTCAAACCCTAATCCCCTACTTTTATCTTTTGCGAGTCGAACCCTTTGTTTCTACACAACAACGTTTATCTCCCCGATTATATTGACGAGCCTGCCGCTGTAGAGGCGGGACAGGGCCTCCTCCACGCTGCGCTTGAGCTCTCGCGTCTTGGAGACGAGCTCTTCCTGATGCCAACCCATGCACACGCACAAGCACGATCAGATTCTCGTGTGTGAGCCGCCGGAGAGGCACCTACCTGCTTGGGCCATGACGACGACAAAGCGTTCCGCAGCTCCACCTTCTTGTGCTCTACATCCCTCAAGCTGTTGAGACACTTGGCCTCGCTCTGTTTCTTCTCCTTGAGCGACGCCTCTAGCCTGTCCACAAACCTGCAAAGCAAATCCAAGCAAGCCGTCGCCCACAAAATACGCGCTACACGTACCTCTCCGACGTTAACATGAGCACCAAGTCTCTCGTCCTGCTGCTCGTCACCAAGTCCAGCGCTACGGAGATGTCGCCCCCCATTTCTTTCAAGACCTGGGAGCTGTATTGCGGTAAAGACGCCGAGGCAACTGCCTGTATCTGGCTCTGCAGTGCTGCTGTCGCACTGTTGTCCAGCTCCTCCACTCTCTGAACAAGAAATGCTCTCACCTGCAAAACAAAGCAAAGCTTTTGCACGTTAATACACGAGAACCAAGCCAAAGGGGCTCACCTCAAGGAGATCACTCAGAAGATTGTTTCGATACTGGGAGTCCACCAGGCGACAAAACGGAGCAAGAGAAGAGCCATAGCCTTGGACTGCCGAACCAGCCTTTTCGAATCCCAATGGATCCTCGTGACCTTCAGCACCCTGTTCCACGTCAATATCCCACACGATTCCCGCGCTCTCCTCGTCGTCGTCACACTTGGACTCCACTAGCCTTGTGTCAGCCAGATCTATATCCCATTGTATCTCGTCAGTTTCCAGCTGAGTAGCAGCCTCAGGTAGCTGGTCACACTGGATGCCTTGTGCGCCAGGCACTCCTGCTGCAGGGTCAGTGTTATCATGGGGAGGAAAGTCGGTCCCGACATCCAACGGAGTGTCCCGAACATCCTTCAAAGCTGCCAGAAGGACCGAGCCTTGAACCTGCAAGGGCGGCGGCGAAATGAGAAAAGCAAGCGCTGCAAGCGCTTTTCACCTGAGCGTACGTGTGAGCATACGAGGCGTAGACCTCATAGAGGTGCACGGCGTCATCAACTCTGCGACGACAAAGGATGTCCTTGAGAGTGGAGAGAATCCCAGGCAAAGAGCTGACGCTGGCCAAGAGCTCGCTCCTCACGTTCACTCCCTGGCACATCGAATGTCAGCCACAAGCGAGGGCGGCGGGAACACAAGTTACTGCGATGCCAAGCTCCCGGCAGGCGTGTTGGTACTTGGAAGCCGATGCAAGGGCATTGCGCTTGAACTCGGCCTCTTTACGCTCCAGGTCTGCCAGCTGCTGTTGCAGCCTGGCGATCTGCTTCTTTACAAAGGGGCTGCGACGCAAGTCAGTGGTGGATCAAAGCTAGTGAGGCTTACATGTCGTAATTCACGTTGTGGAGCATGAGTTGCGCGGCCTCGCCCAGATAGAGATTGTCTTTCTCGTAAGCATGCACAATGGCGTCCCATTCCCTCTGTGTGGAAGGTGAGAAGTGTAGCTAGAGTGCATTCCCATACCCCTGGACCGGACGTGGCTAGCCGGGCAAAGACACCCTTGTCTGGTTGGGCGGCGCTTGTGCTGAGGGCGATGTCCCGGATCCTGCGTGCTTCCAGGTATCCCACAGCTGCCATGCCACCGAGGAGAGAGCTTGTCAAAGGGCGGGGGTGAGTGCGATGGATATACTCACACTCGGGGCTCAAGCTCAGCAGCCATGGGTCGCCCTGCTTGGGCAGGCGGGCAAACGCCGGGGCGATTCTGGCACGGATCTGCGCGAGTTTCTTCCTCCACTCGCCATGCATCCAGCGGCGATCAACGAGCCAATCTGCGCGCGCAGCCAGCTAGTGGGTCAAGCAGAGGGCTCAGAGCGTACGCACCAGCTAGCTTGGCGTAGGCGATGTCAATGGGCAGCTCGCGCGATCCATCCATCCCTGCTTGCCTTGCCCTAGGTGTAAGGGGGGTCCTCTTTTTAGGGTTGCGCAGGAATGCGGGGGCGAGCTGCAAGGGCAGGGTGGACACTTCTCGGTAGCTGAGACCGGCGGGCTGCCCAGTTTCATGTCTCAGAAGCGCAGGCTGGCCAGCCTCAGCAGCAGCAATACCCCTGGCGGCTGTGCGAGTGGCGGCGGCGGCGGCGGCGACTCCCCCTCCACCATCATCATGTCCGCCACCAAGAAGCCCAAGTCACTCGAGTCTGCCGCCATGGACAAGAATGGGGTGGAAGGCTTGAGCTCGGAGCAGGGCATGGTTGTGGATGTCAAGGCGACGGGCCACGGGCTGAGCGTGGCCAGCCCCGTCACCGCAGTCGGCCTCGCCGGTGGAAGCAACAGCACCGGGACAACGGCCAATCTCAGCCGCAAGAAGGCAACGCCGCCCCAGCCGACCAAGAAGCTGGTCATCAAGCCCTTCAAAGGTATCCATTCCATCCCCGCCTTTCCTTAAACCCCTGTCGCATTTCTGGCAGACAAGCCCAAGCTGCCGGCCAACTTTGAAGACGCTACCTGGGACAAGATTAGAGCCGCCGTGAGCGCCATCCACGTAAAGCAGCCCGTCTCTTGTAGTCTGGAGCAGCTCTATCAGGTATCGTAGTCGTTCTTCTCCTTCAAAATCTTCTGTTTCGCTTCATCGGGGGTGTTTCAGAACGTGGAAGATCTGTGCTTGCACAAGCTTTCGGGAAACCTGTACCAGCGTCTGCAACAAGAATGTGAAACGCACATTTCCGCCAAGCTGTATGCTTTGGTCGGCCAGAGCCCTGATCCCGTCGTCTTTCTCTCCCATGTGGAAAGATGCTGGCAGGATCACTGCGACCAAATGCTCATGATCAGGAGCATTGCACTCTACCTTGACCGCACCTACGTCATACAAAACTCCAGCGTGCGCTCACTCTGGGACATGGGCTTGCAGCTCTTTCGGAAGCATCTCACGTCTTGTCCGGAGGTTGAGCACAAGACAGTTACTGGGATACTGAGGCTCATTGAGAAGGAAAGGTACGCAAAGCAGTGAGAGACATCGAGGAGCACTCTTAACTATTTCTGCATTGCTCAGGACGGGGGAAACTGTTGATCGCACACTTCTTAAGCATCTCTTGAGAATGTTTAGTGCGCTTGGAACATACAGTGAAAGCTTTGAGAAACCATTTATCGACTGCACGGCTGAGTTTTACGCGGCTGAAGGAACACGATACATGCAACAGACTGATGTGCCTGACTACCTTAGGCACGTGGAGGTATGCAGATTTTCTGCTGTAGCGCTGGTGTTGATCCTCGAATGCTGAATTATAGGCCAGGTTGCACGAAGAGAACGAGAGATGCTTGCTTTATCTGGATGCCAACACTCGTAAGCACTTGATATCTACCTCAGAGAAGCAGTTGCTTGAGCGCCATTCTCCCACCATTTTGGATAAGGTTGTTCTTTTCCTTTCGTACAAAACGGCTTACTTTCGCGGCCTTTGCAGGGTTTTGGAATGCTTATGGACGCAAATCGTGTCGCGGACCTTCACCGTATGTACCTTTTACTTGCCAGAGTCGGTGCACTGGAGTCTCTAAAGCAAGCCCTTAGCGCGTACATCAAGGCAACTGGTCATAGCATTATCGTGGACGAGGAGAAGGACAAGGACATGGTTTCTACGCTGCTGGATTTCAAGGCCCGGCTTGATATGATCTGGGAGGAAAGCTTTTCGAAGAACGAACCGTTTGCAAACACAATCAAAGAGGCGTTTGAGCATCTTATAAATTTGAGACAGGTTGGTAATACTCTTACAACAACGTTGTTATTTTTTCTGAGTTTTGTTCTGTGCTGATTTTAGAACCGACCTGCGGAGCTCATTGCTAAATTTATAGATGGAAAGCTAAGAGCTGGGAACAAAGGAACGTCTGAAGAAGAACTCGAGAGTATGCTTGACAAAGTTTTGGTCCTTTTCAGATACATTCAAGTGAGGCTACTCTTTATCTAGAATAGGTTTTATCTGACTCTTTTCTTTGATTTTGCAGGGTAAGGATGTCTTTGAAGCATTTTACAAAAAGGATCTGGCAAAACGCTTGCTATTGGGCAAAAGCGCATCTATCGATGCTGAAAAGTCCATGATTTCGAAGGTACTTTTTCATACTTGACTAGTTTCAGCGTTAAACGGGCATTGTCGTTGTTCCAGCTAAAAACTGAGTGTGGTAGTCAATTTACAAATAAACTCGAAGGCATGTTCAAGGTACGCCTGTATTTTTTTGTATCCAATCAGCATCTTTGCCGAGCATTGAGTTCCCAGGACATTGAACTTTCAAGGGAAATAAACGAGTCCTTTAAGCAATCCTCACAAGCCAGGACAAAGCTACCAGCTGGAATTGAGATGAATGTGCATGTGTTGACCACCGGGTATGGACAGATCACTTGGTTTTTGCTATTTGACGCCCTTGCATGCACGCAGGTATTGGCCTACGTACCCGCCTATGGATATTCGTCTTCCTCATGAACTCAATGTCTATCAGGTGCCTCGTGTTCTGGCTATCAAAGTTCGCGTTTTGATTTAATTGTCATTTCTCGCAGGACATATTCAAGCAATTTTACTTGAGCAAGCACAGTGGCAGGCGGCTGATGTGGCAGAATTCTTTGGGTCATTGTGTTTTGAAAGCCGAGTTTCCCAAGGGTAAGAGGGAACTATCTGTTTCACTATTTCAGGTGAGCTTCCTTTCTGAGCGGTGGTGTGGAAGTTCTAAGCTGAAATTGCCAGACGGTGGTACTTATGCTTTTCAACGATTCATTAAGGCTTAGCTTTCAAGACATAAAGGACTCAACGGGTATTGAAGACAAAGAGCTCCGCAGGACTCTGCAGTCCTTGGCTTGCGGCAAGGTTCGAATTTTGCAAAAGGTGGGCACGGAAATCTTCTCTTTAGCTAGACTCATGTTGAGCTACCAGCAACCCAAAGGGAGAGAGGTGGAGGACGACGACGTGTTTACGTTCAATGAGGACTTCACGGCTCCTTTGTTCCGGATCAAGGTTTTGGACATGCCTAACGCGAAATTGCCCGTCCTCATCCTCCTTTGTTTTCAGGTGAATGCAATACAGCTCAAAGAGACGGTTGAAGAGAATGCAAGTACCACAGAGAGAGTATTCCAGGATCGGCAGTATCAGGTTTGCATGGGGGGATGGGTGCTGCTTGGGGTTCCTCTCACTTGAGAGCTTGATTGCAGATTGATGCGGCCATTGTAAGAATTATGAAGACTAGGAAGGTCCTGAGCCACACTTTACTGATAACGGAGCTGTTCCAACAGGTAAGGCCTGGCTGCTGTTGGAATGTGGTGCCGACGCTGGATATGTTTTTTGTGTGTGACCAGCTCAAGTTCCCTATAAAGCCAGCGGACTTGAAGAAACGTATCGAGAGCCTGATCGACCGCGAGTACTTGGAGCGAGACAAGAACAACCCTCAGGTATACAATTATCTCGCATGAATGCCATGGCGACCACGCATTTGTACTCTCTGGGTTGTGTGAGTGTGTACGAGCTCAAGGGCCTCGTCTTGGTGTACATGGTGTGGTTTATAGACATACATAATTGGGCAATTTCGGTTAGGAAGGACGAGACAACGAAACGGAAGCAGCGGCAGCGCGTGTGGCGAGTGATGGGCCTGCTGGACACGGACGCGTGGTTGATGCTGTACGAGGGCGTGGCCGCGTCGTGGCCGACTCTAGGTAAAGATCGCTCTCACAGTCACAACACCGTTTATACCACCCCTGATCAGAGGAGCGGGAAGTGGTGGAGAATGTGGGCAAGGCCGGGGTTGCGGTGGCGCTGTTTGTGTGCACCGCGCTGTCGTGCGCGGTGGCAGCCATGGTGGTGAACAAGCAGATGCAGAAGAATGTCAACTGGGGGCGGGTGCAGGCCACCATCAAAGAGTTCCGGGACGGTTGCGCCACGCCACTGCAGAGGCTGCAGAAGCTGGCGGCGGACATGCACAAGGAGATGATTGCCGGGCTGGCCAAAGACGGTGGCAGCAAGCTCAAGATGCTGCTCTCGTTTGTGGAGAAGTTGCCTTCGGGGTGCGCTTGATCCACCTTTGCCTCGTGAACCAACAGACAAAACACGTAACACTTTCCTCCCTTTAGGAACGAGAGTGGCCTGTTTTACGGGCTGGACCTGGGGGGCACCAATTTTAGAGTCCTCAGAGTCCAACTGGGTGGCAAGGACAAGCGCATCGTCAAGCAGGAGTACGAGGTGGTGTCCATCCCCCCAAGGCTGATGATTGGCAGCAATGAGGTTGGATGGACCGCTCTGTGGCTTGGGTAATGAAGCTAACCAAGCACGCCGTCTGTTTCCAGGACCTGTTCGACTACATTGCGCAAGTCTTGGCCAAGTTTGTGGCCAAAGAGGGTAACGACTGCAAGCTGGCTCCGGGCCACAAACGGGAGCTCGGCTTCACTTTCTCATTTCCCGTGTCGCAGCAATCCATTGACTCGGGAACGCTCGTCAAGTGGACCAAAGGCTTTGCCATAGCTGAGACGGTATACTAGCTGCTTGTGCTATTAAGCTATTAAGCCCATCTCCGTTTTCCATGTATGCGCTGCTCAAGGTGGGCAAGGACGTTGTCAAGGAGCTGCAAGCTGCGATGATGAGGCAGAAGATGGACATGCGAGTTGCTGCGCTGGTACTCACTGTTGTTTACAGGCTCACTATTGTCTTAACGCCGAATGATACGCAGGTGAACGACACGACGGGGACGTTGGCGGGGGGCCGTTACCGCAACGACGACGTTATGATGGGGCTGATTCTGGGGACGGGCTCCAATGCCTGCTACGTGGAGCAGACGAGTGCCATTCCCAAGTGGCCGCCGGGGCTTCCCAAGCCGGAAATTACTGTACCGGGAATCCTACTTGCTCTCCTCGCCTATATATGCTTATGCTAACCCGAGGCCGGCCAACTGCAGGTGATCAACATGGAATGGGGGAACTTCTGGTCCTCGCACCTTCCAAAGACCAAGGTTGACGACGACCTGGACGCGGACAGCGTCAACCCCGGAGATCAGGTGAGATGCTTGCAATTGCTTGTACAGCTGACGCAGCTGTGCCTGGTAGGCGTTTGAGAAGCTGTTTTCGGGAATGTACCTGGGTGACATTGTGAGGAGGGTCATTCTCAAGCTTGCGCAGGATGCTTGCCTGTTTGGCGGCAGCATACCAAAGAACCTCACGTCCCCATTCGTTCTCAGGTAAGCCCCATTAGGATTAGGATGACCACGCTGGCTGGTTGTGGGCGCCGCGCGCAGGACTCCAGATGTGTCATGCATGCATGCGGACGAGAGCGCCGACCTTAAAGAAGTGGCCAAGGTTATCAAGGCGGCATTTGGGGTGCTCTCCCACAATCTCCCGCTTGTTGCCGTGCACAGCCTAACACCGTTCTTTCCGTGCTTGTGTAGGTCCGCAGCCTGCCAGTGGAGACGCGCAAGGTGATAATCGAGATATGTGACATTGCGGCTCAACGCGGTGCGCGGCTGGTGGCCGCTGGCATTGTGGGCATCCTGAGAAAGATTGGAAGGGAAGGGAAGGACGTGCGAACCGTGGTGGGAATGGACGGAGGGCTGTACGAGCACTACCCAAAGTTCCGCGGGTGCCTGCACGAGGCACTCGGGGAGCTGCTTGGCAAGGAAGGATCGGCCAACGTCGTCATCGAGCTGTCCAAGGACGGGTCGGGGCTGGGCGCTGCGCTGCTCGCGGCCTCTCACTCCGTCGCTCTGCAAAAGGCTTGACTTGTTGGATGATGACGATAAACGTAATAAGAGTTGATTCGCTAGGCTAGGGCTGCAGGGATAGATGGCCGCCGCTGTTCGCAAGCCACGAATCATCTTGGCCGCGAGCGGGAGTGTGGCGGCCATCAAGTTCGGGATACTGGCGGAGAGCCTGGCGGACTGGGCCGAGGTCAAGGCCGTTGCCACCAAGTCCGCCTTGCACTTCATCGACAAAAAAGCCCTGCCGCCGTCGGTGACGCTCTACACGGACGAGGAGGAGTGGTCGAGCTGGCGGAAGCTGGGCGACAATGTGCTGCACATCGAGCTTCGCCAGTGGGCGGATGCCATGGTGATCGCACCGCTGTCGGCAAACACGCTGGCCAAGGTTTGTTCCCTCTCCACTGCTTGCTTGCCTAGTGACGCGCGTTTGCTGGGTGCGCAGATATCGGCTGGGCTGTGCGACAACCTGCTGTCGTGCATCGTTCGGGCATGGGACTACTCCAAGCTGCTCTTCGTGTCGCCAGCCATGAACACCTTCATGTGGAACAGCCCATTTACAGAGCGCCACCTGAGCAGCGTCGAAGAGCTGGGGATGGTGGTCATTTCACCCGTAACCAAGAAGCTGGCGTGTGGGGACTTTGGCAACGGGGCCATGGCCGAACCTGGGACCATCGATTCCACCATAAGGTTAGCTCTAGAAAAGAGGATACATCCGGCTAGCATGTCAACCATTTGATGAGTGATGCGACGGCACCGGGTGCTTGATCAGCAACTTGATCATGAGTAGCAGGGTGGAGGACGCTACAGCCTTGGGCTGCGGCCATTTGGCGTTGAGTGGCACGGGGACGCGCCGGTAGCCTTGGCTCTTGTACAGGGCAACGGCGGCGCCATTGCAGGCGTCGCAGTGAAGCGCAATGGAGCGGCAGCCCCAACCCCGGGCAACTTGTTCCGACTGTGTGAGCAGTCGCTTGGCAATGCCCCTCCGTCGGAACTCGTGGCGAACAGCAACGTTGGAGACGTAAGCAATGCCAGTCCTAGTTATATAGTAAGGCTCTCGCGAGCATCATCTAGCATGGGCATGGGCATGGGTTGATTGTTTACCTCCTGCACCCAGACGGCCTCCTCCGGGGCAAGAAGTCGCCAACCTTGTCAATGGTGAGGATCCCGGACACCACCTGGACGCCGCCTAGCGTCTCCTCCACCGCAACCAGGTACTTCTTGTGCTCAAACGGGAGGCTCCCGGCCAGCGCCATGGTCCTGCATACGTGCATCAAACACAGGCAGCAGCAACCTCGTCCCGCCCACCTGTCCAGCCGGAGAGCAAAGTCCATGACTGCGCCCTGGTGCGGCAAGAAGCTGCTGCAGTGCGTGTCGGCAATCTGCCACGCATCCTGGATCCGAGCCTCCCGGACGCAGCTCGCACCTGGTGCTGCCCGTGCTTGGCAAAGAACCATTGGAGCTGTCGGGAGCATCCTCCTGGGTGTTTAGGTAAAAATGCAAGCACGATGGGGTCATTAGGGCAGATCCAGCGGCGCTAGGATGAGAGGGCGGGGTCACACAGGCGCCCCCCAGCGAGGAAGCATGACTTCCTTGATTCTCATCATGCTCTCCTTCATGGCCTGCTTTTACATTGGTGGGAGGTATGGTATGCTCTCATCACTTGTGCCACATCCTCCTTTCTGCTCTTCCAGGCTGTGGCAGGATGCCGAGACTCGGCTGCTGCTTGTTGGGCTGATCGAGAAAAATGAGGGAAAGGTGGTGTGAGAAAAGCCTGGGGTCTCGACGGGTTTCTTACCTCCTTCCTTTTTTTTTTCCTCAGGGACAGGCCGTATCGGTGGACGAGACCCTCAAGCTGATCGACTGCAAGTAAGGAATGGCTGACAGCTTACAACTTTGAAACATTTTGGCCACAACAGGGACCAGAAGAAGAGAGTGTCGGCGCTAGAGATGGAGCTGGCGGCGGCCAAGAGCCAAGGCTTCAGTACGCGAAGGCTGCGAGCTGAGAACCAAACAAGGGCTGCAGGACGGCTACATGTTGTCATGGGCATCAATACTGGATTCGGGCAGCATGCCAGGCGCGATTCCATTCGAAACACCTGGATGCCTAAAGGTATCCAACTCTGTCTATTATCATCTCGCTCATATCGCTGCTCTGTCTTGCAAGGGACGGCTTTGAAGAAACTGGAGGATGACAAGGGCGTCGTCATCCGTTTCGTTGTGGGGAGAAGGTAAGCAATGCTTGCTTGCGTGCTTCCTCTCAAGCGTGGTGGATGACAGCGCAAACAGAGGGGACAGCCTAGATCGACTTATTGACGACGAAAACAACAGAACACATGACTTCCTTATTCTGGTAACTCGGCTTTGTTCTTGTATGCCCCGCTAAAGCTTATCCGTGGCAGGACGACCATGTAGAAGAGCCGGAGGAGATACCGAGGAAAGCCAAAAAGTTCTTTGCCACTGCCGTCGAGACATGGGATGCAGACTTCTTCTTGAAGGTAGATGACGACGTTTATGTGAATATCGGTAAGCGTTGGCCATTACACTCCTTCCGCAGACTTTTAACTTCTCCACAGATAAGCTAGGCGAGATGCTTGCTCAGCACTGGGACAAGCCCAGGATATACATCGGGTGCATGAAGTCTGGTGAAGTGTTCTCCGACTCGTAAGTTCTCGCAATTTTGAAACGCTCGGTGGTGATCAGCTTGTATCCCTCTAGAAAGCAGCGGTGGTACGAGCCCGAGTGGTGGAAGTTTGGCGATCAGAAGGGGTACGTGGCCCTGGATTTCTCTTGCTGATAAACATTGTCTGGATTGGCAGGTATATGCGTCATGCTGAGGCACGGATGTATGGCGTGAGCAGGGCCTTGGCTCAGTACATTTCTATCAACAAGTAAGTTTTTCTCTTTGTGTTCTTTGGCCGAGCGCTTTGTCTAGTCCGGTTTTGCATGTGTATCGGCACGAGGATGTGATGGTGGGATCGTGGATGCTAGGACTAGACGTGGAGCACGTAGATGAGCGACGGCTCTGCTGCTCCAGTGGCCAAGCTGGTTTGTATCATATAGTTTTTGCGGTGCGGTTGCTTAGTCGTTGCAATATGTGCCAGGTGCTGTTTGTGCTGCCTCGTAACACTGCGTTTTTGGTTGGATACCTTGGTGTTTGTTAAGTAAAGGTTTCACGAGCTCTCTGGTCGTAGGCTTAGGGTTTTAGATGTGGAGAGGACCATCCTCTCTCTTTTGTAGGTATGTAGCATCTGAAGCTGCCAGATTTTCGGTCCATGTAAGTACGTTTTTTTTTTCTTCCCCTAGCTCTCACTGGGTTCTTCTGTTTTGGGCCAGCAATCCGAGGGAGCTATCCAGGAGTTTGACAAGCTGCGTGACAGTGGGGTTGCAGCAAGCACCTACATTCTCCTTGCTTCGCTCAAAGCGTGCTCCAGCTCCAGGGATATACAGGCCGGGATGAGAATCCATGCATACGTGACGGAGAGTGGGGACGACCGGGATTTGACTGTAGCCAACACGCTTGTGCATATGTACGCCAGGTGCGGGAAAATGTGGGAGGCTCGAATGGTGTTTGACAGTATGGCGCAGCGGTCCTTGGTTTCGTGGAACGCGGTCATGTTTGGCTACGCCGAGGCTGGAGATGCTGGACAGCCACTAAATTTACTTCGGCAGATGCAGGCGGATGGCTTCCGTCCAAACAGCCTGACTTACATGGCGGTGCTCAAGGCGTGTGCAGCTTGTGCTGCAGAACAGGGTAAAGAGCCGCCTCAGCTCCTGCTACTTGAGACAGGAAAGGCTATCCACAGTGAGTGCCGAGAGTGTGGGCACGAAGAAGACCCCAAGGTGGCGAGCACCCTGGTTGACATGTACGCCAAGTGCAGGAGCATGGTGGACGCCCGGCGGGTTTTCGACGGGATGAAGCATCGGTCGTTGGTGGCGTGGAACTCGCTGCTTTTTGGATACGCGGACAGTGGACAGGGAGAACTGGCACTCCAGCTGTTCGCCCGGATGCAAGATGAAGGCCACACACCAGACGCAAGAAGCTACGTTGCTGCAGTCAAGGCCTGTGGCTGCTGTGCTGAGAAAGAAGAATGGAGGCAAGTTGGTGGAAGTCTGGTGGTGAAGCTAGCGTGGCTGGACAAGGGCATGGCTCTGCACTCCCAGGTTTCTCGTTGTGGCGACGAAGGCAACACCATAGTCGCCAACACCCTGCTGCACATGTATGTAAGCTGTGGGAGCCTTGAGGACGCTAGAAAGGTTTTTGACAAGATGCCACGGCACTCGGTTCTGTCTTGGAATGGTGTCATGGCTGGGTGCTGGGACAGGGGTGATCCTCAGCAAGCGCTCGAGATGACGGCCTCGATGCAAGACTACGGCCTCACGCCCAATGCTGCGACTTACGTTGCCGCATTGAAGGCTTGCGTGAGGATTGCGGGCAGGGATGGCCTTAGCAAGGGGCGAGCCGTGCACGCGCAGGCCAAGGCAGCGGGGCTTGAGGCGGACAGGCGGGTCTCAAGTACGCTTGTCAATATGTATGCCAAGTGCGGGAGCATGGTTGATGCGTGCCGGGTGTTCGACGGTATGATGTTCCATGATGTTGTGTCGTGGAATGGGTTGATTCTGGGATATGTAGATGTGGGAGAGGCTGCCAAGGCACTCGAGTGCTATGCGCGGATGCAGCAGCAGGGATCAAGGCCGGATGCCCTCACTTTTGTTGCCGTGCTCAAAGCCTGTGCCCACCTCTCTCACCTCGAGGCTGGCAAGCGAGTTCACGAGCATCTGTGTAGTCGGGGAGTGGAACAAGAGTTGACGGTGGCCAACTCTTTGGTTGATTTCTATGGCAAAGCCGGAAGCATGCATGAGAGCCGTCGCATCTTCGAGTGCATGGGATTGCAGAGGGACGTAGTGACGTGGAACGCTTTGATGGCGGGATATGCACAGCAAGGGGACGCACAGGAGGTGGTTCGCCTGTTTGATCGGATGCAACAGCAGCCAGATGTGCGGCCCAACAGCATTACGTTCTTGTGTGTGATCAAGGCCTGCAGTCATGCCGGGCTGGTGGACACGGGCAAACACTGCTTCGATCTCATGCAGCTGGGAGCCTGCCTTGTGCCTGGGATCGAGCATTACAGCGCCTTACTGGATCTCTTGGCCCGTGCAAACCGACTGGACGATGCGCTAGCTTTGCTCACAGGGATGCCCTGCGCGCCGGATCAGGCCATGTGGATGACGGTCTTGACTGCTGCTCGCAAGTGGAGTAACCTCGAGGTTGCAAGGGTAGCTTTTGAGTCGATTGCGAGAATGAGAGAGGAAGACTCCGCTGCATACGTCGTTTTGGCCAACACGTATGCGGCAGCTGGCGATGTCCCGGATTGATTCAAGGAAATGCATTATCGGCGTCTCAAGAGCGAAGTACGGCTTCCCGGACTACAATTTAGTAGAACGGCAGAATTTGGTGTGATTTCCAGGAGGAACACTGCCACCTCTTGGCCTTCGGTTGGTTCAGATCCATGCCATGGGAGGTGAAGTCGCTGTCGAATGGTTGTGAATGCCGTGGGTTGTGTGTGCCACTCTCCACCTCCTTATACCAGAGCTGGCATAGCCGTTCCTCCCAGGGGTTGGGGGGCGAGACCATTCCCCGACTGTCGAGTACAGTCTGTGTCCGCCTTGCCATGAGAATTTTTCTTTGTTTCCGGCCAAGCGTCGACCCCTGTTGACTGGTCAGTTCCTTGTATGTCTTGGAAGGCTTTTTCACTGAGATCATTGAGATCCATTGCGTCCAAACCCGCAGTCTGTGCCATCCATAGATGACCAATTTTGGAAGCTTGTCGTCATCTGAGTGTGCGAGTAAGCACAAGAAATACTTCTTCCAGACTTCAAGCTGCACTGGCAGGATGTCTGTATAATCCCGAGAGATACTTTCGGGCGAATTCCGTGAGAATAACTTGGCTCCAGAAGTCCTTGGTCAGACCTGCCCAGTTCATGTAGATCGCGAGGAGGAGATACGTGGCGATGGCGGGAGCTTGGACGATCCGTCACCAGCGTCGCCACGCTTGGTAGCAGCGCCGTCACCACCTCAGGTGTGGAGGTAGGCTCCCAGGCCCGGCTGGTTGGCAGCCTTGGACCTCACGGCCTCGCCCGAGAGGTGGTGGTGCCTCAATTGCATCAATATACAGACCACCAATGGTGTTGGTGATTGAGTCTTGACCAGCGCAGTCAGTCGTATATATCTTGGGTGTCCCCTGTGCTTTCAGTAAAGATTTCTTGATGTACGGGTGCAGCTGTACTGGGGGCGAAACCCTGCCTGGGCTGTTATGCGTTTCCCCTCTTGCTCACCGCGTTTCTCCACCATGGTAGCGAAGGGCTTGGAGAAAATGGAAGAAACCAGTATAGTGCGATAATTCATGGGGAGTAACTCGTTGCCACTCTTGTGTGTAGGCACTATACAGTTCATAGTCCATTGTCTCGGGAAAGTATACCATCAAAGATGCATCCTAGGACCCTTCAGGCGGATTTCCTTGCAAGGATCTCCGCCGTGAGGTCGTGCATAGCAGGGAGATTTCCAATAGCCCGAACTAGCTCTTCGACAGTGAAGTGACTGTGTCCCATTTGTGAATGATTGGTGGAAAGACCGGACTGTCTCGGAGGTATACCACCCAGACTTCCGCGCCTGTCAGTTGAACTGTTCGAGCGTTCTCCACATTCTTGCGGCCCCGTCTTTCATATATGGCATCGCATCTAGCTTTTTGCTTCTTTAGCGTGTACCATTCCTTGCAGTCCTCATCCCACCATGGAGAGTTGGGAAAGCCAGGGCGTCTTTGGGTGGAATGTCGTGGACAAGTGAATTGTGCCGCTGTAAGAGCTCTGCGTAGTCCTCTTTCCGTGTGACAGGGGCTGAGGCCGCCCAGAGATCGCATACCCGTTGAGCATATAACTCTCGACGATCATCCACCAACCTGTATGTGATTTAGGCGGGAAGCTCCCTGGGAGCAGTGACGGGCAAGGACTGTCCTTAATGGACAGTGATCTGCCGTTTCCAGAGGTGGAAGTCCACCACAGGGTGTGATCTTGGCAGTGTGCCATTGAAAATAATCATGCCATGCACAGAACACACCTCGATGACTTGGCTCCCTGTCGTGATTACCAGCTCATCCTGGGTAAATGTCCGTGCAAAGTGTGCCCCTCTTGGTCGTGAAGGTTCCCAGTGCGGCGTGAATCCTCCTGGTAAATGCAAATATGCTGGGTGAAACACTGAAAAACACCAGCCTATTAGAGGAATGTTGGCGTGGAATCTTCATGGCAATGATAGAAATGAGGACAACAGGCTCGTGGCGTCCACGCGCGGCGTGCGTGCTGAACACGTCTGTAGGTACCGAAGCGTGAGGCTGACGTGCTAAACCACGTGTTTGAGCATCCACGTCGGACTGCTCCATCGTTTAGGGCAGCCCGACGATCTGCAAGGAAAATCCAGCTCAGTGCTCTCCTTGGCAATTGGGGCAGCGAGACATGACGCAGGAAGTTTGTGAGCAAAGGCCAAGGTTTGCTTTCTCCTCCTTGATTTGCAAGTCACACAGCTTGTGTCCAGTGGCCCGGCGGGCACGAGCTTGGTGTCCCGGAAAGTACACAAGGCCGACAGAGAGAAATTGAGACGCGACAAGCTGAATGAGCAGTTCGCAGAGCTAGCAGCAGTCCTAGGTGGGTCTTGTGTTGTGCAATTGCCGTATTCATCGTCCCTTTTTCTTCTCTTGGGCGCAGACCCAGAGAAGCCAAAGCAAGACAAAGCCAGTATCCTGGGCGATAGCTTGCAAGCGGTAAAGAATCTGCGCGTGGAGATCAAACGGCTGAGGATCGAGCGGGGAACACTGTTTGACGAGTCGCGAGACGTAAGTGTGTGGGGTATGAGGTATTGTGGGAGGAGCAATCGTGTGTTGCTTGCAGCTCAAGCGAGAGAGGGACGATCTCGAGGAAGAAAAGGCAGCGCTTGAGAAGCAAACAGATGAGTTGGAGGTGCAGGTGCAGCAGCTATTCAGGTCGGCAGCAGCGGTTCCATGTTTCAAGCAGCCGGCAGCACCGGGTCCGTCGCCAGCTTTTGCGGCTGCTGCTACTACCTTGCGTCCCCACGTCGCGCCACCCCTTAACACTGCCAATCCCTTCGTCTACTTGACGTCGCCGTCCTCTTGCATGGGGCGTGTGGAGAGGCCATGTGCACAGTATCCAGTAGCTGATTTCCTCAGCAAAGTGCAGTCTAGCCATGGCTTCCAACCGACTGGCCGAGGCGCGCCTCCTCTGGGACCGGGCAGCCGCCGGGGTGACCATCACGTCCCGCAGTGCTGCCTGGGTTGTCGGGACGGCGATAGCGACGACATCCAGCTCCACCTGGGTCAACCACCCAGTCGCCACGAGATTGACACGGATCTCCATCTGCAACTCAGTTCCAGTCCACCCAGCTCCTCGGCTGCAAAAGGCGCCAGCTTATGTCCCTCGTGAGAAGAGTCTACGATTGCTATCCTTTAAAACTCAAAAGCTGCTCCTAGGCTCTTCTGTATGGTCAGAGCACCCCCCAAAAAGGCAGCGCACACCAAGTTGCGACTTTTCTGGAGTATAACAAAGAGTCACGATGTTCATACACGTCCTGGGTTTCGGGACGATTTCCAGAATCAAGTTGCCCGGATTTGGATGACATTTGTTTTTGTGTGTACGGAGTCAATGCTTGACCCCCGGAGCCCCAGAGAAACGAATATGGTTTTGTATTGTGTGTGAAACCAGAGGCTATGGTTGCTGCAGCGTTGCGAATTGCTGATAAGTATGTGCTACCTACTTTGCATTTGGAGCATCACGTGGCACACACATGAAAAGGATCCATCTTCTATCTCGATTGTTGATAAATGAATCCGCTTTTGTTGGGACAGACACAGCGTCACTTTTTGAATCACCCTCTTGAGATCCCGGTAACGTTGTTTAGAGCGCAATCCAAGCTGTGCTGTGCGTGTGATTTTACTTGCTTGCCGATAGCGACCTCGACACATCGTTCATTGGTTCAGGCTTCTTCGCTCTGCACTTTTAAGACACGGAAGTGGATTGGATTGGATTCCATGAATTGCCTCCCAGCCACCTATTTTTGCTACGCCTCATGGTCTAACATTGACCGCGCGCGCGCGCCTCTCATGTGGACACTGTGCTTGGGTTAAAAACCGAACGAGAAGCAAAGGCCAGCAAAGATGTTTAAAACAAACAAAACTCAGGACCCTCTTTTTGTCTTGCACCTAATCCTCACCTACCGAACCTCGTTCCGATTCTGATGCTTAGCAACTAAACAAGGCATTTCCCCAGCTTGAATGCGCAAAGCTGATATGGGCAATCAAACGGAAATCCAGATATATACATATTCTACGAAAAGAGCATATCAGCAGCGAAGAAACGAAAGAAATTGATTCTATGGCAGCAACCCCAACCGGCCAAGCATCCAACTACCTGCTTCATGCGAAAAGCAGAAGATTTCTTTAGCTGTGGTGGTATCTATAGAAGCAGGGCGCTGGATTGCTCATGGGACAAGTTGTCGCGCGCGCAGCATAGGGAGATAGGGAGCTCATGCCCTTCTTCTCTTAGTGCAGTGATAGAGTCTCTGGAAAATCTAGGGTAATAGATTTCTCGGGCACCTTTTAGGGAGAGTATAAAAACTCTTGCGATACATTGGGTTTGGTCCTTTGTTGTCCTGTGGCACATTATTGGCGATCAAGACGCATGTACTTTTCTTTGTGTCGTTGGCAAAAGATCAGAGTAAGGCATATTCTACCTAGAAACAAGCGGGGATATCCCACCTAATCAGCCTGGAAGTCGATCCAAGGCCCCGTGTGCACACACACACGGATGAAAAACCATACCAAACCAGTCAAGTGAATCCACATCATGGCATGGATTTAAAAATGACATTCTTATACCAAGGGTTTTTAGGGGGTTGTTAGGTTTAACATTGATGTACGAAAGGGCTAATGATAAGTTAGGGCTTGCACTGCAGCTCACCCCACCATGACAACTAGGTACCTTCCCTATTAACACGCCACGCGCCAATGGTAGGTCTACAGGCCTAGTGGTTACCATTGTAGTAGTGTTTCTACGAGAGGCATGTCCAATCGGATAGCTGGCTGGCATGGATGATGATGATATGGACCATTGGAATGGAACTCTTTCCTCATATTCACTAACTACATTCTGACTCACAATTCCGTGCATGGGCACCCATGCTCGCCATTCAAAACATGTCTTTTCGACGCATTGATAACCGGCACCATAGCACGCATGATCATACGCCAAGAATGGGCATGCCCCCCATGCATCGGGGGCAACCAAATGATTGAACCCCAGCGCAGCACACGTAATTGGTGTCCCACCAACTATTTTACCCATGCAACTTGGCCACCCACTAAACTAATCTCAATCCCCACACGGGGAGGACGGAGGTTAACAAGCCCCGGCATGCCGCGTGTCATTAGCGCCAGCTGGGAGGCGACAGTGACAGCTCATACCGCCGAATGACCGGGTTGCAGAATCGAACCCTGGATGGATGAGTGAGTATGTGGCAGGTGGTGTCGCGTGGCAGCGGGCCGGAGCGTTGGATGCGGCGGAATTGGCGGTGGGAGTGCCGCGGCCGTTAGATGGCCGATTGCAGTCCACGTAGGCGGGACGAGTGCCTCCAGGTGGCGGTGTCGTGGCTTTCCTCTGCCAGCGTGGCAGCGGGCGTTCCATATAAACCCAATTTCCGCACATAGGCCTCAGGATGCGTGTGTGCATCTCTTGGACGCTCTCCCGCTGCTGCTTGCCTGGTTTTCATGATTGAAAGGCGCTTCTCTGTCGGGGGTTTTGTTTGTGGGTTTTGTCGATTTGCGAGAAGCCCAGAGGCCGGATTGTTTGGAGCCGGGGCAGCCAGCGAGTAGCGAGGGCGGTGTGCGTCGCCGATCACCACACTCTTGTTTTCTTCTCCACGGGTAGCGACATTACGCCGTGCACGCGCTCTGGCTTATCCGGGCTTAGTCTTTTAGCTTGGCACGCAGCCTCCTCCCCCATATTTATTTCTGGCCGATTAATCCACCCGCGAGCAAGGATGGCTGGCAGCCCATCCAAATTCAAGCGAATCTGCGTCTTTTGTGGGAGCAGTAGCGGCAGGAAGAGGAGCTACAGCAATAGTGCTCTGGAGCTGGGCAAGGAACTGGTGCGGAATTGGTGGAACTTGATTTGATGCCTCGAGCTCACTCGTGCTGCCGTGTGTGCGTGTGCGTGTGCGTGTGTCAAGGTCGGGCGCAAGATCGATCTGGTGTATGGCGGTGGGAACGTGGGGCTCATGGGCCTCATTGCGCAGGCTGTGCACGAAGGTGGAGGCCATGTCACTGGGTAAGTTCGCTTTCTCCCCCTTGTTGCACCCAGCCGCGTGGTGCATCCATCTCTTCGATGCATTCATTAAGGCGCTTGCAACTTTGCGAGCGGCTGACAATGTGATCACAGAAAAGCCCCTCCAAACAGAGACAGCAGCACACGACAGGGGGATTTTGAGTGTGATCATTGAAGCTTTTACGAGTCAGATTCATTGGCATTCCATTCATCCCGTGGCACTAGAGTAGAGCATGGCGCACACGTCGTTTAACTATTCCTTTTCATGTCAGTGTACTGATTGATTTTGTGCCTTGTACGTGCAGGGTGATTCCGAAGGCGCTCATGTCTAGCGAGGTGAGTGATTTCTCTTGCGTTGCGCTCCTCCTTAAATATCATATCCGCTCTGTGCCGCGCATGTTCTGTGTTGGATCCAGCTGCTGACCATGATCTGCTGCTCGTTTGCTTTTTGTTTTGTTTCTTCTGCGTTGCCAAGTTGTGGCTTTTCTCATGCCCCTCCGGCGTTGGCTACTTTCCTGCTCGCTCACCTCTCGTCCGGTTGAACAGATATGCGGCCAAACGGTGGGAGAGGTGCGGCCGGTTGCCGATATGCACCAAAGGAAAGCCGAGATGGCACGCCAAGCCGACGCCTTCATTGCTCTTCCTGGTATACTGTCACGCAGCGTAGCCTTCATGTGCTTGACATGCCCCCAATCTCGTTGCTTCTTTCAGGTGGCTACGGAACTTTGGAGGAGCTGTTAGAGGTGATAACATGGGCTCAGCTCGGAATCCACGACAAGCCGGTAAAGCGATTGGTGCTTATTGCTTGTGTGCGGTCTAAGCTTTGGAATGTTTCTTGTGTGTGTCAGGTGGGATTGCTGAACGTGGATGGCTACTTCAATCCGCTGCTCAACTTGTTTGACAAGGGAACCGAGGAGGGGTTTATCCAGCCATCTTATCGGCAGATAGTTGTTTCCGCGTCGACAGCTCACGAACTTGTGAATAGATTGGAGGTACGTTCCCTCCTTACAACACCGCTTACTTCCCACCTGGTGTCCGGGATCCTTTCATCCTCTTTTGTCGTCACAGCCTTCTAGAACGCAACTTGCTCGTGTTTCTTTTGTTTCTTGTTTGTCAAATAGCTCCTTACGGAAAACTGGGCTTCTTGTTGTGAATGCAGGAGTACGTTCCGATGTACATCTGTGTTGCCCCCAAAGAGACATGGGCAAGGGAGAAGCTCGTCTTTTCGAACGTGCCAAGCCTGGCGTCATGACTCGCGCGTAATATTATACCAGCTTCATCATGGTGTACAAATATCCCGTTGCTGGAACGCCATACATAGCTACGCCTTTTAGGGGAGCCCCAATGCATGGACTTTGACAAGCCCAAGAAAAAGTCCATTCACAAACACACACACACACACACACACTCACCTTTCTTCTATAACCCCTTCCATCCATCTGTCTGTCCATCCTTTAAATTTCTTTGTTGCCCATTGGCAACCAACCTCTTTGTTTCCCCAACCTTCTTTCACACAATGATCCTGGTGTTGCTAGGAAGGAACAAGCACCAGTGACACGAAGGGGGTAGGCAGCAAACTTGATGACTAAAGTTTTTTTTTTTTTTTTTTGTCATATAATATACATATATATATATGTATACTACACGAGGAATCAATCAATCAATGAAGATCACAAAATTACAAGATTTTTTATTAGGGCCCACGCAGGGCATTGTTCAGCTAGAACGGTGCTTTAGCTTGAAGCAGGGGACAACCCGGCTCGATGGGCACTCAACCTGCGCTGGCTGGCTGTCTTCGCTCCCTTTTGGCTTGCAAGGCCTTGGGCACAGCCACTGCAACCGCCAGCTTTTATTATTCCTCTGCCGCGCCTGATGCCGCTGTGACCTTTGTTGGGAGGCAATTGAGATGCTTCCTCATCATGTACTGGTCCTGCGCAGCTGGACGCCGTGTCGTAAAGAAGCCCTGCACCATCTTATCCAGCCTCACTAGATGGTGCGCCAGCCGCTCCTCGCTCGCAGCCGTACCGCGACACGGGCGTTGCTGCGGCATCTGGTTGACGACATCCTCGGCCACCACTAAAGCCCTGGTCGCGTTGGACATCCAAACCTGCTCGAACTGCAAGCCGACATTGCACTCGTATTTGGCCTCTGTCTCCTGCCTCTTCCTCATCCTCACCCCCCTGCCCCTCCGCCTCTTCTCCATGTCCCGTGCATGCCGCCGCACGTCCTCGCTGCTCGTCACCCTGATGGTATTCCCCAGGAACATGGGCGACGCCAGCGTGATGTTGTCGTAGTCGGCATGGACACGGCGGAGCTCCATGCTGGTGGCGAGGAAGGCCGTAACATGATCTCGTATGTGCCGAACCAGCGCCTGTGGGCCCTGAACCCCGACGAGGAGCTGGTCCATGTACCGTATGTACTTGACGCTGTGGATGCCATTCCCTCTGTCCCCGCACCGCTCCGCCCTGGGCGTGCAGTTTGCTTGCATCACCCTCTGCACCTCCCTGTCCGCGAAGGTGAGGAAGATGTTGCACAGCAGGGGCGTCAACGCGTTGCGCCGGATCCCCTTGCCCTGCTGGGGATAGAAGCACATGTCCTTGATGAGACCCACCAGCGCCCTGTCCCGGATTCGGGCGATCAAGCTCTTGGTGAGCAGGAAGTGATCCAGGGACTTGACGCAGTGCAGTATGTGCAGCTGGAGATACCATTCCACGCCCTGCCACGTGCTCTTTATCTGCCGGAACACGAGCTGGCGGCCGCTGCCCGGCCTCCAGCCCAGCGCCTGGTCTGCGAACCGCGGCTCAAACAGCCTCTCCACCACCATACGGACAGCCTCGTGGACGATGCGGTCCGTCTGGGCACCAATCTCCACGCGCCTGCTCTTGCGGACTCCAAACCGCGCCAGGGTTGCCTTGCCATAGGCTAGAGCGCACGCGGGGCCCGTCTGGAACCGGCAGTGCTCCAGCCCGAGGACACCCACCACCACCACCCGCCTGGCGCACCGCAGCATTGTTGGTATTGCGGCGAAGCCCTCGTTGTTGACAAAACACTTACATAAAACCTCTCTACCACCTCTACGCGGAGGCGTCCACTCCCATCTTGTGGCCCAAAACCCCCAGCTGGCGGCTCAACTCCGCGCCCGTCACCACCTCCGTGCAGCCATAAATGATGTTCTTGCCGGGTTGACACCTCTGGCCCAGCTCTACAAGGCTCCCATGCTCCAAGTAGTTGCCACCGCCAATCATGAACACGACAGCCTCCTTGAACGGGCCCTTGGTGTGAATTCCCGGCGCAGAGCCCTTGGGAGCACGCGGATCCAGCGTCATGTAAGACTCCAGCTCGGGAGCCAGCCTTGCCTCCATCAGAGATTCCACGGTTCGTGTAAGAGCCAATTGTCTTCCCGCGGACAGAAAGTTCTTGACGCCCGCTGTCACTGTTGTGGAGAGCCAGTCCACCAGGTTGCTCTTGCTGCCCGTGTTCACTGACGCCAGCGAGATGTTCAAGGACCGTATCCTTTTCACATAAAGAAACGATGTGACGTCCACCCGGGCCTCCCGAAGTGCTGCTTCCACAGATTCGATCTCTGCGCCCGCTGCGGATTCCATGGCCAGCAGATAGACGAGGCCAAGTCGCAATTTATCGTCGCTCGTACCCTTCCCCTTGAGGGCTCCCAGCAGCGCCGTCTTGTCAACCGTCCCCTTGGTCAGCATGTCCTCCTCCAGCGAGTAGAAGCCATCCAGATTCCGGCTCTTTATCTCCCCCAAGAGCGCCGTCGCGATGTTGGTGTGCTTGTCAATCATCTTCTTGCGCTCCGTCAGCTCCGGGAGGGAGTTGACGGCGCTCATCAGGTGCTTGGTGTTCCCCAGCAGCTCTTGCTCGTCAAACGGCACGTCAGCACGCCCCCCGGTTCTCCTGTTCACCTCCTCCACGTCCTCCTTGTACTTTTTCAGCTGGGCCTCCACTTCTTCCGCCACCTTTGGGAAGGCGGCAGCGTTGTTGGCCACCCAGAAGGTGTCCGACTCATCCAGCTCGAACGACTTGGCCGCGCCCTTGCCCGCCACGCCGGCAGCCGCGCCCTCCCCCTGAACCACCACGCGGTTGAGCTTCATGCCCAGGACGTCGTGCACCAGCGGCCTGTACGTCCACACGTGCTGCACGCCCACCGAGAGCTCAAAGTTCCTGTCGAAGATGCAGCAGAGAGGGCGCTGGAACGAGGTGCCAAAGTGGCCCGGCTCCGTGAAAAGGTTGTTCCTGGAGACGAGGTGGTCTCTGATCCTGGCGTCCAGCTGCGTCGCCACCATCTCCGCAGGCCCGCCCCGCGCACAGCGCAGCACCGGCACCACCCCGAGCGTGACGAACACCGAGAAGAGGCCGTTGACAATGGCGTCCACGGCGGCCTCGATGTCCTTGTCCTGGGCGCAAGGATCGTTGAGCCGGACGTACGTGTCGGGCAGCGCCAGCGAGAACATGGCCGTGTCGAGCGTGACGAACTCGGCGTACTGGTCAAACACCTTGGAGAGGCGGTGCATGCAGTCGTTCTTGAGGGCCCCCATGGCGAGCTCCTCGAGCAGCGCGCGCGGGAGCGACGAGGAGAAGTTGAGGTGGAAGGACTCGTAGACGCCACGGGCGGCGTCCTGTATGATCCTGTGGATGTTGGGCGCGGTTGGCTGGACAAAGTAGATGGCGGGGGCGTCGGGGATGTTTTGGCGCTCCACGTCGATCATGAAGCAGATGGTGACCCCGTGCTTGCGCAGCTCGTGGAGGTGGATGAGCGGCGACAGGATGTCCCGGCAAAACTTATCCACCACAAGCACCTTGTACACGGCGTCGTCGCCCGTGCCGCCCGCGGGGAGCGGCTGGTTGAGGTTGAGCATTCTCTTGATAACATCTGCGCGCAGCACCACCACGCTGCTCAGCTACGCCACAAAATCCAACCAGATCGAAGCTCTCACCTAGGTGCTTGTGGCGCAGCGACATCGCCATGGCTGCCTCGCTCCGCTGCGCGCCAAACAAACCCTAGATCTATCTTCGACTGACTAGGGCTTTGGCCATTACTAATGTCAGCATTGGCGGGGTGCGTGCTCCTTCGCCCCTACACCCAGTCCCCCAAGGAGCTGCTTGTTCGCCCCCGGGAGGCGTGGGGAGCGCGGCGCGTGCCGCCGCGCCTCCTTGCTCCCCGCGGAATGGGAAGGCGCTCCAGCAAGATCGCTGCCAGGAAGGTAGGGTAGGCTTTTTTTTGCGCGATAGATACTTGTGGTCAAGGAATGCTGCCTTGTGTGAGCAGGGAGCGCAAGCGGCAAGGAAGATGAAGAGGAACCAAAGAATTGGCAAGCAGATCGCAAAAGCGTACGTGCACCAGATTGTTGTGTGTTCCCCGAGTCGGAGGTTTTGTGCTTGCACAGCGTTCGCGACGGCGGGCCAAATCCTGCGTCCAATCTGGTGCTGGCGTCGCTGCTGCAACAGGCCAGGGAGTGCAACTATCCCAAGGAGCACATTGACAAGCACCTGAGGAAGGCCACGGACAAGGATCAGCAAGACTACACCGAATGCATCTACGAGGTGCTGCATTTCACTGTCTCCTGTTGTGGCGCCATGCTTCAAAAGTCTGCGTTTCTCAGGCTTATGGCTTTGGAGGCGTTGGGCTTGTCATGGAGGCCCTCACAGACAACCCCAACCGAGCGTTTGCCAGCATCCGGGACGTGGTGAAGAAAAGTGGAGCCAAGATGGCGGACTCCGGTTCGGTCATGTTTGGATTCAAGCGAGCAGGAGTAATTGCGGTAAGGCCGGACAAAGTGGATGCCGACCACCTCTTGCTTGCAGCAATGGACGCGGGCGCGGAGGATCTCATCGCCCCTGAGCCCTGCCATGAAGAAGATACGGACGGAGCGGCAGCAGAGGAGAGGTATAAAAGCTCTCTCTCCCCATCTCTTAAGAGCAGCGACCGCTCTCTCTTCGCCTCTCATCGGCTTGGCTCGCCAGACACTACAAGGTTGTGATGCCGGTTGAGGAGTTTGGAGCCGTCAAGACGAAACTGAGCGAGGCCGGAATCAGCATGGACCTGGAAAGCTCTGGGCTCGAGTTTTTACCCGTGGCACCTGTGGAGGTGGGCTTCTCTCTCTCTCTCACTTTTACTGCCTCGCTAGGTTGTCAAGCATCGAGTGTTTGAGCAGGTGGACGATGAAGCAATGGAGCTCAACAGAGCCTTGACAGACATGTTACTGGAGCTCGAAGACGTGGACGCTGTTTATTCCACGCAAAAACAAATAAAATTTTGATAAACCCTACCTAGCTTTGCCCTAGAATGCGAGCGGGATGTTCCCTCCAGCCGCAGCTCCAGAGGTTATGCGCGCCGCCGAGAAGGACGAGCAATACGCTTCCTTCGTCTGCGAATCGTGCTACGATGCGTTTCGCCACGCATTTGGTATGTGTTCCTTTGTGCCAAATCGAATTGCAGTGCAGCTCATCCCATCCATGTCAACCAGGAACTCGGCTTGCTGTGGCCTACCAGAATGAGGTACAGAGCTTTCCTCTTTTGACACCACCGCGGCCACGACTTGTTTCCCTTTCAGACCAAACTTGCTGGCCGAGCCCTCTACTACCTCCTGACCACGGGGGCGGGACTCCAGACCTTGGGCGAGGAGTATTGTGACATCTTACAGGCAAGAATCTTGCTGTTCTCTGTAGCTTTATGTTGGACTTGTTGCGTATCAGGTGGCAGGGGCATCTGGCCTTCCCCCGTCTCCTGCTAGACGTGTTCTTCTCATCTTCTATCAAGCGATTCTCCCATATCTCGGAGAACGTCTCAGGTAATCAGGGAGACTGTTGGTAGTTCTCATGCTCCGTGTGCACTTCTCTCAGCTCCAGAGCAGCCGCACGAGGAATCCTGTTAGCAAACGAGGAGGGGAGGCGCGCACGCTCCTCGCTCTCGGGTGGAGAAAATACACGAGCTACAGCAACCAGTAGTCTTTCTTACACGGGGCTGCTGCAAAAGAGTGATCAAGTGCTCAAGTGGCTGCAATGTTTATGGTCTGCTGCCCTGCAGGGCTGGGCTGTGGTATGAATAGATTTATCGTCACAGCTGCTTGCTAAGCCCTTGTAACTGCAGATTCTACCTTCCTTGCGCGAAGCTCTTCTACTTCTTTCACGAGCGAACTTGATGCTCTTCTATTTCGATGGTAACTTGCGAGCTCATTTGCTTCATCCTTCACTTTGACCGTCCTTGTCTTCAGGAATATATTATCATCTTGCAAAACGAGCAGCTCGAATACGTTACATCCATATGGGAAAGGCAGCGCAGCAAAGGCCCAGGTTTTGCGGAATGCTATCGATTGATATTACAGCCATGATCGTGGAAATTTGCAGGTACCACATGCTCGGTATGTTCCTACTTCTTCAACTATCGATTTTAAGCGGGCATTGGCTACGACGAAGTATTCTACCAGCTGTTGCTCTATCGATGCAATCACCCTCAGTTAACAGTGCCTCTCCTCCCGGAGGTGAAGTTTTTCTTTTATTTCTTTCCAAATATTTATAGATCTTGTCGTAATACATTATCAGCACCTCATCAAAGGATAACTATTCTGGATGAGGACGGAAACATGCCTCAGAGAAGCTCATTGGAACTAGAGGTGAGAATCAAACAGTTTGTGTGTAGAAAATAATCCCGTCGTGCAGAAGGAGGCTTCTTCGACGAAATGCCCACTGTGCTTAAGTCCCCGCCAAAATCCCACGGCAACGCCTTGCGGTCATGTGTTTTGCTGGTATGAACACGCTTTGGGTGTTGATCCTTCTACGGTTTTGACTTTCAGGACTTGCGTCGCGGAATGGTGCAATGAGAAACCCGAATGCCCACTCTGCCGAGCTCCAGTACTGCACTCTAGCCTCGTCTGCGTGTACCATGCAGATTTCTAAACAAGAGTGTGCTACGCGCATGCTTCCGAGGCGTCATTGTTGACTGTCATCTTTGAACCAGTCCCAACATTTGTCCTTTGTATCGTCCGGGGATATGAGGTGCACGCTCTCTGGTTTTTAACTAGTGTTTTGATTGCTCTGGATCTGGTGCAGGCATTGATGGAAGTGAAAGCGCTTGTGCTGGCATCCCTGCTAAGTTTTCTTCGTCTTGCTGCGGGACAGAGCTTTACACTGAGCTCAGCATCCTTCAATTCAGAGGAGCGTGGTTATTTAAGTTCAGGGGATGCCACTTACGAGCCGTCGTGCGGCTGTGTGCACCTGACAACAAGCGAGTGGAATCAACAGCCTGTCAACTCTTCCGGCCGGATCGTCTACAGGCACCCCTTTGATTTTCGTGACGACTCGCTGCGCGGCGTGGCCTCTTTCAACACCTCTTTCACTTTCCAGATCGTGCGAGTTTTTGAGGATGGCAACTCTGGGATTGGACCTGGGGCCGGAATGGCGTTTATGCTGGTTCCTGAAGCAAACATGAGGCTACCGAAAAACAGCTATGGGTTTTACATGGGGCTTTTGAACGAAACCATGCAAGGAAACAACTCGACGCATATGCTAGCTGTGGAATTTGACGATGTGCTCAACACAGATGTTGGAGACCCCAGCGCAAGTCACGCAGGGGTGGATATCAACAGCGTCATCTCGGTCGCCACTGCCAACTTGACAGGAGAGTTCAACCTGACGGCAAACTATACGCTGACTGCTTGGATTGAATACGACGCTACGACGGACTGCCTGGAAGTTAGGATGGCAAGGAACAGTACGGAAAGGCCGCGCGAGTTCCTCCTCAGGACGAACTTCAGCTCCCGGGGCTGGAAACTGTCGGGTGTATTGAATCAAGAGCGGATGTACGTGGGGTTTTCGGCAGCAACGGGGCAGGATTGCTTCCAGTTTCACAGGCTGTATGCCTGGAATTTTACAATGTCCCGGGTGACGAAGTGCAATGGCGTGGACTGTCCAGTGGTGAAGGTTCTGGTCGCGCTTTCGGTGGCTCTTGCTCTGGCCTTGATGGTGGCACTTGCCATGGTTGTGGTCTTTCGACGTACCAAAAAGATCGCCTACACCATTCACATGCCAGAGTCCGTTGGCATCACTCGGTTCTCATTCAAGGAGCTTCGGTCTGCCACCAGAGGATTCTCCAAAAAGCTGCTGCTGGGCCGCGGAGGTTTTGCCAGCGTCTACAAGGGCACTCTAAAGGATAGAACCGCGGTCGCGATCAAGTATTTGAACAGGGACAAGGCGGAAGCAGACTCGGAAAACAGCATCGCACAGTTTGTCGCGGAGATACGAGTGATTGGTCAGCTCCGGCACCGGAATCTCGTGGGACTCAAGGGATTCTGCTTCGAGAGAGCAAAGTTTTGCCTCGTCTACGAGTACATGCCAAATAGGAGCTTGGACAAGCACCTGTTTGATCCGAAGGGCAAGCTGGAGTGGCATCAGAGGCTGGCTATCTTGAGAGGAGTAGCGGAAGGTCTGGCATTTCTTCACGAAGGGTGGCAACAGCGCGTTCTCCATCGAGACGTCAAGGCAGCCAATGTTCTACTAGACGCATCTTTTGGTGCCAAGCTGGGGGACTTTGGCTTCTCCAAGCTGGTAGATCACGGAACGGGCAGCTGGTACATGACAGCAGTGGGAACAACGGGATACATGGCACCGGAGCTCTACACTGGAAGAGCAACCGAAAGAAGCGACGTCTACAGTTTTGGGATCCTGGCTCTGGAAGTGGTGAGCGGCCGACGAGCTACGTCGCTGAGCAAAGACAAGAACGACGAGGACAGCGTGCTACTTGACTGGGTGCGGGAGTTGGCTTGCGATGGGCGGGACATGGAAGCCGTGGATCCCAGGCTCCATGAAGCAGCAGCAAGAGCGGAGGACATAGTTCGCGCAATTCGCCTGGGACTACACTGCTGTCAGCTGGAGGCGTATAAGCGGCCAACCATGCGGGCGTGCTGCCAACTTTTGCAGTCGAATGCTGCGTGCCTGGAAGCGCCTCCGATGCCAGCCATTGTTTCCAGCCCTTCCGTCAGAGGCTTGAGCCTCGACGGCAGCGGCGAAGGCTTCAACGTCGATGATGATGCAAATCACTCGTCATGAGCTGTTTAGATCTGAATCCGGCTGCTCGGAAGATGTGTTTTGGACGACGCCGCTGAGTGATGAACAGTGAGCATTTGTCGCGTTTGAGAGGCTTCTTCTTACCTGGCAAGGGGTTGTATTGCTCGCCGTAATCACAGGGACGGCTATGGCCTCGCCAATGCAAGCCGCCAAGATGCCATGTCTGCTGTGGAGTAGCTGGACAACCTTGCATTCGCGCGCACAAGAGAAGCAGCAATGGCGTTCTTGGAGAAGCCAGAAGAGCTTTCGGCCCAAAGTGCTGGAGGTTAGCAACCGCTTGTCAGCCTCACTGATATCTCCTTGCCAAGGCCAGCCACTGTTTTGCTTGATAGCATCCTGTGCCGCGCTTGCTCAAGTAAGTCTAGTCTTGACTTTGCAAGAGGAGATGTTGTTGCATGGACAGGTATTGGAAGGACGAACAAAGTGGGGTGAGCATCTATCTTCGCCGGTGCTGTCAATGGCGTCTGGAATGCTTCTTTCGTCCCTTCAAGTCATTCCCACAGCCGCACCAGTCTACGAGAATGTAAGTTCTGGCTCTCTGTTTTTCTGCTAACATATTGCACGCAGGTACTGAAGATAGCGATGCCAATGGCGGTGGCACTCACTCTTTTGGAAACTGATGTGCAGCGGGCCTTCACAGATGCTGGTAAGAAGTTGCTACTTTTTTGTGTCTCGATCAATACCCCTAGGCTATCTAGTGGCATGGAAATGCGTTTGCAAGGTTCTACGCTCAAGGCCTTCTGGATCGGAGCCGCGGGAACGATACTTGGGACACTTGTGGCCTTTTGGATTGTTGGGAGGCATCTTGGACCTGATGGCTGGAAGGCTAGTATACCTGCAACTCCCGCTTGACTTTTCAAGAATTTCTCTTGTAGCAGATTGCGTCGTGTCTTTGTGCCAGTTATGTTGGTGGCAGCATCAACTATGCAGCCACTGCGCAGGTAAGGAAGTTGGTTTTTTTGTTTCCTTTCTTTTTCTATCGTCTGACGATTTGGAGTACGAATATAAGGCGCTCGAGCTGAGCTCGGGGAGCACCCTTGCCGCTGGAATCGCTGCTGATAATCTTGCAATGGTTCTCTACTTCGGCATTATCATGTGGATACCCGCTGACACTCGGAGACCACCTCCACATATTACTCGAGGTTTGCTGAAATTCTTACTCTGTTTACGAAGACTGACTTGTTTTATTTATTACAGAGGAGGCTTCTGAACTTGACGCAAAACCAACAAGCGAAACAGTCATCGTATCTCTTGCTGTCGCTGCTGCATCATGCACCATTGGCAACGCTCTCGCGGCACTTCTTCCCTCCACATTCGCAGGCAGGTCTCTTCAGCACGCTTGGATCACTCATCTAATTCTTGAAATGTTTCCAGGTTGTGGCTTGGCCATCATGGCGCTTGTGGCGTCTGCATTTTCAGCAGTTGCAGCGAGGGCGTGCCATTCCCAATCCCATTCTCGTTCCGCAAGAGGCACCAGCGTAGCCGTGTTTGCGGGCTCTCAAGTCATTGGTGGCGCTCTCATGCTCCTCTTTTTCGCAGTGGTACGTACCATGCGCTTTTGTCTCCCGCGCGCCTAATCTTTCGAGAGCGTTTGCAGGTTGGTGCATCCTGCAGCATACGTGACGCCGTTTCAGCTGGCTGGCCTCTCTTCACTTTTATCCTTCTTTTGCTCTTGGTAAGAGGCATGAAATCGAGCTCTCTCATCCCGTGACCACGTGATTCGCAGACTCACCTGGGCTTTACACTCGGCCTTGGATCGCAGTGCAAGATCCCAATGCGCGCGGTACCTATAGGTTCCCTTTGGACGACGCTTCTAACTAGGATTGTTTTTCAGCTATTGGTTGCATCGAATGCTAATATAGGCGGTCCGGCAACCGCTGCGGCAATGGCGAACGCTCGTTGCTGGAAAGAACTGGTTGGTACGTTGGTACACACGCAATCAACATCTCTAAGCCTGTGAATTGCAGATTCGGCCTTCAATATTGGTGGGAACACTGGGATACACGATTGGAACGGTCATTGGATGCGTGCTGGGAACAAGCACGCTGAGAACCATGACCCCTTTGTAAGTTTTTCTTTCCGACTTTGTACGATACGATGTCAGCGTTGCGTCAGTTGCTTTGCACCTCGTGGCTGATCCAACACCAGGCATTGTCTTGATTGTGCGGCCTTTTGAAAAAACAATAAAGAGCTCACACCTGTGCATGAGGATCAACCACAGGTTGGACGACAAAGCTTGATATTCATTCCATTGTCCCGTTTTAGAGACTTGCCTAGAGCACTTGGGGACGACACTTTCGTTCCCCTTTTCTTCTTCTTTGTCGCCTTGTTCTTGTCAAACGCGCCCGGGTCTCGCTTCTTCCTTCCGCTGCAACATCCCCTCGCTCGCTTCATCAGACATACTGTTAGAGTTTATATACTTCTCGGAAAAGCGCCATGTTGTCGCAGCAAGGACGGTTGCATGGCTACCTGATGCTCGCCCAGCTCGCCTTTGCAGGGTTTGAGATTCTGTCGCGCATCGCACTCGCTACTGGCACGCATCCACTGGCTTTCACATTTTATCGCAACTGCGTTGCATCACTGGTACTTGGAGTGGTAGCAGCCTGGACAGAGAGGTAAGATTCATCTTTGTTTGTGCTCATCCATGTCGATCCCGGGATATACAGCGAGCACAAGCGGCCACAGCTTGGGACCCTGCTCTACTTGTTTGGACTGGGATTCCTCGGGTGAGTCACGAAGCCACGACACAGTGATAAGAATTAGAGTTCACCATTGGCCTTTGGTTTCCAGCGTCACCGTTAATCAAGTCTGCTACTTGGCAGGGCTCAAGTACACATCGGCCATCTTCGCCTCGGCCATGCGAAACTCGACTCCAGTCTTCACTTTCGTCATAGCCGCTCTGTGGAGGTGTGTGATACTGGTGTGTGATACTGATAGATCTATATTTTCTTCGTTTTGACACTAGGCTGGAGAAAGTTGATCTAAAGAGACGAGATGGACAGCTCAAAATTTTTGGTTCTTTGCTGGGACTGTGTGGCTCGCTTATTCTCTCCATCTATAGGGGACCCGTTGTCATCAAGAGCAATATCTCCATCTCTTCAACTGCAGGGACCACTAGGTCACATATCAAGGCCGACGCCAGGAAAACTCTTCACTTGCTGTGGTTTAGCGTCTCCATGCTATCCTGGCAGATCGGAGCGTTCTTCTTGACACTTGCTTGCATCGCCTTTGGAGGCTTTCTCATTCTCCAGGTATGAAACGCCGCTCTTTATTTACACTACACTATCTCTAACGTTGTTTCATATGCTCTAGGCGCCAGTGCTGGACAGGTATCCATCCCCGGTTTCGTTTGCAGCGTTTACATGCCTCTCAAGTGTGATCCAGACGCCATTACTGGGAGCTTTTTCCAAGTGGAATAACTGGAAGATCACGTCCACTTCAGAAGCTCTAGCCATCCTGTATGCTGTAAGACACTTCTGATCAAGGCTTCTTTCACTTTCTGCTGATCAAGTATCAACTTTGGCGCAGGGAGTGATTGGTTCTGCTCTCGTGTCTTCGATTCAGTCATGGGGAGTCCTTACACAGGGACCGGTGATCGTTGCCGCGTACCAGCCACTGGAAACGATTTTCACAGCTCTCTTCAGCATGGTGTTCCTCAAGGAAGACCTGCAGCTGGGAAGGTACGTGTGCCACAATGTTATCACTTTCAAGAAGCAAAACTTGACCAGCGTGATCACCGCAGCATCATAGGGGGGAGCGTTGTCATCGTCGGCTTGTACGCACTGATTTGGGGGCAGAGCCAGGAGCAGCTCTTGGATGAAGCAGCAGCACATCAACTCCCGGAAACAGTGCTCGGCCTAAACATCATTCCACAGTCACTCTTGCAGTATCCACTTCGTAGGTTCTCGTGCGACCTTGAGACGAGGAGAGACGAGCATCGAGCCGATGACGCACAAGCAGTTCATAGGAGGCATTCGCTCGCAGCTCTCACCAACGACAATGCAGGAGCCCAAGGACCTCTTCGCCGAATGTCGTCAACGTTTCGGAGCCTTCTAAGGGAATTTGAAAGAGGTCCAAACCCGAACGATCTAGAGAATCAGCAGCTGCTACGTGAAACCACAGACTCAGCCTCAGTAGTAGATACACAAACTCAAAGAGTCACCTTGTAACACTCGTAGCTGGTGTTGCATGCAAAGAAGTTCCATATATTACATAGACACACGTACAAAACTAGGCACTCGCTTCATCTGTAGAAAAGCATCCAGAAACAAAGAGTGGCAACTAAGAGACTAGATGGCATGGCTAGTGCGTACGCTCGAGATGGCGGTGGTGCTGCGACTTGAACGGTAGGAGGTGTGGGTATGGGAGTTAAGGCTGGGGCTGTTACTGACGAGGGAAGCTTCTTGGTGCAAGTAAAGTTGCACTTGGTGGGGTTGACAACCTTGAAGATGCCAGCCGAAGTGAGCATGTACAGGTTTCTGCTGTTATCCTCGCCCCACGCAAACACAAACCCGATATCGGGAAGTGGACTGCCGCTCACATACTTACATGCCAGAGTCGAACCGGAGCAGCTGAAGTTCAGTGATGCACTCGTGTAGTTTCCACTGCCCTCGGGAGTTTCAGTGATTCCCCAGATGTTTCCTCCGTATAAATCAGCATAGAGGTACCTGCGATACCAAAGAATGTGAACTCATCTTACATAAGAGGCCTAGTACCTGCCGTAGAGACACGGATCCTGCAACGATCTCGAAACGGAGCCACCGATGATGGAGGCTGAGCCTTGCTCCTTGTTAACGCTGTCGTGGAGGTAAGTTGCAACGGGAAATATAGCTTGCAATGGATTTAGGCTCGTGTTTCCGCCTGGTGACCACGGGCCACTGTAATTCGCTACTCCATCAAACGTCCTCCATCCGTAATTCCCTCCTTTGGTAACCAGGTTCACTTCTTCGTAGATGCTCTGCAACCGGCACAGAAACGCTTGATAAGCTCGTTTGATAAGCTCAGCAGCAAAAGCAGAGACAGAAATGTACAGACCTGTCCAACGTCCGTGCAGTAGAAGTACTCGGGTTTTGCGCTGTCAAAACTGCACCGCCAGGGATTCCGAAGGCCCAAAGCCCATATCTCAGGACGTGAATCGTTCTGCCGAAGGAATGGATTAGTTTCCGGAATGGAGTATTTTCCCCACAGTCCCAAGGTAGACACCTCCTGATCGGCTGCTCAGAAAGTTCAAGGTAAAAACGCGGCACCTCACGCTTAGAAAGAGAATCGACTCACTTGGCGTTTTGTCAATGTCGAGGCGAAGGATCTTCCCAAGTAGAGACTTTTTGTTCTGAGCAAAGTTGAAAGGATCGCCTATGCCACCTCCGTCTCCCATCATGAAATACAGGTACTTGTCCTGAGGTCCAAAGAGCAGTAAACCGCCGTGGTGAGTTGTGTAAGGAAGGCCCATGGACAGTATCCTCCTAACTTCGTTCGGGTTCGCTTTCAGAGCCTGGATACTAACAAAGATGAGAAAAAAGAAAGAATAAAAAACAACTCTTTCTACCTGCGAAGGTGATATGGTTGCATTGCCGGCTGAGAATTCAGAGATGACACTCGAGTACTGGCAAGGAAGCGTCCCGTCGGAAGAGCGAACTTGGGAAGGGTCACAACCAACATCAGCGTTGCATGTACAGCGCGCGCCACCACAACCGGCCCACTTCTGCTTGTCGCAGTTGTAAGACACAAAGAAGCGGCCGTTTTTCACAAACTCGGGATGGAAGGCCACGGACATGAGGCCGAACTCTCTGTCAGATATGATGAAGTTGCTGATGTCGAGAAACGGAGCCGCCTTATCGACTTTGATGCTAGTGTTGGAGCCTTCGTCCGGAAGAAGAACAAGATATATCTGTCCCGTTTGCATCGCAACAAAGGCCCTGTTGGACCCATCCGGATGAGGAACAAGACCAATGGAGTTGTCCTCCCCAACCTTGTCAAAGCATACACCTGCAGGAGGCACGTCGCTTTGCTCTACGGTAAAGTTGTACGTGCTCCCATCGAAGCAAAACTGCCCCACCTCTTGAGGCAATCCCAAAGCCTCACAAAAGCTGGTATTCGACTGCCACTGCTCGATAAGTGTCTCGTTTGCAGACGAGTTCTCCGACAGGCTCGAACCCGGTGGCAGCGTTCCCACAAGGCTGGGAGAAAATGGCGAGCCCGGGATGGTGAGGTTCTTGCAAGCATCCCAAACATCGAAGCAGTATCCGCCTCCGCTGGAGGGCCCGGTGCTAGAGTTGCACAGCAGGGGGACGGATCGCAATCTCCTTCCACCAAACAAGTCAGCAGCGAAGGAGTCGCATTTCTATCCATGGAAAGAGAGAGCTCAATTCAAGCAGTTGTTTGAAGAAGAAGCCGTACCGAGCAAAGCACTTGCTTGATGTAGTTCGCGCAAGTTGCATCGGAGATATTCATAGCCGCAAACTGGGATCCAATGGCCGAATCGTCCGATGCCGAGCAGCACCCAGTCCCCGAGTACTGGGAGCAAAATCTGAGCTGACCGACATCCCGCAATGGAGCCTCTGTGACGAGAGAAACCCCTAAGAAAATTTCAAACTTGGTACCACTCACCTTGGTTGAGGCAAAGGGGAAGGGCTGAAGCAGTGTGTAGCAGCAGCAGCAGCAGCGGTAGCAACGAGGATAAGAGCAAAGCCGCCATCTCCCCCGATCCTCCTCCTCAATCCTCCTTTCGGAAGCAATCTGCTTTCCTCCCAGAGTCAACTCTCACGCATGGGACCCTACAGCCATAACTTTGTCCTGCTACTCACTTGACTCTTGCTTGCAGATGCGCAGTCGTGTTCCCCGTGTTGACTCGCAGCAGCTAGGTGCTACCAAAGAACCGCCGCGTTGAATCTCTGAAACTTCTAAACAATGCGCTGGCTTGGTATTTATCTAATTACAGAACATTATCTCTCAGATAATGTACCTCATGACGCTCCTTCCATCGTGTAATCGTACTCAATTGTTGGAATGACCGACACCATGAACAGAACTAGCGTCAACAAGCCAATCCAAGCAGGGAAAACATCCACCCTTCGTGACTACAAAATCGGGATGATCTCCGGGCATGGGCATGGCAGTAAGGATGAACTGAGGCATGCTGCTCAGCCATGTGTGGATGGTCTTCAATTGTAACATATGAAAAATGTCCGCAAGCTTATTGTTTGATGGAACGCAGAGAAGAATGATTTGTCCATCTAAAACTTTCTCTTGGACGAAGATGTTGTGGCGTGATAAACTTTGATCCTGAGCTTGTCTTCGAAGATGTCAGTCAAGATCATGCTCGTCACACGATGAGCATTTCACTAATTCCTGTCACTCTGCTTCGTCCACTGCAACGCTGTAGAGAGGGCTACGAGAGGCTGCAGCAATCAGCTTGGGGCTGCATTGAAGAGATTGACACGCGCATTGCTCGAGAGAAAGAGTGGAAGGTCGTTCTTGCTAGAACTTGACACATGGCAAGAACAAAAATGATGAAAGCAAAAGGATACAGACCAAATTGCCCCTTCCTACATACCAGATATCATACCTGATATCTGTTTACCTTGATGTCCGCCGTCCTCCATTGTTTCTCCACTATGCTTGTCATCACGTCTTGCTTTCCCCAACAATCGCTTCCTATCAACTTCCGCTATCAACTTCTCTGGACTAAGTGGATCACATGCCTTCTCGAGCAGGGCAACGTCTCTGGCAGTAGCTTCATACCACTCTTGGGACAAAACCTCCGTGATCAGGGCACCGCCAAAGCCAACCAGCTTAACATGCAGCTTCCCAGCCTCGTCGACTTTGCTCACAACCTTGGACGTGTTGATGTCGCGGATGGCAATCCCACGCTTGTGGATCGCGCGCAAGCACTCCATCGCCTGCTTCAGAGTCTCCCCCTCGTCACTTAAGATGAACTTCGAAGGATTGGAGCACTGCTCGAGCTCGCTGAAACCACCGTCGGTCATCATAACGAAGACGAACATCGCCCCCTTGAGGAACCCCCACGACAGAAGCTTGGGAACCGCAGAGCCCTGTACGTTCTTGAGCCTCGTGTAGCAGTCCACCTCCGTAGCAAGCTTGGCGAGACCGAGATTGATACCAGCCTTGTACTGGCTTGTCAAGTCCCTGATCTTCACCACCACGTCTTGTCCAGCATACTTCGCTCGAACAGCAAACACCGTCTGGTTAGCGTTGCCATCGCGATGCAGCGGTAGCGTATCCACTTGCCTCAGATCTTCGAACTTGAATCCATCGTCCGTGACTGCCTTGTCGACGATCTTGCGTGGATCGATGTTGCTCAGCTTGCACACGAGCTCCAAGATCTCAAGGACGGGGGAGAAGTCGAGCTTGGGCAGCACGCTCCTCACGCCCGTCAGCGGTGGCAGTCCTTCCTTCCTCGCCACCTCCACTGCGAAGCCGAGCGCCATGAGCGGATTGTTCATGGCGGGCGACGAGACCAGGAGCTCATTCGCCGTAGCCCTCTTGCAGAGCCACGACGAGTTGAGATTCGTGAGCACCCCAAAGCGAGCTCCCGTGATCTCCATGTAATTCACGAGCCTGTCTTGCACCAGGTCCAGCTTGTCGGGCAAGTTGAAGAAGTCGAGCAAGAAGAGTAGAACTGGAGTGGCGTCGCCCCGGCGGAACAAGCATCCTTCCGGCCTCGCAATGGCGCCTGACTCGAAAGATCCAAAGATTTCCTCGTTTTTGTCGCGGAAAAGACCTACCATTTGCGAGAGGTAGTTCCAGTAATAGATCGTGAAGAAGGGGTAGAGAGGGGGTCGATCGGGCAGCTGACCATACCAAGACTGGATGTCCGCTTCGATATCCCACCTCCCTACACTATAGCCGCCGCGATGCATCAAGTCGCCAAGCGGTGCTAGTGGCCCCATAATCAACAACTTCTTGACAGGGTCGGGAACCTTGGGATACGGCATCGTCATGGCGTGCTTGAGAGGTACCAGGGCAAGCCGCGCATGGAAGGCAAGCAGTGGATGCTCCTTTTCCTCCGCCATTGTCGAAAACCAAAAACCCTAGAGTCCCAGGCGAGATGAGATGCAATCTATCCGTGCAAGAGCATTGGCAAGCTTGAGCGCCTCTTGTGTTTTTGTAGCACCATGCCATCAGGGTTGAATCTTGGCAACTATTTACAAATAAAAAAACAAAATAATTTGCTCATGTATGGTTTGCTTAGTATTATTATTCTTACTTAATTGATCAAATAAAAGTTTATAATTATAACCATGTTTATAATTTATAAATATAAGATTAATTTTATTGCACCTTTAAATGGTAGAATAAAAAAGAATATACTAGAAAGTGTTTAAGAAAGTTTAAAAATTATAAACATGTTTATAAATTATAATACAAGATTAATTTAAATAAATAGCAACAATTAAATGGTAGAATATCCTAGAATATTCAAGCATATTCTAAGTATATCCCTACCATTCCACTTCCCTACAAGTTTGCTTAAACAAACAAAAAATTCTTGGAAACATCAAAACTAAGAGCAATTCTTATTAAAGGTTAGATTACAAAATATAAATAAAAGATAAAATATGTTTAAAACATCTTACAAAACTGAAATTTTCTCACAATTAACTCAATAATTTAGATCTCATAAATATAGTACAAATATAAAATAATAAGAAATAACTATTCACCATCTATAAAAAGAAAATTTTAAAAGTATACAGCTCCAATGCTATATTTGTATTAGGATTTTGATAGTTATTTGATTAATTTCAATCTAGACCATTTGCTTTTGTATATAACTTAAAAAATTTGGGCTAATCAAATATGCATATTTTTTTAATCTATGCACTCATATTAGCGGCTCCATTTTGGGGCTTAAGGATTTGTATTTCACACATAGATGCCATTCTTAGGGCTTGCATCCTTAAATTTTGAATAGGACTTATGGAAGTTGTGAATGAGATTCTTTTATGTGGTCGAAGGTGTGGTTCAAGTATATCACCACTTGATATTGGCATCGGAAAGTCCCAAAAAAGTGAGTCTTCCTCGAGGAGTAGCATGTCAAGAGGGCATGACTCTCCACTTTAGTTCATATATGATCATGCATGTTAGCAATGTGGTGGATAAAAAACAAGGGAACGACTTTGGGATCTTAGGAATAGTATAAAGTTTTTCTCAAAAAGTTGAGGATGTGATCCAGATAAATATTTGACTTAGCAAACTGGCTAATATGATTGTGATAAATAACTACAGTTGGAATCATGGGAATGATGGAAACTCTTGGATGATAAAGGAGTCATAAAATTATCCTCATATAATTGAGGATAGTGCTCAAGAATTTAAAATACCAGAAAGTGGTGTTTGGTATCATAAGGGCATTAAATAATGCCCAAAGGACCAAGTCCCTAGTGAAAAATAAATAAAAGGTACTATTCAATATTTAAGATTGTAAAGATGAGAGAAGTCCGTGTATGCACATGTGCACTTAAACTAAAAGAGCACTAAAGAAGGAAATTCTAAATTGTCAATAAGTCAAACATACTTGACATAGTGATGAGAAATTTATATTGTTTATTTGCTCTTGCTAGTGTTGGGAACCCCCATAATATTGAACTTAATCCCTCAATAATGCTAAATGATAACTTACTTTATCTGCCAAACACTCTCGCTATCATATCTTATATGTTGGTCCTATTTAGGTCCCATGAGTTATTTATGATAAATGCTTAAATCTATCAATGAAGCATATATGTAGAATGTAGAGATTGTCATTCCACATTCTCTACATGTAGAATGTAAAATGTAATGGTTACTCTCAACAATTGGTTGTTACAACCATTTTGAAGAACCAAGAATAGGAAAAATTAATAGAAATATACCTCGAGAAGTTCCTCGGTTATAGGCATAATTTAGATAATCATCATCATAGTTAACTAATTCTTCTATATTTGGATTTGCACACCTTCATTATGGTAAAACTTCTTGCATGTTTGGTTCTCTTGTTTTGGAGGAACTTGCTCCACTTCCTCCTCCCATCATAAAGGAATTTCTTATAATTTTTTCTCGTTGGTATCTTCACTCTCTTCACCATTGGCACTAATAGTGTTGACATTTTCATAGCCACCATATTTGTTATCTAGCACGTTTTCATTATTGCCTCTAGAATCCTTTTAGTAAGTTGGTGCATAGCTGGGATCTCCAATTCTCAAGGGCAAGATCACTTTATCACTACTGGAAAGTTGTTGAGTACATGCTTTAGTCTCTCATACTATGCCTCAGGAGTTAATTGCATACCAGTGTTTCAAGAGGAATGCCTCTATGTCAGAGACGTTGCTAGCTTACCAGACATGGGCAGCGGCAGGCGAGGCACTCCCACCCACGCATTCACCCGTGCCCATGCCCTTGTGCTGGTTTGCCATTGTACCAAGCTTGGGTGGTAGTGATCAAGGCACTTGGCACACCCACACCCTTGCACCCACATCCTCACCCTCACCCTCACACCCTCACACCTATACCCATATGCCTGCACCTCACCCTTACACCCATGCCCTAGCCCTTGCATTTGTGCTTGGTCTGGCCTAGTCCATGCCAATTCGCCGGCATACTAGGTATGGGGCACGGAGGTGGGTGTGGTTGGGAGTAGGTAAGAAGGAGAAGGAAGAAGAATAAAAAGAGGATACTTACTCTTGGTGGTAGGGTACTTTATGGCTGCCCTAACTCTAACCTAACTCTTATCATGGTTGTTCATTATGAATGGAAACATATCCATTTATTTCCACATTTATTTTGTTGTAATTTAAAATTTCTACTCCTTTCCAGATTTGATGATATGGCAAAATCCTTATGAGTTCTGACCTATTAATATAGGTGTGCCATAATGTGACTATGCCATCTATAATATCACAGCTATATGTGTGGAATGTATAAATTAATGGCAATACAAAATGACAAACAAGAATTGTATGTTTTCTTGCACACCATGGAACCTTGTCATAAATTTTTAAAATCATAAATTCATATAATTCTTGTACTTATTCTACATTCATGTCATATGAAGGTGCTATTTCTAGAGCAATGTGACATATAATTGGCAATATATGATATATGGTAGTACACAAATGGAATTGCTTAAAGTTATTAATTAGAGTAACTTTAGTAGAAAAAAAAGAAATATCATTTCAAGCATGTGCTATTATGTGAAAGGTAGGAATGATTTTATTCTAGGATCTAACAAATAATAAAGTGGAATTGTCTTTTAGTTTCAAATAGTGCACACATATTTAGTATGTATAAAAGCTAAAAATCACCTTCTTCTATACTTATTTCAATGAAGTATAAAGGACTTTGTTCTACAATCTTAAAAGTCTACATTATTTTACAATCTTTACACTGAATTCAAAAACATGATAGACCTTTTATAAAAGTGTAAACTTCTAAAACATAAAGGCAACCAAATGGAGAGCTAAAGTCTTGTTTTATAAAGTTTTTTTGCCAAAATTTTGATCTTTGTCTTGGCTCTATATCATAAGAGGTTGTGATTTGCAATGACATTAGTGTAGTTAAACACTCATTTCTTTTGGGTGTGGGTGAAAGTGAATAACATTAGGATTTATCAAGGAAATTTAAGTTTTTGGATTTCCAGTTAAAGTGCCAAACTATGCTCATGCCAAAATAAATGAAGTAAGAGTTGGTCATCATCATTCACTCCTCTTCTAGTTCCAATAGAGATGCCACTCTAGTGCCAACCATGAACCATTTGACTGTTTCTTGTGATGTTAGTGTTGTTATTTGCAATTCTTTTCTTTATGGCCATATTAAATTACACTCTCTTCATGTGAGGCTCAATTAACTTTTTGAGGTTGCCATCTATGGTTCATGAGGACCATGAGAATATTCTAAAAATATTTTAGGATCTAGGACTTCCTTGTACATTTGCAGAAGGAAATTAAGAAGTGGAACAACCAAAGTTATCTTGACACCTGGATTGAATGGCAAATCCATTACTAAAAAGTTGGTGTCCTCTGATTGTTGAACTGGTCTGCAGCAAAAAAGTGTTTTACCTAGGGAATGACAGTTTGTCTGCAAGTCACATGAAAAATGAATAGTTGTAGGATCCGTGTCTCCAGAGCCTCTTCTGTAAGAGGAAAGTTCTCCTCCACAAGCAGATCCTGGGACAATGGCGCTCCTTGATGCCAAGGAGGATGAGCCTCCTGGTTAGCGATCCCTCTTGGATGCTTGCATCAAGACAGCAGGCTGTGTAAAGGTGCTGAGCAACAAGCAAGCAGAGAAAGTTGGAAATAGAGAGATTTCAACACAACCCAGATTACATAACAAACTCTCTCAGCAGGAATTTAGGAAGAAAGCTGCTTGTGGCTGAAGAGCTAGTAGCAGAAGGCGTGCAGCTAAAGGCCAAGACCAGGGGCGGTGAGCAATCAAGCAAGGAGATTTAGCAAGGCCAAGAGGAAGCTTAGTTGATTGATAAGTTGTATGCTACGAGATTCAGGCTGGCATGTAGTTATGCCCAGTAATTTTTCATGTGACTACAAAGTCGCAGACAAAGTCGTCATTACTTCTTCGTACGCTTGTTTGATAAGCTCAGTAGAAAAAGCACAGACAGAGGAGATATTGGCCGAATCGTCCGACGCAGAGCAGCAGAGTACTGGTAGCATTTCTGAGCGAACCGACATCCTGCAATGGAGCCTCTGACACGAGGTAAGAAAATTTCAAACTTTGGTACCGCTCACCTCGATTGAGGCAGAGGGGAAGAGCTGAAGCAGCGGTAACAACGAGCAAAGCCGCCATCCTCCTCAATCGTCCTTTTGAAAGCTACATGGGACCCTACAGCCATAACTTTGTCCTGCTACTCACTCGACTCTTGCTTGTAGCTATGCGACTGCCTTGCTCGCAGTCGTGTTCCCCGTGTTGACTCGCAGCCGCTAGGTTCCTACCAAAGAAAATGCCGTCGTGACACCGGAAACTTCTAAAGAATGCGCTGTCTTGGTATTTATCTAGGTGTAAGCTGTACAGAACATTATCTCGTCCATAATGTACCGGTTTTATGTACCTCATGACGCTCCAACCGTGAACTCCATCGTATAGTCGTACTCAATTGTTGGAATGACCGACGCCATGAACTTGAGGAACAGAAAAAGGTACCTGCGCAAGAATGTCCACTGTCAACAAGCCAAGCAGGGAAAACAAAAGAGATCCTTACTTATCAACTTCGGGTTCCACCCCTCGTGACAACAAAATGGCGATGATCTTTTTCATAACCGGGGCATGGCGGCAAGGATGAACTGATGCATGCTTCCCAGCCATGTGTGGATGGTCCTCAATTGTAACCTGTGTGCCAATATCAGTTCCAATAAAAATCCCATCGTTCTCCAACTTACAGTCTGTCGAGCATGATCTTGACTGACATCTTCAAAGACGAGCTCGGGATCCAAAAGCATTCGAGACTGTGAGTTCAAATTTATGTCAGCAAACTGTATGTAACACAGACGAAAATGCTTAATTACCTCGTCATATCCAGTTAGCCATACTCTTGGAACTTGGAAGTACTGGTCATACCTGTAGTGAGTACCTTAAAAGGACTGAACTTGAAACTCTAGAACGTTAGCTTACGTGATGCTTATATCGTAGGTCCGAGTACGCAGGATATTGTTATCATCCGGCTCATGAGCTATTAGATAGGGTGCATGTACTGCAGTCTGCGTAATGAACTGAATTTGACGGAAAATAAGAGAGAGAAGGAATTTTCCAAAGTGAATACCTCGTCCCGCGTCACAAGGTTATCGGAGCTATCAAAATCGGACATATCCGGAACATCATCCTCGTGATTTACGTATGTATCGTCAGAGATCAGGATCTGAGGTCTGTCTTCTGTGTCCGCCATGTCCATGGATGGAACTGTGTCATCGTCGTCCTTAAGAGGTCCTGGAACTTGGCAATCAAAACATGAGCTAGAAACGAAACAGCATACCCCCAGGAGCTCCGTGAGTCGCTAGCCACCCTTCCCCGTCTTCTCCATCGAGCAAAACTTCCCCACCAGCAGCTGCGTATTCCTCTTCAAACGCGGCCGCTCGTCGCAAGCATGGAACTGAAAAGGAAAAAAAGAATGAAAACTCTATCCAAAAGCTTCTCAAAGGCATTACCATTCCTAGTGATCAAAAACTGCTTGTCTTTCGGTAAATGTCCCTTCTGTTTGGAAGGGTCGCCACTCTCCCTGCGAGAAAGAGGAGGAAGAAAATAGGTAAACAAGGGAATTTAGGTAGCGTATCATACCAGGACCAGGTAGGGCACTTGGCGACGAGATTGTCACCGGCCTGGACGAATTCCGCGGGAGTCAGCACGCCTTTCTCGACGAATGCCGAGACCGTGCGAGGACTGGTTATTCGCTCCACGAAACTTTTCATGCCCTCGTGCAATCGCTGCTTGAACGCCATCGTTGCCTTCGCAGCGAAGAACCAGGAACCCTAAACTCGACTTTTAAGTCTTCTCGCTTCCTTTATAATCCAAACTTTTCAAAAGGGACACAGTATCTCTTCCAAGTTCTAAAATCGCCATCACTCAGCGCCAGTCCAATCCCCTGCTGCTGCTGCTCCTCGCCCTCCTTCTTCCCCACCCCCAGATAATACATTCTCAAGCTCCCATCTTCCATCTTCACCACATAGGGAGTAGCAACGATCCAATTGTCCCACACCTCCTCCCCTCGCCGAGCTCTCAAGATCGGACCCCCGGGCTCGTCTCCGCACTGCTCGTCTCTCCTCCACACTAAACCATCCTCCGACGTCGCCAGCCCGATCGCAAACTCGTACTGATAGTTGGATCCCTCGTAGAACATGACGAACTCGTCTCCGATCCTCAAGACATGCCGCACGGACACGCCACCTTCGTCCCACGAACCGGGCTTGCCACACTCCAGCACCTTTCCCTGCTTGTGCCACAACAGGCCATCGTCCGAGGTCGCAACTCCAGCTGAGAAGAAGCCCATGTTGTTGTGGCCTCCGTTCTCTCGCGTGTGGTAGCTCATGAGCCACTTATCTCCTGCTGTCCGGGGAGGAAGAACTCTCGGCCACGATGCCCCGTTTTGATCCCACTCTCCCTCTTTCCCGACGCATAGCACCGGCTTCTCAATCCTCTCGAAGTTCAGTCCATCTTCCGACGTTGCGACCCCACTCTGGAGCTTCACACCCCTCCGCACGCTCCCAAACAGTGCCACTTCCTCCATGCCTGCTCCAAAGTAGAACATCCACCACCTGTCGTTGTGACGGATCACGTCCCCGACGCCGATATGCACCGCGTCGAACGCCGACGGATCATCTGACGGATCCATCACGGCTCCTTCGTACAGCGGGCCTTTGGCTCGCTCGAACCTGTAACCATCTTCGCTTGTAGCCATCCCGATGCGGCCCGTTGGCAGGAAAACGTTGAAAGGCTTGACACCAAAGTTCCACTCGTCCCTTGCTCGTCCATAGTAGTACATCCTGTAGCAGCTGTTCTTCTCACACTTCGCGACCACTGCTCCGGAGAATGCCTTCCTGTCCCACCAATTTGAGTCCGGCGCGGCTGGTAAAAGCACAGCTCCAGAGCTCCAGGAGTCCGCCATAGATCCTAGCTCCTCTGGATAAGGTAAGGTTGTAGACCTTGATTATAGCTAGAGAGCTGACTAATTAGCTAATGTCACCGCCTAAGCAATTCCTGTCACTCTGCTTCTTCCACTGTAACCTCAGACGTGCTCTCTCTGATCTCTGAACTGGACGAGCCCTCCGCATTGTCAGTGCTAGTCCCGTTGCTATGCACATTGTCGTAGCTCGGATAAGAAACTGGACTCGGAGACTTATGTCTGATTGCAGCATCAACTCCCGGTAGAATTGTCTTTGGAACGGGTGGAGGAACCCAAGCCCTGCCTGCGGTCTCAATCTGTGCAGATGCACTAAAAGCACCATCACTGCTAACCGTGTCCTGGTCCTCCATTTCCACAATTTTCACTGAGTTCTCTGTTATTTTGGCGTCTCCATCCCTCTGTCTCCACCATGGTTGGGCGCTTGCACCGTTTTCTGACGGTACATGACTCTCCCACGGCTGCACCAGAAGAAGATCGTAGTAAACAAGAAACAAAAGGAGATGTGACGCCTTACCTTGGTCTTAGGCTGCAACATGGAGTTCGATGCCGGCTGAGTGGGATTTGGAGGTTTATCATTCACATCCTGACAGAAAGAAAGATTGTTCGGCTTCGCTCCACAAAAGAAAAATAAAATAAAACATTTACCCGTATGCCTGGTGGCTTTTCACCCCGCTCGACCATGGCCAAGATCTATAAATTTTCACGTAAGAAATCAGGAAAATAGAGCTAGAACTATTCAGCTGTACCTCAGAGTATTTAGCTGATGGAGCAAACCTGTCGGGATCAAAACTGTAGGGAGCAGAGGAAGGCCTTGCAGGCTCAAAAGCCACTCCAGTAGAATCCTGAAGGTAAAGAAATCTGTGAATGAAAAGAATGTACAGAAACACAAACCTTTGCGTCTCTTGGTACTTGTGCTGCAGATGAAAACGAGAAGATGCATCAGAAAGAGACACCAAGAAAAAGGACGAGCAGACCTTTATAGACATTGGTTTCGCTGGAAGTGACATTTCCTTTCTTCTGGAGTTGGATCAATGTGTCAAGCCGCAGCTTGATTTCCCGCGTTTGCGCCTCCATGGACTTGACAACAGTGTCAAAGTACCGACGTTCTGTGAACAAACCGGCTTGAGTACACTCTCAATAATCAATCAAGAAGCGCAACCTTCGTGTCTGGAGCTCACGAGTTCCCTCACAAGCGCAGCCATTTCCGTAGTGGCAGCAGTTAACGCGGCAGAAGCCTTGGATGCCTCCACGTCCAGTCTTGACTTCTTCTGCTCTGAGCTTTCCTCGTCAAGAACAATACGACGCAGCCAAGCTTTCATTCTTGGAAACAAATAAGTCTGCAAGAACAAAGAAGGTGTCAAGCGCCAACACGGGGAAAAAAAGAAACCTTTGTCACGACTGCTGCTCCTGCTCCAGCCGCACTAAGCACCCCAATAGCCAAAACCACTTGTGTCCATCGAGCACCCTTTCTTGGAACCACAGCCACAGCAGCAGTCTGTGCGGGCAATGCCACAGCAGTAACAGGGGCCCCCGTTGGAGCTGCTGGAACCGGAGCAGCGGAAGTAGTAGACGGTGGATCCTGGAAAGAAGCTCTCAGTATCAAGAGAGGCATGAAACAAGCACATATATACCGGGACTCGCCGAAATGCCTCATCGATTTCTTCTCTGGTCAGGCCTTTGCGCTCAAGAAACGATCGCCTGTAGACAACGGGGGAGTTCTTCACCTTGGGATGGGAGAGGAAATTGACAGCATTCTGGACTTGATCTTCCCTCACGGGCTGCGGCGGGATGAATCGCCAATTGTCGCCTTTGTCGTCGCCCGCTGCCACTGGCGGCGCTGCCGGAGCTGCTGACGATGGCGGCGCCGCTGCTGGCGCCGTTGCTGCGGCTCCATTCACCTGAGCCTCCGCCATTGCCACAAACAAGGAAAACTAAGAACCCTAGATATCCATTCATCCACCGTTTAAATTAATATTTCCTTTCCAGGCCTTTGGTGAAAGTTTGCGAAGTATCAATAGCTTTGCATCTGGCTATTTCTGATCTCGCTGTTGAGCTGCGAGACCATGAACCGTATGTTCTCCAGCACAAGGCCGTAGTTTAGCTCTCGCTCCTTGGTCTCAACTTCTGCAAGAACAAAAAGGTGTGAAACTGGTCACAGATCGTCTTCTACTTTTGGAGACAACCTTCCTGGAGCACTTGGTTGCTGCTTTGTAACGCGTGGAACCTCGTCTTCAACTCCTCCAGGTTCCTATGCAGATCGCTGTCATCCAAAATCTGGCTGAAAGCCTCGAGCTTCTCGACTTGCTCCCTCACTTGCTCCTGGAGAAATGCCTTCTTCTCCTCGATCTTCTGCTTCTCGGCTTCTAATTTCTGCTCGCGTCGTACACGCTATCATGTTAAGTCTAGCAACAGAAGAACACTCCACGTCCACTTACCGCGCATTTCGCATCACACTGGGATCTGCTCCCATCGAGGCGTTTGAAATCTTCCATCTCGTTTTCGAGCAAACTGATGGCCTGCTTTGTGCATGATATGTCCGTCTCGGTTTTGGCTTCGAAATCGTCCAGCTGCTTCAATTCCCCGCGATGAAACTCCAGCTCTGCATCACAAAAGAAATAGATGCTCATCACCGACATCTTAGTTACCTCTTTTGTAGTTCTCAACATCTTCAAACTTCTTCTCGTGATTTGTTTTTGATGCCTTGTAGGTCTCTGCTGCCACTATTCCCTGTAAAAAGGGAAGTTTTGCTTCAAAGAAAATATGGAACAAAACATACCTGACTAATCAGATGTAGCAGCTCACAGATTTTTTGCTGAGCTTCAAATGTCCGCTTTTGCTGCTCTTCTCGGAGGCTATCAAAGTTTTCGATATAGTTTTGCATCTTCCGTTCTTTCTGTTGCATTTCTAGGAATTTCTCAATCCTTCCGCCTGGACCATAAACAAAAACATATGCAATATAAGATAGTTAGAAAAGAAAAGAAAAAAACCACCTTTTAGTTCTGAAATGGACCGTTCTGCTTCGGCAATTTTCCCTTCGTGGAAGTGTATTTCGTTCTCAAGTACTTGGCTTTTCTCTTCCGCTTTGATGATCTCCAGATTATCCTGCCTAATCTGCTCATTCAAAGCTTGCAACTTCAGGCACACATGAAAGCAAGACGGGTGTCACGTTACCTTGGACAGGAGCGCTTCCTTGGCCTCCTCAGCCGTTAGTTTGATCGACGGGTTTTCCATCCTCAATTTCTCAAGCTCTCCCTCGACAGTTAAAAGCTGGTCAGTCAGCATGACAAGCTTCTGCTTTGTAGGATTGGACTTGAAAACATTCTGGAAATATATATAGATCTTGAGCATCAATCAGCAAATAGCAAATCCACAACTCGCCTGTTCCAACTCTTCATTTGACGTGCCGATCTCGCCAATAAGTGATTGCAGTCTCTCCACTTCTGTCTCCAGCTTCCTGTACTCTTGCTGGAGTTCCACGTACTGCACCTTTGCTTCTGGTGCCTGCAAGGCTAAAACGGAGACAATAAATTCCTAGACATCGCCTAAAGAACCACACCTCCTCCGCGATCTTGTGCTCGATTTCAACATCCAAACCTTGCGCTTTGTCATGGAGCTCCTTACCTTCCCTCTCTTTCCTGATCGTCGAATCAGTTTTGCAGAATGATTTGTACACGAAGAGGCTCACAGCGTTCTCTCCAGAAAAAGCTTGTCCGCCTTTTTTGTTTCTTTTGCGTTTCTCTCTTTCAGAGCCTCGAGCTCCTCCCTCAGTTCATCGGGCTCCACTCCTGCATTTACCTGCTTCAACAAGTTACATACCACATGAAGCCTCCGGGTTGCGCTAACCTTTTCCATGACTGCAGTATAGTCGAGCAGCTGCAGCTTCAGTCCCTGCACTTCCTCCGCTAGAGCTTTCTGCCTGCAAGGTCTCGTAAGAATTGGTCCTTACATCCAAAGTCCTTACTTCTGCCCGACATGCACACTGGCGAACCTCTCCTTCTCCAGTTGCTCAACCTCCTCCACCATTCGCTCGATCTCCTGCTGCAGCTCTTTCTTCTTGGAGCGCAATTTCCCTACGTAGTAGGACCGGTCGAGAATTTGTCTGCCAGGGCCTAGAGCCTCAGACAAAGATGTAAATCAATGTTACCAAAGATACAAGGGACCAACCTTGAAAAGAGGATCGCATGCTTATCATCCCTTGCTGCGTGAGAGGCCGAGACTCTACCTTGACATCGGTGTTGATGCTGGGAGAGCCTGGTTGGAAACAAGGTGTAAACGATCCAAGAATGTGTAAGCAGACCTGGTGTGGCGGGGCGCCCCTTGACGAGGCTCCTGGCCGAAGACGGGCGCAAAGGGCTGTTGGAGGAGGAGGGCCGGGCATGGCGGCTGGACGGTATACGAGGGGTGCCCAAAGGCGATGGATCCGTGGACGCATTCATCCCTTCCCTCCGCTTGCCCTAATTCAGCTGACAAGACCGTTGATAACCATGCCTTGTCTTTTAAGCACAAGAAACTTTGGAGGACAAGGTACTACGCTGCAAAGGCTTTTTTCTTCTTTTCCTTTTGTCTTGATATACACACCATCGCTGGCTAGATTCCAAACAATACCACGCATTACGCTCGTAATTGTCCCGTTGCAATCAGACCCACCTCTCATCGATCACAAACTGGCTCGCTCGCTCGCTTGCTGTGACGAAACGTAGCGAGAGCTGCTCTAAAGATCCAAGTCGTTTGCTCAGTTGGTAAACCAACCATGAGCCCTTCAAGTGACTTCAAAGCAAGCTAATTTCTTGAACTTCGAAGCGAGAAAAGCTTAAAAAAAAAAAAAACAAGCCATTAATTGAAACAGACCTTCATGGTAAAACTGAGCGTTGAAATGCATCCTTCCTGTCTGGGGGATATAAATCCAAAACAGGAGCGGTTGTCAACATCGAAGAGCGGGGAAAAGAAAAACTTTAGGCAGAGTTTATACTTCAATTCACCTACCTAGCCGAGCCAGCCCGGCTCCTTCACGAATAGCAGAGAAAACCCCCATTTATATTTAAATGGTCCTCTCCTCTCCCCTGCTGCGACGAAATCGTTGAGCGATGGACGCAGCTCGGCTTTTGCATCTCTTCCTGGTAATGCTGCTGGTTTTGCACGAAGCAGCACAGAGTGCCACTGGGGTTCAGCTGCAAAATCAAACGCAAAACCGGCAGCAGCAGCAGCAATTCCTGAGTGTGGACTACTACAAGCGCACCTGTCCAGACGTGGAGAAGATTGTCCACCAAGTCATGGTCCAGAAGTTCAGGGAGGCGCCCGTGGCAGCCGCTGGGACATTGCGCATCTTCTTTCATGACTGCATGGTCCAGGTAAGAAGATTTCAGCTCAAAAGCTCAATGCACATATCTTTCCTTCCTCTCCAGGGTTGTGATGCTTCCGTCCTCGTCGCCTCCACCTCCCACAACAAAGCCGAGAAGGATTTCGACATCAACCTCTCACTTCCGGGCGATGGTTTCGACGCCGTTATGCGAGCCAAGCAGGCTGTCGAGAACAGATGCCCGAGGACAGTCTCGTGTGCCGACATTCTCGCAATTGCGTCGAGAGACCTGATTGGAATGGTACGTCGTCGTCCTCCACAGGGGCAGAAGGAAGCTGAGGCTTGGTTTTGCAGATTGGAGGCCCCTTCTGGCCGGTGAAGAAAGGCCGCAAAGACAGCTACACGTCGCATGCTGCCAGAGTCCCCGGCAACCTGCCTTCGTCCAAGAACACAGTTTCGGAGCTCATGCATCTCTTCTCGTCCAAAGGATTCACCACCGAAGAAATGGTTGCACTGGCCGGTAAGTAGCACTCTGAACAAGATTCCTTGCCTGGATCGATCAATTGGGAAGCTTGCTTGCCGAATGTCTCGGGGTGGGTGCAGGAGCACATACCGCCGGCTTTGCGCATTGCAAAGAGTTCAACGACCGCATCTACAACTGGAAGAATACATCCCGCATTGATCCCACCATGAATCCGCTGTATGCCGCCAACTTGAGGCTGGCCTGTCCCCGCAACGTGGATCCAACCATCGTCGCCAACTTGGACGTAACAACATCCAAGAAGTTCGACAACGTCTACTACCAAAACTTGCAAAAGGGACTGGGTTTGTTGAGCACCGACCAGGCCCTGTTTAACGACCCCCGGACGAAGCCTCTGGTGAACAGGTTTGCGGCGTCGCAGGAGCGATTCTTCGCGGCGTTCGCGTCCGCGATGCAAAAGCTGGGCAGCATCGGCGTCAAGTCGGCTTCACAAGGCAACATCCGGATAAACTGCGCAGCCTTCAACCAGTAACCTTTCCCAACCTGCAGAAGCCGAGGAAAAAGAAACCGAGTGAGATTGTGTTTGTTTGAATGAGACGAGAGATTGCTACAGAGAAATCACATGTGATTTGCTGCTGGAGCGAGCGTGCCTGGCCCCTCACATGAAGGAGGAAGATTGCCAGATTGATCAATGCAGCCGTTGCCAGCGACCAGAAAGCATCTGTCGTTAGCAAACAAAAAACAAGAAAGAAAAAGAAAGGAACGAACTTGAAAGGAAACCAAAAAACAAACGAAAAAGCGAGAGGAGCTTTCCAAGTTCACGTGCAAACAGTTTAGTCACCAAAGTACGTAGACTACATATATCTTACGACGACGAGCTTCAAACCAAGGCATTGAAGCAAAGCCTAAACCCTGCCCTCCCAGAGACAGTTTGGCTCGCCACCCACGCGCTCCAAAACATCCCTGATGTTTTGGGGCGGGCACAGGCCATGGCGCTGGGCTCTCTCCCACCGTTCTATCCGCGACAACCCCACACAGGGGCCAAACTTGGCGTCCAGATCGAATTGCCGCAGCATTTCCTCCACATCGTCCTCATCCTCCGCAACATCTAAGACACACGATAATCTCAAATTTTATTGAGACAATGGGTAGCGCGGCGGCTCTCGCCTGTGCTTACCTGTTGAGCTCGCGCTGGGGTACACCAGAGCTCTCGCGACTCGCTTCTCGCTGGCGCCGATAGCCTGATCAGCGTCGGACAGGATGATCTTCTTCTTCTTCTTTTGCGGAGACATGCCCTTCTTGCGCGGCTTCAGGACGGACGTCAATTTCGTCGCCATCGCTCTCGCAGCCCTAGCACAGCTACAGAAAGAAAACCCTAGGCAGGGAAAGTGACCGTTGACAACGTCTTTAAAATTCCAAGTACCTAGAGCATCTTTTCTACATGAGAATCATTCCCTGGTCGTGGGGCGAATCTTGCTTGGGCAGGGCCTTGAGGAACTGCGTGAGGACCTTGACAGCGTTGAGCGACGCGAGGTTCTTGAACGCCGACACCTCGTTTGCTCCTTCCGCGTTCCCGGCTGAATCCGATATGGACCTTATGACGATGAAAGGCACCTCGTTGGAGTAGCAAACCTGGGCGAGGCGAGAGGCGAGAGGCGTGAGAACTTTTGTAAGAACCCGGTGGGAAATCCAGAGTAAGTCAACTCACCAGAGCTACAGCAGCAGATTCCATGTCTACCGAGGAGACTCGAAAGGTTTGGAACATGAACTGGCGATACGCAGCGTTGTCGACGAAGATGTTGGAGCTTGCTCCCCTGAGACCCACCACGACTTTGGGTCTAATGCTCAGGCATGTTGTCGCATTGAAGCACGACGTGAGCTCCATACCCTGCGTTTACGAGGGTGGAAGGATGGTCGCTTACGAAATTCTTCTATGAAATTCACTAGGTACTTGCCTCGAGAGTTTTCGCGGCTTTGTAGAAACGCTTGTCCACTCTCACCCAAAACGCTCGGCTGCGCACTTCGGGAGTCCCGCTGACTTTCAAGACGTCTTCGGGTTGACTCCAGACGCTGGTGAGTAGATTCTGGCTGTGGCCATTGTTTGGGTACGCGAAGTCGCTGAAGTGGAGGTGTCCCAGATCCTGCGTGAAATCTCCGTTTGGTCCTGATGACAAGAGGTGACCCGATCCGTTACTAAACTTCTGAAAAAAGAAACGATCAAACAGAGACCACGGGAAACACAAGAGGAAAATAACAAAAAAAAGAGAGACAAGCAGAATGAACGCATGACATGACGTAGACGTTACCTCCCAATTCCACAAGGCTGTGTGAGCCCAGTATTTTGGAATGCTTATGTCTCCGATGGTCAGGGAATCATTTGCGCTTCCAGCAATGCCGTAGTGAAGCACTCCGTTGATATCGAAAAAGTCGAGCAGTTGCTGCGTGGTGATCGCTGCATTGAGCTAAGAAGAAAACACCACCACCGATTATATCGATTTCTTCTCGTGCTGATGTTTGATGCTTACCATTGCCGAGGCAGACTGCACAAGAACGACTTTGTGACCTTGAATTGTTCCAATGTGGAAGCGTCGCCCTGAGCAAAAGGAATGGGACTTTAGTCTTGCCTAGGCCTGGCTATAGAGGTTGAGAGAGCGAGCAAACTCACCGGCGAGGTCGAGCCAGGGAATGTAGGGGTGCGGGGCGAAGATGGTTTGCTGGCGAATGGCATCCATCTCGAAGCTCGTGGGCACAACCAGACCTAGAAACGGGCCCTCGCGTTCGTTGATCCGCTGGGCCAGGAGCAGCGCGCTCCTGTTTGACGGCAATGCTTGCGCTGTCCATCCCCATCCCCAACCCGCGAGCGCGAGCAGCAGGTGGAGGCGCCGCCATTGATGGCCCCCCTTCTCCATGGCCCCCCTAATCGGAGCTTTGCGTTTGCGAGAGAGTGTGAGGACCCGCGCATCCGACGGTCCACATCCCGACGCGTTGGGGGGTATATGCTTCCGGCCCACGCCAATGGGAGATACGTGGGTACGGCATGTTGCTAGGGCGTACGGGTGGGAAGCCTCTGCTCTGCCACCCTTTTTACTTGGGCTTGGCATTTTCGATCGCCCAGATTTTAATGTTTTCTCCCGCCTTTTGTTTTCACCTACTTGAAGTTGAGTGGTGGCAGCCGCGACGCGCGTGACTGATCCAGGGATTGGGGTGCGTGCTGGTGCGACTGACCCACTCCCTCCCTCTCCATCCACCACCTTTTTCTGTGCCCTAAAGCTTTAACTTGAAAATGCATGCATGCATGCATGCGCATGGTGGTTTGGGTGTCACTGGAATTAACGTTGCACCCACGCTCGCGATGCTTGCAATCCAACAACTCGTTCCTCCGTCATGGGAGGGAGTGAGACGAAACAAACGATAATGGGCGAGCTAGCGGCGATGGCTAAGCTAATTTTCCACTGGCACGAACCCTAAACCCCTGCCTTGACGCAACGGCAAACGGGTGGGGCCATTCATTCTCTCATTCTTCGCTTTGCTCGTCTTTGTTGGGTCACTGGCGGCGCCGGTTCCGTTGCCGACCTCTCTACTATTGCTCAAGCTTTTCTATTCTTCTTATTTTTTGCCCCGGCCTCCCTCGATCCATGGTCAGCGGGAGGAAGCAAGCTCGATCCTCGATTGTCACACAGGTTGGGCCGCTGATCCTAGCGCCAAAGGGGCTTACACAGCTCACCATGTAGGTAGCAGTCGAGTTAGCTTATTCTTTTCAGAGGAGCTCCGGCCATGGCTGCGAGGTCGAGATCCCCGATGCGCTACAAGCCGCCCACCTCCGCGGCGGCCAATGGAAAGCCCCCGGTTCTTCCGTCGCTGAATTCAGGATCTAGGCAGCCGCCATCGTCCACTGTTGCTAGAGCTTCGTCGCTCCCTCCTCCGCCCAGAATGCAGGCCCTCCCCAAGCTCAACAGCCCCAGCTCCACGCTCTCGGCTTCGTTCTCCTCCTCCTCCACCACCACCACATCATCGTCCTCCGACTTGGGCAGCGGCACCACCAAATTCAACAAGGAGAATGTCACTGTCACCGTGCGATTTCGACCTCTCAAGTAAGTGCTGGCTCTCTAGTCAATCAAGAGCTCGCTCGCTACTCTTCCGAGTTTATGGCTTTCCCATTTTTACTTTGTTCCTTTTGGAGCATCACAAGCTTACAACTACGTTTTGCGCAGCTCCAGAGAAATTCAAAAGGGTGATGAGGTTGCGTGGTACGCCGACGGGGATACGTCTGTTTGCAGCGAATACAACGCCTCTACGGTTTATGCGTTTGGTAAGTCCTCGGAAAGAAAGGAGATCTTGTCTTAAACGGGCTGGACTGCCTGCAAACAGATAAAGTGTTTGGACCAGCAACAACGACGCGAGGTGTTTATGACATTGCAGCTCAACAGGTTGTTAGTGGCGCGATGGAGGGAGTTAATGGTATTTTCGTACGTAGGCCTCTTTCTACTCTATCGCTCAACCTTTGTCGCCTCTCCCAGGAACTGTCTTTGCGTATGGAGTCACCAGCAGCGGCAAGACACATACAATGCATGTAAGTGTTTTGACAGTTTTCCGTCCGTCCCAAGTCATTTGGTTCTTGTTCTCTGTTGACAGGGCGATCAGAAATCTCCAGGAATTATACCTTTGGCAGTGAAGGACGTATTCAATATAATACAAGAGGTGTGGATTCTAATCTTGTCTTTTATTTCCTTGCTATATCCTTATGGTACTATGCAGTCGCCAGGAAGAGAGTTCCTCTTGCGGGTGTCCTATCTCGAGATTTACAACGAGGTTTGTGGCTGAGAAAATGTTAGCCGTGTTGGCTCACGTCTTACGCAGGTTATCAACGACTTGCTCAACCCAGCTGGACAAAATCTGAGAGTTCGGGAGGATTCTCATGTAAGTTTCTGTATTGACACTTAGGCCTGCTGTATATAATTCTGGTATTCAAAGTGGCTTGCAGGGCACATATGTGGAGGGTATAAAAGAAGAAGTTGTGTTATCTCCTGCTCACGCACTCTCATTGATTGCCACCGGAGAAGGTACACGGGCATAATCTGAGAATTGAAATATCTTGACAGCCTTTTTGTTTATAGAGCATCGTCATGTTGGATCCAACAACCTCAACTTGATGAGCAGCCGGAGTCACACGATTTTTACTCTGGTCGGTCCCTGACGTGATTATATTCATTCTCTTTTATTTGTCTAACGTCGTTCATTTATACAAGACTGTGGAGAGCAGTGCGCGAGGAGAAGGAAGTCGAGAGGAGGAAGTTACTCTTTCTCAACTCGTGAGTGTCTAGTAAAAAGGATTTACATTAGATGACTGAACTTTCTTTTGACCGACAGAATCTTATCGACTTGGCCGGTTCTGAAAGCTCAAAGGCGGAAACAGTTGGCTTGCGAAGGAAGGAAGGCTCCTACATTAACAAAAGCTTGCTAACACTTGGCACGGTAAGAGCAATCTGCTAGTAGCTAGAATAATCTTTTCTCTTTTGTTTCTATCAGGTAATATCCAAATTGACAGACGGGAAATCTTCTCATATACCTTACCGGGATTCTAAACTAACAAGGCTTTTGCAATCGTCCTTGAGTGGCCACGGGCGTGTGTCGGTACAGCTCTGAGAATTTCTTGTCATTCTGATATAAGTCGCAAAACTTGTCCAGTTAATCTGCACAGTCACACCTGCATCAAGCAGCAATGAGGAGACACACAACACCCTCAAGTTTGCTCATCGTGCCAAACATGTGGAGCTTCACTCTTCCGCGAACAAGGTGAGATCCATGCTAATATTCGCTTATCATTTTTTTCTCTCTCTCTCTCTCCAGATTCTTGATGAGAAGTCGTTGATCAAAAAGTACCAGAAAGAGATAACAAGCCTAAAACAAGAGCTGGAGCAGCTACGGAAAGGCATGGTTGGAAAACCATTTGTGGAAGGCACAAACGATGACGTCATCCAACTTCGTCAACAGGTTTGTTGATACAAAAGTTGCGAGAACATGTTTAAAGGGGAAACTTTTGCAGTTGGAAGCTGGACAAGTCAAGCTACAATCGCGGCTCGAAGAAGAAGAGCAAGCCAAAGCTGCATTACTGGGCCGGATTCAGAGGCTCACCAAGCTTATATTGGTGTCTACAAAGAACACCATTCCAAATCTTCCAGATCGTCCCACACACCGCCGGCGATATTCTTTTGGAGAGGAAGAGGTGTGTAGTGTGTTCTTGTCTTTTATCTGGTCTCTCACATACTTCCATTTTCAGCTTGCATATCTACCCGATAAAAGACGCGGGTTTATTGGCGACGAAGACGACGAACTTGATGTCGACTTGCCGGAATTATCATCGGATGGGAAATCAGAAAGTGCAAACGGCGATGATGTTCACAAGGATGACAAGAAGCCGAAGAAGCGCGGAATGCTTGGATGGTTCAAAACCAAGGTAAAACAATCTCGAAGCTATGCCAAGTTTTAAGTGAGAATCTTGTTTATGCTAGAAACACGAGCAACTTCACAGCCGCACAGACTCCGACATCCCTTCTCCAACCGGACGTTTAGATGACAACACGGCCACGAAGCGAAAGCCCCTCATGAGAGTAAAAAGCGACGAGCTTGCAGATGCTTTTCTGGAGCCTACTCAAGCTGGTGAACTCTTCAGTGCTGCGGTCTACGGTCGAAGGCCCCCACCTGTATGTATGAAAGCAACTGATTCACTTTTAAGGTACTGATAGTGGTCTCTATCACAGACGGGAACCACAATGGCGGACCAAATGGATCTTTTGAAAGAGCAAGTCAAGATGCTTGCTGGCGAAGTCGCATTCTGCAGCAGTTCACTCAAGAGGCTATCCGAACAGTCTGCTTTGACACCAGATGATGGAGATATTCAAGTAAGCGTTTACCTTTTTCTCTTTTGCATAACTAAATCCATCTGTTTATTCTAAGGTTCAAATGAAGAGACTTAAGGAAGAAATTTCTATGAAGAGGCAACAAATGCAGGTATTGGAGCGAAGGATTTTAGGAAGTGTAGAAAATGCGCCTGCCAACACGCAGCAATTGTCCCAGGTATGCAGCCTTTTTCGTTTTACGTTTTCTTTTTCTTTACCAAGCAATTGCTTTTCAGACGATGATGAAGCTTACTAGTCAATTAAACGAGAAATCTTTTGAGCTGGAGGTATACAGTGGTAGCAGTATACATTAGACTCATGCTTCGATTTTTCCAGATAAAAGCAGCAGACAACCGCATTCTGCAAGAACAACTGCAATCCAAGGTAACAAGGAAGACGGCTATTACGTCTTACATTGTGCCCTTTATTTCAGAACGTTGAGAACACTGAACTGCAATCTACAATCCACTCCCTCAAACAACAGCTTCAGCAAGCTGTTGCCGAGAAAAAAGCGTCCATTCACAAGAAAGCTGGATCTGATAGCCACAAGAAAGGGCATAGTTTCTTCGATTCGGAAGAAACTAGCGAGTGGCTGAATGACGTTGACTTGTCCCGGGAGCTGAGAATGGTTGAGAACGGAGGTGACGCTAACTTTGCCCAAGGCTTTGCTTCAAAGATTATTCCCGGAGCTGGCTTTCCTCTGCAATCTCAGCTGTTTTCACAGGTAGTGTGGTAACAGCTTTAGTATGTATATAACATCTTGTAAGTGTTGTTCTTTTCCAGGTGAACGAGATTGAAAAGTTGAAGCTAGAAAAGACGCGTTTGGCCGAAGAGAAGACTATGCTGGAAGCCAAAGGCCAAAAGCTTATGGACGAGGCAGCGTACGCGAAAGAGCTTGCAACGGCGGCTGCTGTGGAGCTCAAAGGCTTGGCAGAGGAAGTAACCAAGCTGTCCGCTCAAAACGCAAAGCTCTCGACTGAGGTGGAGGCTCTCCGCTCGAAAGCTGCCGGCGAAGAGAAGACTAGAAGGGAGGGCGTGAGCATGGATCAAGATATGATCCAGCAGCTGAGAACTGAGTTATCAGAGGCTAAACGGAAGGTGGCGAGCTTGGAACAGAACGAGGCCACTCTAAACAGGAGAATCGAAGAAGGGAAGGAGCGGGAGGCGGACTTGGAGAATGATCTCGCAGGAATGTGGGTTCTGGTAGCAAAGGTGAAGCAAGAGAAAGAACGAGACGAGTTCGAGATCCTAGGCAACGGGAATGGCTTAGAGTCCGGGCTGCTCACTTCTAAAAACAATGCACACGTCGAGGACGAGAGCCCAGTCGAGGAGTTGCAATGCCAACTTGAAGCTGCAAGAACCAAAGTGGCAGAACTGGAGCTCGGGAACTCCCAACTCAAAGTAAGTGGCAATTTAATTAAGTCTTGGGCCGATTTTCTTACTGACTCCTTGACATATACTCAGGGAGAGAACTTGGAAAGCTTGGACCTTTCAGCCCTTGAAAGTCTCCAAAATTTACACGTTGAGGCTTTGACAAGACTGTGCCAGGCCAAGGTTTTTCTTTTTTTTTTTCTCTCCCTCTCTTTTTTTTTGGTGTAAACGTCACATACTTGTTTTGTATAGACCAAGGCGCAAGAAAGGCTTGAGAGAGAGAAGCGACGAAGCATGGAAGAGCGAGCATTGTCAAGATCCCAAGCGGACTCACTGTCAAGTATTGGGGTCCAACACTTGCTGCTCGAGGAAGAAAGGAATGGCCACGTCTGTAAAGTCTGCTTCGAGGCCCCCACTGCCGCTGTTCTCCTTCCCTGTCGCCACTTTTGCTGTAAGTCTCGTGTCTAATCGTTCTTTTCACTGATTTCTCGCCATTGTTTTCTTTCAGTGTGCAAATCGTGTGCAATTGCTTGCACCGAGTGCCCTCTCTGCAGAAGCGGGATCACAGACAGGATAATCACATTCACGTAAGGAAAAAAAAACCAGAAAAAAAAATCAAGAAGTTTTGGATTGAGCGTCACGAACAGCCATACTTTACAGTAGCGCAGTAATTCTTCTACACAGATGAGAGTTCCCATATCAGAGGAGCTCGTTTTACCGATTGCGTGTAACACCAGAAACATTGAAAGCAAGAAAAGAACACACTCGAATTCTTACCGTGGTGAAATTCTTCCCGACAGCCCATCTTGGAATCATCATGATGTCAAGGGTAAAGAATCTAAAACCCATGTGTGCCACGTCAACTTTGCATATTGTTTCTTTAGGGCTCTTTCCTCCGAAGTCACCACGACCATGGCAGTGACTCGTAGCGGGGAGGCAAGATGGCTCCAAATGTGTCCGTGTCAACGGTGCGCTACAACACGCCACTTCCTCCTTTGTCGCAGCTATGGCGTCTGATCACTCTGGAGCGCCCGCTCGGCGGCGAGGTAAGGATGCCGAGTCGAGCAGCAGCTGTAGCGCCAGGCGATGGATTCTCGGCCTCGTCTTCCTCCTCGCCGCTTGCTCCATCGCTCGGATGGCACTCGTCGTGTCCGATTCGCCCGATCTTCCGCCGCGGGCTGAGCCTTGGGATCAACAGGAGCAGCAAGAAGAGCAGCGTCTCTCTTCGGTGGAATCTCAATCATCTTCGTTGGAGGAAGATCGAAGGCACCCAGAGCAAGGCATGAAAGAAAAGATCTTCCTTCCACCTCCAGCTCTAGCTCAGGCTCTAGCTCAGCGTGAGAGCTTGCGAGTGATTGACACCATAGCTGACAATGGACCTTACCATTCACGGAGAGCTTTCCTCGACGACTACCGCGACATGGTGAACACCATGAAGGTGTTTGTCTACCCTTGCTCCCCACGGGATCCATTCAGTCACATCTTCCTTCCAACGAGCTCGGCTCCCTCTGGCAACTACGCAAGCGAGGCCTACTTCAAGAAGGCGCTGGCGGAGAGTGGCATGGTGACGGACGATCCCTCGCAGGCCGACTTGTTCTTCATGCCATTCTCGATCACCAGGCTGCGAAACGATCCCAAGGTTGGCGTGGGTCGCATGCCGGCGTTTGTGAGGGATTACGTCAAGAACATCAGCCACCGGTGGCCTTACTGGAACAGAACTGGCGGCAGCGACCATTTCTACGTTGCTTGCCACTCCATTGGCAAGGTAGCGCTGGAGAAAGCCCAGCACGTCAGGCTCAACGCCATCCAGGTGGTGTGCTCCTCGAATTACTACGTCCAGGGATTCATACCTCACAAGGATGTGGCCATGCCGCAAATCTGGCCGAGGAGCGAAAGTTTCCGAGAGATTAAGACAATCGAGCAGAGGTGCGTGTAGTTCTTCCTGTTTTGCCTCGAGTATCTTTACGGTTCTTACGGTGGCCGAGTTGACAGGAAAGTTTTGGCCTTCTTCGCCGGTGGATCCAACTCGCCTGTCCGAGCGAACGTTGTGAGAACCTGGCGGAATGACACCCAGATTCACGCGTACCCGTCACGTATACAAGGATCTTATGCTGAGGCGCTGCTCCGGAGCAAGTTTTGCCTCCATGTCAAAGGCTACGAAGTGAACACTGCTCGTCTCGGGGATGCCTTCTTCTACGGCTGCGTGCCCGTTGTCATCGCCAATTACTACGACCTTCCCTTCAGCAGCGTTCTCAACTGGAAGAGCTTCTCGGTGGTGGTAACCACAGCCAACATTCCTAAACTCAAAGCCATTCTTTCAGGGATTAGCCGCGAGGACTACTCGCAAATGCACAGGCTCGTACTGGACGCGAGGAGACATTTTCAATGGCATGCTCCTCCACGAGAGTACGACGCTTTTTACATGGTCATGTACCAGCTATGGTTGAGAAGACATGTTGTAAGATACCCTCTTCATTAAAGTTCTCACTTATAACTTTTCTTTCTGTTCTTGGGCATCCTTTCGGTGTAGTGTTGCTAATCAAGCAGTGGTTTTCCTTCTTGTAGACAGTTGGAGAGAAAACTGTGAATGCTCACGCGAAGGAATCAAACAAGTAGAGACAGCCAGGTAACTTGAACTTTTTCTAGTTTGTTTTTCTCTGCGTGCCGGCCATTCGATCAACGCACTACTTATACTCCGGAGCACGTAGAGGTCACTTGTGTTGTTCCAGGTATCATGGCTCTAGCTGCATTGATCTTGCTGGGAATGCTCTTGGGCACTCAGGCTAGCTATAACTACAAGTTTGATGTGCAGGAGAAAAGCATTGCCGAAATACACCATGAATTCGCAAGGGGGCTCACGTCCCGAAAGCTAGTCGAGCTCTATATCGAGAGAGTGCGGAGACACGATCCTCAACTTAAGTCTATCATCGAGCTCAATCCCGACGTGTGGAAGCTGGCAGACCAAGCCGATGCCGAGCGCTCAGCAGCTGGTGGCTACGTCGGTGGACTTCACGGGATTCCAATTCTCCTCAAGGACAACATTGCGACTGCTGACAGTCTCAGCACCACCGCCGGATCGTTTGCCTTGTTTCCAAACACCGTCAAGGACGAGGCTTTCGTAGTTTCCTTGCTCCGAAAGGCGGGAGCCATCATCTTCGGCAAGGCCAACTTGAGCGAGCTCATGCACTTCCGCTCCCAGCTGCTTCCAAATGGCTTTAGTCCTCGGGGCAACCAGACAAAGGTAACAACAAATCCGCGTCCTTCGAGCTTGTATGACTTGCTGCTTCCAGGATCCATACTCGCTCGACAGCGATCCTTGCGGTTCTAGCACTGGTTCCGCTGTTGCCGTGGCTGCCAATCTGGTGTCCGTGTCTCTGGGCACCGAGACGCAAGGATCACTTATCTGTCCTTCAAGTCGAAACGCTGTTGTGAGCATCAAGCCAACGGTTGGACTTACCAGCAGGAGCGGAGTGATCCCCATATCCATCAACTTCGATACAATTGGGTACGTAAAAGAGAGAATGATGGTGGTGTGTCTCCTCATTCTGCGTATTTGTTTTGTTTTCCAGGCCCATGGCGAAGACTGTGGCTGATGCAGTCTTGACGTTGGACAAGATCGTGGGGTCCGATCCCAAAGACAAAGCCACCTTTGCGTGCAAACTTCCCGACTATGGATTCCACTCGCATCTGAAAGCTGATGGCCTCTGCGGCAAACGCATTGCCATATCTCGATCCCCGTTCTTCGACGAGGTTCCATCGTTTGAGGTGGCAGTGATCAACAACGCGATTGCCACCATGAAGTACGTAAGAAGGAGAAGAAGTGGTGGTGTGCGATGGATGATATAATCGTGGTTTCTTTCCTCCAGGAAGAAAGGAGCAGTGGTCATCGACAACGTCACCATTCCAACCATTGGAGAGATCATCAATGGAACGGCGCTGTTTCCACCGCCGCTTAAAGCCGACGTTGTCACGCTGCTGACAGACTTTAAGATCCAAATCGAGGAGTATCTCGGTGGCCTCTTGGAAACACCCGTGAAGAACTTGCAAGACATCTTCGACTTCGACAGGTTTTCACAGCCCGAGGTAATTTTCTTTGCTCCTCGACTGTGAGATTGAAACCCCCAGGATATTTGGCAGGAGTTTGCCAAGTTCCCAGACGACATCTTCAATGCGTCCTTACAGACCCAAGGCCGGGACACCGCCGCATATCAGCTCGCTCTTGCCACGGACTTTAATCTCACCAGAGACGGGCTGCTCAAGATCTTCCAGGAGCTGCAGCTGGACGCAATTGTGGCTCCCGCCGATAGCTCCATCGCGGTTCCAGCTTCCATCGGAGGCTTTCCAGCGATAACCCTTCCCGCGGGATACTCTCCACTAAACGGCCTCCCATTTGGAATCACCATCGTCGGGAATCGCTGCAGCGAGGCAAAGCTGGTGGAGATTGCCTTTGCGCTCGAGCAACAAACCAAAGCCAGGAAACCACCACCTTTGTTTGCCTGACAAGTACATTCTTTTGTAAAGGTCATGTTGCTGGACAAGATGAAGAACATTGCAAGGAATGCAACTAGCCACTTGCTAGATACTATTATTTGGATGATTTCTAAGCAAAACGAAGGAAATCCTCAGTAACCAGAGCCAGGAGCACCACCGGAGCTTCCACTGCCACTTCCACTTCCACTTCCACTTCCGCTGCCACTGCCACCTCCATAAGTTGGCGGCGTTGAGCAGTCGCCACCAACACCACCGCCGCCGCCGCCAGACGATGGAACTCCACCCGATGGTGAGCTCCCCGACCCCGTTCCTGGCGACGAGCCTCCGCCATAAGATGGAGTGCCTCCAGCTCCTGGAGTTCCAAAGCCGCCAGACGGAGTTCCACTTCCTCCTGGGCCGGATGGAGTGCCGCCAACTGGGCCGGATGGAGTGCCTCCGACTGGGCCGGATGGAGTGCCTCCGACTGGGCCGGATGGAGTGCCGCCGACTGGGCTAGAGCCGGAAGATGGCGGAGCATGTCCACCGCCGTAAGAAGGAACACCGGAGCCTCCTCCTCCCACTGAGCCGGAACCAGATGACGGAGGTGTATCCACATCTGGTGATCCAGTGTCAGGAGATCCCACGTCCGGGGCTCCAATATCTGGACCACCAGTGTCGGGAGTTTCACCAACAGGAGGCGTTCCAACATCGGGTGTGCCTCCTACAGATCCAGAGCCACCAGAATCACCGCCGCCACCACCAACATCACCGCCACCACCACCAACATCACCTCCACTCCCGCCACTACCACCACCCCCACCACCATAGTAGCTGAACCGAGGACCAAACTTGCCGTCTCTGGCACTCGCAGCAGCAGCAATGCAGATGGAGAGACAAGCCGCCAGCAGAACCTTCGAAGCCATCAGAGGAGCCCGGACGCAAACAAGCCGAAAGGATGTGTGTGTTGTGCTTCCGCCTCGAGAAGAGTTTGATTTTATACCCCGCACACTGTTGTCAATCTAGCTGTGTAGCATTCTAACGCTGCTGCTGCTGTGCTGCTAGTTCGTCTTGTGCAAGACTACGCCATTAAAAGTCCGGCGCCAGAGCACCGCATTATATCGAATATCCATCTCGTGAAGAGGTGCGCCCTGCTGACATTAAGTCACCGAATAAACTCGTCGTCCACTTCCTACAAAAGAAGCTATAAAACTCTGAGCCTGAAGTTGCCAGAATTACCTCTTACCAACCGGTTTCGCGTCCTCCCCTCACTTGAGGCATACAAAAACATATTTGGTGTCTGGACGCTCTGGAGCCCGAACGTCAACGCCAGCATTCATTTTCAGCAACACACCTTCTGCCGCAGTCCTATAATATAGACAGTGATCAGTACTTACCAATTACAAAAGAAACACGTACCAAAGTCATGCTTACTTCGTAAGACACCGCACTCCACCACCTTGCTTAAATGCCTCGCTTCGTAGCACGGGAAGGACGCGGCCCAGCCACTCGAGCCACCGACAAATAATAAGACGGTTTTGCAAGCATTGGCTAGATGAAAACTGGGAACTTGTTTTTTATCGAGCTGTTCCTATCAGCACATCAAACTAGTAAGGACATATGAAAGATGCCTAGCCTGGAATTTCTTCTCCTTTGTCATCCTCCTTGTAAGGAAAGGACGATAAGTATGAGGTGCTCAAAAGTGCTGCCTCATGCAGTCAAGACAGTGGCAAGAGCTTCCGATTTCCCACGAACAAAAATTGTGTACACAAGACGAATGGCATCCACCCAGCCGTCCACAGCTTCCCAGTTGTCAGCAATCTGCAGGCAACCCGAATGGTGTGAGCCCAAACAACCAACCCGTCTGGAACCTGACGTGATACCATGAAATGCTGGCCTGAAGGAGTGTCAGCGACGAAGCAACCGCCAGGAGGAAGGCTAAGATCCGCTGTTGGAGACACACAGACTATGTCATGCACCTCAACTCTCCTTGTATGTGATCCCTCAGGCGCTTTACTCGGGCTGCTGGATGCTCCAAGAGTCGGAGATCTTTGGTCCACTTTCTCCATCTGTAAACATATTAGCTTCCTCTCATTAAAAATATACAGCAAATCAGTAAGACCTGATACAAGGCTTCGTGATCCAAGACAAACCACTGCTTTATCCAATCGCTATGAGGTGCTAATGGGTTCCCAATCGGAGGTACAGTCAAGTATCCGACTTTCAAATATGGTAGAGGAAGCTGTAAGTTCAGAGAAGTCAAAAAAGCACTAATACAAGCTCATACAAGGATTTATACCATTGATCTTACAAGTCGAAGAGCGCTCCTATAGACCTGAAAACTGGAAATGTAAAACGCATTAAAAAACCAAGACTTGCCATACTGAATAATCTGGTTTCAGCGAATGAGCAGCTGCTATGTACACCGCAGACGCACTATAAAGCTCCGGAGCACTTCCTTCGTGAGTGCTAGGACGCCTTCCACTTCTCAAGGTATCTTCTGCTAGCCCATACTGCATGCAATAGGAAAAAATAAGACTAGCATCTTGCTAAAATAAATGAGAGCACACACCAATACAGTGCCGAGATTGTAAACTGCACGATGGAAATCAAATCGGAGACGTATAGCTGCTCGAAACTGTTAACGTAGAAAACATTTCAGGCTTCTTTATCGCAAAAGAGCGCAGTCACCTTCTTTATCGCAACTTTAACAATGGCACGTTTTTCTTTTAGAGGAACAATTGCGCCAAGCTCCTGAGTAAGAAGTATATCTAGATCAGTAAGATATATCGCAATAAACTGATGGAGGAAGTACCTGAAGAGCAAGTCCCCAGTTGTTCAAAGCCTGAGTGGAAAAACACAAGAAAATACAGCGATGCAAACTTTGAAGATCCACAACTTACCTGGGGACTTGTCCAGTTTAGTTGAACAGATTTGTCGTACTTTAGACAAGCCTAAAGAACAGAAGAGTAATATGCAAGCTTAAAGAAAATAAAAAATAAAAATCCACTCTACCTGCTTCCAGAGTTCCTCTGCTTCCTTAGTTCTTCCACGAATTTTTGCTCGGTCGGATACTGCAATTCCCCAGTTATAAAAGGCCTACAGGAAAATAACAAGTAAGCTACAACAACTTTGTACGTAAGTTATCACACCTCGTGCAAAGAAGGACAAAATCTCGTTGCTGCTTCATACTTTCTGCAAGCTTCATCTAGCAGAGCATCTTTCTCAGCAGGCCCAGACTCAGTTCCAATACTGTCAGCGCTTTCCTGCGGAAAACTTTAAGGTCGAGAGCAGGAAAAGAGAAAAGAAAACCTGGAGCACCAACGCCCAGTTGTATAGAGCATCAGCATCCTGAGGATTTTTCTCCACTGCAGTAGCATATCTGGAAACCAAACAAAAACATGTAAGAACGAAAGAAGAAGAAAAGAGTGTAGACCATGGTACCTTTTGGCAGCAAATGCAAGAATTCTCTGCCTGGAACGACCCTCCTCGTCTCCCGCTGCGATGTTTTGCAGCACATCACCAATTATACTCGATCTACTCGGTGATCTCTCCTTGCGAGCTTCATTCCTGGAATAATCGTTTGCTTCTACGTCCAACTGAATCGAAAGCTCTTACCTCTGCGTGGTGGTAGCACCGCTTTTCTCGTCACCAGTAGCCCTGACAGCATGGGCGTGGATGTGATCAAACAGCTTAGACTCATCCACATTGACGCTTTCCTCGTGACTAGCACCAGATTTCCTTCTCTCTTGCTCCACTAGCTGATGCACACCGTTGGCCAAGTCCGAGGCTTTGGATGCGGCCGCCGGAGGAGGAGAAGGAGCGGCTGGGGCGGAAGCCTTGGCCAATGACGCCGGGAAGGCCTTGGATTCAGCTGCATTCTTCGACATTTCAAGCCGCTCGTCGATATTTCCTCCTATTTCCACTGCTGCGACATTGGATCCAACCGAATTCGTGCCAGATCTCGCACGAGCTCGCTCAGATCATCCTGCCCTAGCCAATTCTCATTCCACCAAGAACCCTAAACTCCAAAGGGAAAACTTTGTGTTAAATTAAAAAATAAGCACATGTTTTACATTTGCGTTAAACCTCGATGTCTTGCGTCTCTCTAAACGGCAGTGGCACGCATTTGACTGCTCGAAAGTTACCAACATTGTTGAGATGCTCGTTCTCAATCCTGGCAGGGTGAAAAACAAGCAGTAAATTTCATCCACACTGTGACACAAAATTCTACTCTACCAGTAGCCTTGCCTTTCCTTACCTGTAGAAATTCCATTGCCCTCTTCTAAAAACTTCTAGCGAAGCAAAGATAAACTCCGTGACATGCCGATCCAGGCCCGTAAACTGGAAGTTCGTGATGGATTGAAGCCACGCAAAACGAAGTAGAGTATTCAACACCTGTGAAGAAACAATGACAAACTAGTCGCGACATTGTGAAACAATTGATTCTTGTTACCATTGAAACGAAGTAGAAGCTTTTGTGCTTGAGAATCAACCGGTCCCTGAGCCAGGCATTGATGGAGCAAGGCTGAAGAAGGCCCCAGTCGATAACAAGGTCCCAGTAGAGCTGATACAACGTTGCTATCGTCGAGGTGATTATAAACATGACGAGCCAAGTTGTGGTACCCTTTTTAATGTAAGAAAGCCGGCTTCCAACAGCCACCATAGCTGACAAGTACTTCCCACCGTTTGCAATATGAGCTCTGTTCCTCTCGTCAATCCATCGTCTAAGACACTGGAAAGAACTTTAACCATTAAGAACTTGAAACGAAGAAGAATGGATTTAGCTTTGAAAACCTGTAAGAGTCGCCACCAGTATGGTATAAGTGAGACGAAGTACATGATATCTTTGGAGCTGCCAACGCAAGCTCCTGTGTTCTTGGTCTTGAAATGGCCCCAACCGTAGTAGCAAATCACAAACTCCAAGTGCCTGAAGAGCGTTACCTGCCTCGAGAGAACTGTAAGCACCGCAGCAAGATCAAACGATCGGAACTCCTCACGTACCTGACTAGTAAGCTGGTCAGCTAGGAAAAAATCCGCTAGCACCACCTGTGGATGCAAAGATGAAGAGAAAAAGACCAAGCTTTAGAAGAAAGCTTGCCTTGTAAAACGGTGCGAAAACAATATGGCGGAGGCACCGCGTGAAAAAAGCACGGCTCGAACGGTAGAAAAGGTCGAACGGGAAAAAGAGCAATCCCAGAAAGATCTGTTGGAAACCAAACGCTTCAGTTCAGCCAAAATGGAGCAAAGATGGATTTCTTTTCTGCATTTGCTCTTACCAAAACGATAGCAGCAGGAATGAGGTCGACGCTTGTTGAGGCTTTTGCTTTGACGTGCGCAACCAGATGAGCCACCATTCCTCCAACAACGACTGTCGTGAGGCCTGTGCTGAGGAGAAATATTTCCCTGTGCCGGAGTTCTTTGCCGGGCTGGAACTCAAATATAAATGGGTAATTGATGCGTTCTCGTCTCCAAGCATAAACGTTGCAGCCATACATGTACATGTGTAGCAGTACCAGTGCCAGCATACTGCTCGATCAAGACTTGGAGGTGTTAGTAGAAGACCTTTCGAGGAAACAAAGAAAAAACTTTGAGAAACCTGGCTTAGTGCTTTGAAAGACCTGAAAGTTGGAAATATGGACTCCATGTAGCTAGACTCCGACATGGTTTCTGCGGCTGAGATATAGCTACCAGTGATGTGCGAGACGATGAGAAACGCAGCCAGCAATGCGACGAAACCTCCCGTAAAAACTCCTGCATGATTTCGCAATCAGTGTTGATCAGAGATTCATGGAGGGTTTTCTACCGAGAAAAAATGTGACCGTGTGGGACGCCTTTTGCTGCATTGGTCTCAAGCACGTCATTGCGTGCTTGCGGTCGTTCTTTGCGAAATGCTCCGTGAAAAGCTTCTCCACTTTTTCCATGAGATTAGCGGCCTACTCGGAAATATGCAAACCAAAAGTTGTAAAACCACAAAGATGGCTCGGAAAATCAACCTTGTCAGAGCTGCTAAAGAACGAGCTTTCCACTGCCCGCAAATAAGTCGGCATTGCTTTCCTGCCAGTCACCTAAAATCACAACCCAAAAAAACTTTTAGAGTTTTCTCTCGAGTCCTCACAGATTTTCACCTTGTCATATTTTTTCAAAATCTTTGCGAATGCCACCACGTTCAAAGAGCTGTAATCAGATGGAATAAGCACGAAAGGATCTTACACAGACTAACTTGGAATCACCTGAAACTCTTCAGCAATCCAAGGCCACGATAAAACTCGATGAATGCCAAGCGCAGCACCTTCTCTGCAGAGTGAACCTTTTTCTTGGTCGCGTGGATGTCCGTCTCTTGAGATATGTTTTTCTTGGATTGGTGTATCAATGCTTGCGAGAGGGACGCTATCGTAGTGGTAGGAGATGCCGGAGATTTCACGTCCTGTGGACCGAATATAGGCTGCCGTTCAAGCGAATTTCCCATCTCAATGCTACTGTTTCCCGCAGAGTTATCACCTGCACTCCTCGAGATGTATCAGCGCGAGATTTCTAAAAGAAAGCAAACTACAGTCTGTGCACCTGAGAATAACTCCAGCGTTTGCTTCGTTTCAATCAGCAGTGACATTTGCCTGCTCAAAGCCTCGGCTCTTTTGCAGTACTCCTCCTCCTTTCTCCTGTAAAACTTGTTCACGTTGTTAAGCTGGCCATCCAGGCGGGCAAAGAACATCTTCTCCTCTTCGACCTGTGAAATCGGCCCCAAGAGTTCTGTCTCGTAAAGCTCGTCCGGGGGCAACTGATGCACCTGGAGAACAAAAACTATCAAAGAAGCTTTCAAAGAAAGGAAGAACTTTGACAGTTACGAAGAACTTACTCGAATGACTTCGCTCTGGCTCCATGTCAAGATCTTCCGCCTGGTGAGACCGCTGAAAGTCCTGAGGGGCGAAGAATCGGCGGGCGAGGGAGAAGAGCCAGCGGCATCAGCACTAGCAGCAGCACCACCCCCACCCGGAGATAAAATTTGCTTCTTGCGAAGCACCAGCTTGACCTGCTTGAGATCCTTCTTGAGCTGCCAGTAATCGCAGTAGGCCGATCTCCACTCGGGAACAAGCTGGCCATCGAGCTGCTTGGAGAACTTGACCATGCTGGATGAAAAAGATGATGCATCCCTTTTCTCTTCTCTTCTTCTCGTTCTACTTCTAAATGAAAGACCAGCTCTCACCAAATAAAGCGGTGCCACTGCCAGTCCCACACCCTATTTCCCGTGAATCGATCGGGAGAGCAAAGCTTGCCTCCTTTCCAACCGCAAGACGCTAGTCAAGTGGTTGGGACTTCTCACTTTAGGGCTCCTCGGCGTCAGCTAGGGTTTTCTGACCGGCATGGCGGGGATTGGGATCTGCCGCTGGAAATGCGAGGCCTGGCCGTGGATTCAAGGCGCCCGCGAAGTCCAGGCTCCAGCATTGCCTCCACAGAAGCGGCAATTCAGACCCAGGATCGATGTCCGCAAGCTGCTAGGTATTGTATGATCATCGCACCAATGCTTCTAGTTTTTGATCTTTCCCGTGCTGCTGCCAGCCGCAAGAGCTCCGGAGCAAAGCCTAGAGAGTGCTGCTATTCGCGTGCCACAGGCGAACGCCATCCAGAACCCCAGAGCGACACACAACGCGGCGGCATTGGCATATTTGGGAGATGCGGTCTACGAGGTATGTTTGTGTGGGGGAAAAAATCGCTCTTTTCATGGACATCGCAGCTCTATGTCCGCAGGCATTTCCTCACACCACCACAATCCATGGACAAATACAATGCTTGTGTCATGGCAGTAGTTTGTTGTGAAGCTCAAGTAAGCTCTATCGCTTTCCTTTCCTATCCTTGGCTTGATGTTCGAAGAAACACCATTGTTGCCTCTCAGGATTCTTTGCTGCAAGAAGTCCTGAAGGGGAAATTCTTGTCACAGGAGGAAAGGTAACCGGATATCTTCTTCAAAAGGTGACTTTTTGTAACGTTTTTTCCATCGATCAGGGACGTTGTGAGATGGGGAAAGAATGTTGTAACAGCACACAGCCGTGCTACAAAACGAGCCGGCTCGGCCGTTTACAGTGGAGCCTCTGCCTTGGAGACACTCGTAAGCCTTCTTGCAGAACTGAAGTTCGTCGTTTACCTTTTCCTTTCTTTCCTGTCAGATAGGCTTCCTCTACCTGAGAGATCCCAGCAGATTGGACGAGCTCATGACCAAGCTAGGATTCAACAGAGACCCTGAAGATCTCCCGCAAGGACAAAGTACGATGGCGGCGACTGCAGTAAATACTCGAGCATGCAGCATGTCAACGGAGGCCAATGCATGAATTTGTCAAACGGTGGGTGCGTGTTGGGAAGAACAGGCAGTCCGGTGGAACCCATCCCGTAAGACGTGCAGGCCGTAATGAGATCTCGCATTCTTTTTTCTTCGCTCGCCCTTTTACTTGGTACTCTGGCCATTATTGTTTTTACAGTGAGCAGGAGCTAAAAAGATAGAACGGAAGAGGACTCCTGACCTTCCTCCTGCCCGTGGGGTCGACTTCTACAACAATCTCACACAGGTTTCATAGGTTCCTCAATAGTACTGTGGCAGAGAAGGGACATCGTTCTTCCTATCCCTTTCACTCGAGCTACAAGCCGGGGGTATGAGTCCAAATCTGGGAGTGGAGATACAGTGAGAGGATGAAAATCCGATTGAGCTTAGGCGGGAGTAGCAAGCGATTCACTTACCAGGCCATTTCATCTTCGTCTCGAATCGAAGACGATGAGCCTCTGCTCACTCTCCGCTCCAGCGCTCCTCAGCCGGGAGGACGAATCCAGGGGGAGAAGGAACAGGACGGCGGTGGGATAAGGCCAGGAATGATCAAGTTGCTAGTTTTGAAGCTGGATGGAACATCCTTCGGTAAGCAGTACGCTTGTTCTTCTGCTAGATCCGGCTTCCTCATTGTTTTTGCTTTGGTTTTCTGGATTAGACGTGAGTGTTCCAGTTGCGGCAACAGTCGGGGAGATGAAATCAACACTGGAGAGGACCGTGAACGAGCTGGAGGTGAAAGTGCTGGGCTACTGCGACATTCAGTGGTGACATTCATTCATTCTGGTTTTGCATTCATTGGAGAAAGCATCGTTTTTTTTTTTTCCTCGTGCAGGGAACAAGTCTGGAGTAACTTCTGCCTGTGCTACATGAATCAGAAGCTGCTGGACGACAAAGCATCGTTGCGAGCATTTGGGATCCACGACGATGATCAGGTGAGTTCATTTTGGTGTGAAGTTTCTGAAGTTTCTCTTCTTCTGATGTTTTCGCAGGTAGCGTTTCTTCGCCACTCGGCTGATCCTCAAGAGCCACAAACCACGAAGAGGAGAAGCTCTCTTCGCAAATCCAAATTTACTTAGGGAGAAGAATGGAATCCAAAACTGTCTCTTTTGAGCATGTATGTTAGATAGTTTGCCCTAGAATGGCAGCGGAAGCGATCGAGGCGATGGAGTCCACGAACGAGGGCGCCGCGGCAGCATCAGTAGCATTCCAGGTGAGGAGCAGCTGGCAAGCGATCCAGGGGCAAATCGACAGCGTCATGGATGTCATCCTCGATTCCGGTGATCCAAGCACGGAGTCATCCACCAGCATTGTCGCTGCGGGAGATCGAGATCTGTCCCTGGCGCCGCCTCCAATCAATCCAGGGCCCTGCGAGATCACAGGTAAATCATTTCCTCTTGTCCTGTGTCTGGAGATAGAGCTCTTTTGTTTCTTGGTGATGATCCAGTGGAATTCCAGCATAGGTTGTGCCATGTCCACAGCATTTGCGTCCTCAGCAGCTCGCGGCAGTGTGAGATCTACTCCCAGGCTCAATCCGCCGGAGACTTCGACTACATATGCACTGCTCGCGGCACGCTCCTCAAGGAAGGCTGCTCGTCCGGAGAAACTGGCCAGCTTTACGAGGCAGAGATCGAGCTTGTGAATGCTCATCCGTGGGCGGCTGTGAAGATCAGGGTGCTATCGCTGGAAAATCCATCGCGAGCTAACGTGCGGAAGATCACTGTCCGTGGGAGTGCTGGTGGTGCCCCGCCAACTTTAGCCGCTCGTGAGGATGAACAGGGAAGCTTTAGCAGCAACAGCAGTAACTCCTCTTCGCTCCTCACGATGCTCATGCCAAGCGTCCTACAGATCGTCCGTGGCATGTCCGATGGAATGGAGACCCGGCGCGCAGCAGCGCGGGTACCACAGAAGATCGAGGCTGGTCCTAGCAAAGAAGCAGAGCTGTCTCGACAACACGCTGAAACGAGCCTTCGGCTTCAAAGGCTGGAGATGGTCATTGGTCGTATGGAAGCGTTCCTCCAGGGGGCGTTTTCCAAGCTGGATAATCGGATGAGTAGCATGGAGGCACAGATTTCTACGCTTCAACAGCAGCCTCTGGAGTCGCGGGATGTTCCAGCCTCAGAGATGAGGCAGCCATCTCCATCATCAGATGCTAGGCCGGATGTTCCAGTGGACGAAGCTGAGCACTCAAACACTGCCGATCTTCGAGAGGACGAAGGCCTTGATGGCGATGGTGACGATGAAGACGACGAGAACGAAGAAGAAGAAGATCAAGAAGAAGACGACGATAATGATCAATCCTCTCTGAGTCTTGATGGCTCCGGCGAATCCTCCAGCGGCAGTTTAGAAACGGACTCTACCACTGCTCGACGAGGCTCGCTCTCGCTGGAGGACGCGTGGGCTTCGGCGCTGGCAGCGTTCTCGGTGGCAGTTGTTCCTGCCGCACCAGGCCCGGAGGAGAAGTTCGAGGATGCGGTAGCTGAAGTTAATGCAGAGAGGCCAGCCGACTCCAACGGGGACATTGGTGAAGAAAAAGAGGAAAGGAATGGAGAATCGGAGCCAGGAGGAGGTGACGCGACAACGTCAGCTTGGTGGGGAGAATTCATCGAAGTACCAGCAGCACAAGAGCAGCAAAGCGATCACCACAGTAGAGCAGAGGGAGTGGAGGTTTTGGTCGAGCAACAGGGAAAAGAGAATGCACAAGAGGAGCAAAGTCAGCACCACAGTACAGCAGAGGGAGTGGAGGTTTTGATCGAGCAACAGGGAAAAGAGAATGCACAAGAGCAGCAAAGTCAGCACCATAGTACAGCAGAGGGAGTGGAGGTTTTGATCGAGCAACAGGGAAAAGAGAAAAGCGATGGCAATGATCCGGCTCCTGTTGGCATGACTGCGGCAGGAGAATCAGCTGGAAGTCGCGAAGTGGATTTGATCGATTTTGAGGAGCAGGAGCCGAGGAAGAGCAACTTCAGCTCCGGTGATTGTCCCGGCGGATTCTCCCCGGACTCGCTGCTCATCGATTGTATAGACGGCGTTTACCTGATGGAGCAGAAGAAGATGGTTCCACAGAAAGGTGGCAGTGACGAGAGTGTGGAGGATGGGTTTGATCTCATCGCGTCGCCGCGCAAAGTGGATCCCGAGATTTGCACGGATCTAATGTTTTAACCTTTAGCAAAGATTGATTTTTTTATGGGAAATAAAGAAAATGAAAAGGCAAAGGTGGTGGTGATGGTGGAGATTCCGAGAAAGAATAATAAGAGCCGAGAGGATTGTCATCGCATAGTTCAAGGACAGCACGCGACACCCTTGGCTGCCAAAATTTCCATCCCCTTCTTAGCAAAGTTTCTGTGCACGCATGGAAAGAAAGCCCAAAAGAGAAAGAGCGCTAAAAACTCCTCTTCCAGATTGTTACCATGATTCGGCGATGATATGATCTACACAGCACACGCACAGCGCAGCAACGCGGAGGGATTCCGGATGAGGAAAGCGCTCGCTAGCAGCCGCTGGTGGCACTGGCGCTGGCGATCCCTCTCTGCGCTGCTGCTGTGGATGATCATCGTCGCGGCCTCCGGATCCAGTAAGTAGCCAAATGTGCTCACCGAGTGTGGACTCTAGGGTTTTGGTTTTCGTTGCCGACAGCCGAGAATCCATGGGGCGAGCGGGAGCGATGCGAGGCGCTGGTGCGGCGGTGGGCCGGGCAGGAGATTTGGAACATGGAGGAGGAGAGCGGCATGGATTTGGACGGCAGCCGCAAGTGGGAGCTCCAGGATTTGCTCTTCTTTCTCCATGTTCCACGCACTGGAGGCCGCAACTACAACCAGTGGTGAGTGCTGGAAGAAAAAATCCTCTCTTCCTTTGTTTCTTTTCTCGCGCCGCTTCCAATCTCCAACTCGATGCTTGCTCTTTCTCTCCCCTCTCATGCTTGAGTTCTTATTCTTTGGATTTGTTCTTCCAGCTTTCTAAAGAACATGTTCTCCTCAGAAGAGCTATGCCCTCGTTCTTACGACAAGCTTAGAATGGATCTCAGGTACTCGATCTCGTCGTTTGGTGTTCTTCGCTCTTGCGATCATACTCTCATTTTTTTGTGGATCCAGCAAACCAAACTGTAGCTTGCTATCAACTCACGACGACTACAGCATTCTCTCGATGCTTCCCAAGGCAAGGACGTCGACCATCACCAACATTCGCGATCCCATGAACCGAGTTTTGAGCTCGTACGAGTTCTCCGTGGAAGTTGCCGCAAGGTTTCTTAGGCGAACGCGATCTATGCTGAGGAGGATTGGTCCCAAGACTCAAAAGGCAATGAGCACCCTGGACATTTGGCCGTGGAAGTATCTGGTTCCTCTCCTCCAGCGCGACCTCTTTGAGCGGGCAAGCTCTCTCGCTGCCATGCTCCTTCCTTTCTAACAGATCGTTCCTTCTATGCAGCGAGATTTGAGAGCCGCGCATTTGGTCGAGCAACCACAAAAGCCTGCCAATGTTTACGACGTGCCTGCATTTGTCATGCCTTTGAAGGAGTTTGTGGATCATCCCGCGGTTCATGAATTGGTTCACAACGGACAGACCTTCCAGGTTATATTTCTCTGGAAATCGAAGCGAGAAAAAAAAACGGTTTTGATGTATTGGCAGGTCGCCGGAATCACGAACAACTCGTACCTAAAAGAAGCGAACGATATCCGGTACTGTGTCACGCAGTTCGAGGAGCTTGGCGAGCATGTCCTTCACGTCGCAAAGGTTTGTGACTGATTGATTCTTCAGTTGGTTCACCCGTGAAAAATCTGTTTTCCAGAGGCGGCTTAACGGAATGCTATACGTTGGTCTCACTGAAAGACATAAGGAATCAGCGGAGATCCTTGTGCATCTCGTTGGGCGCCAAATTGCGACCAGGAACCTCCACAAAGGTGATAGATATTTCCTTGCTCCGTTTGCTTTCTACTGAAATATCAGGAAAAAAACCACTTCCATATATATAAATGCAGAGACTTCTTCCACAGCAAAACAAACAGCTACATATCCTGACTATGGACTTAATATGAACCTTACTGCAGGAAACGATACCTCCTACGGGGTTTGTAGCCTGTTTCAAGTTGATGACAAAGCCTTCGTTTGACACGGTGCGCGTTCATTGTCGCCAGGACTTCATATCTCACATGGTCACCTCTTACGAGCAGTGCTCATCGTCTCTCAGGAATGCTCAGGTCCAACGCCGGATCATGTCCCTGGAAACGATTGCACCCGTCAACTTCTCCAAGGAGGTACTTTTTGTGCTTGCTTTGAAAGGACTTACTTGGACAGGAACCGCAGGCGAGGAAGACGATTCCAGGTGATACAGTCGCGCGAATACTGCAGCTCAATAGCTTGGACTTTGAGCTGTACCAGCACGCCAAGCAGCTCTTCCAACTGGAACAGGAATTTCTCAAGAACCACGCGGACGAGCTGGTATGAAAATGTTTGCACTCTGCGGGAGGATGACTGGCAATGCTTTTGTCTTGGCAGGAGACGTTTGAGCCCGATGGAAGACATGGATTGGAAGAGCACATTACTTCTTTACAAGCAACCGGCATTGTTGGATCAAGAGACGCGGCGGCCTACGTTCTTGAGGTGGACCGCAACAGGCTGGGAGTGACCAGGGACGCGGCAATCTTCATCCTGGGATGTTCTGTAGTGCTCAGCGCTCTTGGCATCTACTCTCTCGTAAATTTTCTGTCCAGGAGTGCAAGAGCAAAATCTAGAGGTGCTACCGCTCTCCAGAGAAAGTGACAAGTAGCCAGTGCAAGCAACTACAAGCTCCAGTTTTGTAAAAATCTGCTGTTGTAAGTAATGAGATAAAACGCGCATGAAATGGAAGAAGTATACTACTCTCACCTCACAAAATCTTTACATAACTTTCCCGCGAGTTCTGTAAGCCGCTTCCAAGTAGCACGAGTCCTTGTCGTCAAACTTGAGCGACGCGTAGAGCTGGAGAGCGATTATTGTCACAGGAAAGAGCCCGGAATTCCAGAGGATACAGGCTTCACCCGCAGGGATGAGGACGGCTTCGTTCACTTGCAAATACTCCTGAGAAGGAACAATCTGCAAGTGCGCTCCTTTCAGCACCACAACGAGAACGTCGCAGTCCGCCTCGTTCTCTGGATCATACGCCTGGCCAGTTCTCAAGACGACAGATCTCGCGTTGATGGCACCCAGACCGCTCACTGGCATCGCAAACACCTGCTTTCCATTGCTGATGCTCTTTCCCACGCCAGAGCTTAACAACGTCGAGCCTTGTTTCCCAGCCCAGCTTATCCGAATGTAATCGACCCCGGCCCCTGATGTTAAAGCATGGAGCTCCGAGCTGGAAAGAAATGCCAGTTCTCCACTCTTGAGCTCTTTCACTTCCCTGTAGGCTCTCCGACTACCAACGTGGTGATAGTTCAACGTTCCTCTCACCACCACCACTACTTGATCGTGTGCCGATGACTTGAAAGCGGCTTCTGTCCCTTTGAATGCTAACATCTCCACTGTGATCCAATCCAGCAGAGGCGAGCGAGCGAACTCGTAAATACCTGAAGCACCTGTAGCCCGTGCCCGTTTTCTCAACACTGTTATGTTGCTACCCGGTAAAATTCCCGGCGGCCTGTACTCCCGTCTGTCAAACAAGTCCTCCTCCTCGAAACTCAGGCGCTCGCTATGTACCAGGCCGTGTCTAACGTCGTTGCGACTGTCCGAGGTCAGGTTATCACCGCTCGTCGAAGTCTCAGAAGCTAGCAAGGTAGGAGGAAGAACTGGCCTGGAAACCAACGCAATGTGGGAGCTGTCAACCTCTTGGTCTCGCAGAGTGCAATTGGCAGGCACAAACTGAAGTAACAACGACGCCTGGAGAGCCTCGGTTGGATTCGAGGTGCCATACAGCAGTCTGCCGTTTATAAAATAGGCTCCGCCTGGCTCCAAGTCGATGTCTTGCACAGCCGCTCCCTCCACTTTGTCAGCGAGATACATGAGTACCACCTAGATTTGTCACAAACAATAGTAAAAAACATGGAGCTGCACATTAAAAAATCGAAGGAAGAGAGGGAAAAAAAAGTATTGTCAGGTCAACTTACGGATTCCAATTGCTGTCGGAGCTGAGGACTTTCGTCGCCGTAGAATCTCCGCGCGGCTTTTATCTGGTTCGCGAGCTTGATGGCCATTTTTCTGGTCATCGTGTGGGAATTCTGGACGAGACGTGCGCCGCTGTTGAGGAGCACGTCCACTGTCTCGCATTGGAAGCCCTCGAACTTGAGCTTGAGAGCTTGCTGGGACTTTGGAGGGGCGTTCCAAACTGTGAGCCCAGAGAGGAGCACCGGATGCCCGAGGATAGCCTCCACAGCCTACCAAGCCACAGACAAGTAACGCATGAGTTTGAAGAACACACTCCCAAATGGCCCAAAAGAAAGAAAGCATACCTCTACGATGGATTTGTCTCTGCCAAGCTTGAAGCAATCTTCCAGCCACAAAAAGCACGCTCTATCGGAAGGACCCTCAAAGCCCGCACGAATCATTTGCTCGCCCAAGCGCGGCCTCAACTCCTCCCAATCACGAGCAATTTTTAGAAGGAGCTCTCCAATTTGTGCGTGCTTGAGAATCGAGAATGGGCCTGCCAAGCCATTCGCGGAGTAATCGGCCGCCGAGAGCTGGGGTTGCCATCGCAGATTCCCAACAGCGAAGGATTCGTTTTTGGAGGAATATCGGATGAAGGGAGCCCCGTTGCCAAATGCATCATCAATCTTTCCAGCCTCCTCTCGATCTGTGGAAACCCGAGCTTGTCCATCTCGAATCGACACGGAGTACCATGCCTTGGCCGCCAAGATCAGCAGCAAACAGAAGCACGCCGCCCCGATCGCGAATCCTCCTTTCCTGTGCGCCTTCCATTTCCCTGGCATTCTTGGAGCAGCGCCAAAGAGTGCGCGATCAACACCACCCTAAGATCTCCCAGATCGATGCCTTACGCTGACGATCACGCCAAGAAGCAGCAAGGGAACGATAGCAACAGCGCTGCCGGCTCCATAATACGCACGATCGGCGTCCACGTCGTGTGGAAGTGGAAATCCCCCCAGCGTCGCCATCGCCGCGCCTTCTCTCCCCTCATCAAGATTGCATGAATGCAACGGAATAGCACTCCCACACACAAAACAAGTGTCGTTAGCCTAGCTATACCAATCCAGGGTTCGAATCCTGGCATTGGCACGAAGAACCCTAAAATCCGACAGGGCGCGAAGGGGCATTTCGATCTCTCTCCCTCCAGATCGCGGCCACAGCATCGATTCCTCTGAGCAGCTCCCTCGTCGACGATCTCCTGCGGCAGCGGACGATCGACGCAGCCGCGTGCGTGGAGCTGCTACGTTCTTGCGGTGAGTCCAGAGATGTCTCTCATCGCCGCTCGTGGCCACTGGTGCCACAGTTTCCTGAGCGATCAGATGTATGTCTGCTGTGGAAGCCTGGTCGATGCAAGAGATTTGCTGCCGGGGCTGGCCTCTCATGGACCCGGATGATCAAGGTCTTGTCCATCGATGGCAAGCGCTGCCGAGGCATTCCAGGTCTTCCAGCAGATGCTGCCCGCGGGCGTTCGTCCGGAGCATTCGTCACGGTTGTTAGCACTTGTTTTTCCTTGGAGGAGCGCTTCATGGTTGGATTGGAATCTGGGCTCATATTTGCCAATGCGGTGATCAATTTCCTCGCCAAGCGTGGGGATCGAGAATCTGCCAACAAGGCTTTCGAGAGATCGAGCCAGCGGGATGTGGCATCTTGGACGACAGTCATGGCAGCAAATACCCAGCATGGGCATCACAGGCAAGCTCTGGGGTTTTTTCAAGCGATGCTTGGAACAGCGCCGAGCAGCTTTGCGGCGCTTAACATCTGTGCTGGATTATCGTCGCCCAAGAATGGGGCGATGGTTGTCTCGCTCGTGGAGGAGTGTGGATTACGGACGTCTCGATCGGCACGAAATCATTCTCAGCGCAGTCCTCACGGCGTGCAACACTCGGAACAATTTGGAGGCTTACGGACGGAAGTTCCACTCGTGGATCGACGAAGCGGGCTGGGAAACTAATGCTCTCGTAGCAAACGCTCTCGTCACCATGTACGCAGCATGCGGTGCCACGGAGAGCGCTGAGGAGTTGTTGTCGAGGATGGACGTTGTCTCGTGGACCGCGGTTTTAGCCGGCTACTCTCAACTTGGTCGCTCCAAGGATTCGATCAGGCTCTTCAAATCGATGCTGCTGCACGGAGTGATCCGGATCGAGTGGCTTTTCTAACGCTTGCGCGTCTGGGAGCGATGCCCTAGAAGGAAAGCTCGTCCACTCGCAGATCTTGGAGAGTGGACTCCAGGCGGACGTGACTGTCTCAAACTCGCTGCTCAACATGTACTGCAAGTGCGGCACGAAGCTGGAGGAAGCTCACGCTCACACAGCTTTGCTTGCCTCGAGCTCGGCATGGGACGTTCTCTCCTGGACGACGATTGTAGCGACGCGCGCCTCGAGCGGCAGTCCGGCAAGAGCAATGGAACTCTTCCGCGCGATGCAGCTACATGGCGTGATCCCTGACTCGATCACGTTCATCAACACCCTCCGGCTTGCAGCAACGCTGGCCTGGTGGAGCAAGCCGGGGATGTCTCTGCTGGGAGCGTGTAGTTTGTATTGCGACCATTTGCGCACGACTCTTCCCGACGCTCTTGCGCGAAGTCCCCGGCAATGCCGGCAGCTAACATCATTGCCTTGTCCAATGCCTCTGTGCCTACACAGTGATCAATCGACGATTGATCGAATCCAAGTTTTTGACACACTCCATTAGAGATGGAAGGGAATAGAAACATACGTTCTTCTATGGGTTCCTTCCCCGCCGCGAGGTGTGGGTCTAAACTCCTTTTGAGCTTGTGAAGGGGATGGAATCTCCTGGTTGCAAGGTGGAGGCGGCAGTTTTCTTCTTCCAGCACTGTCCAATTCCAGCATTGCGATGTGATATCATTCCAATCATGAAACATTTTTAGTGTTTCACATGTGAGGTGACTAATTAAGTCAACAAAGTTGTTGACTTTAGTTTTATTCAACGCGCCAACTTTGACTTGATTTGGACTTCCAATCTTTAATTCACTCGCGATGCCAATCAGAGACCTGTACAGGATGAAGTTTGTGGATGCTCAACGAGTGACTTGATTTGGACTTCCAATCTTTAATTCACTCACCATTTAAAAAAAGACGAGATGCCAATCAGGGACCTGTACAGGATGAAGTTTGTGGATGCGCTTAGCAGAATCGCGACAATCGGTGATTCGCCTCGTCTCGATCATGTTGTACATGGCGATTGTGGTGACCGTTGTCAGGGATTACGGCCTCGCCCAGGAGGAGGTCGTTCCGGTCGAAATTCTCGGTAAGTCTGGGCAAAGAAAATTTCCATCAGGACATTTTCTCGATATGAATCATACATCCTACCTGAAGAAGGAACCTGGATTTGAATTTCAGGGTGGGAGCATCAAATTCTGCAGTCCGTTGGGAGAAAACTGATGAACAATTCTTCCTGGTACCTTGTTCTTCATGACAAGGAGCTCCATGTATGCCACCGACCAAAAGAAACCCGAGTATGGAAGACACAAAAAAAATTCTTGCGAGTGCCATCTCTTGCTAACAAATTTGAGACACTTTTCATGGCAGACCCTTCAACTTATAGCTTTCACAAAGTCCAAGTCAAGTATCTCGTCTCGTTTGTCAAGTTAGCATATAAAGACCAAAAACTCGTATTAAGCGCAAGCTCTCAGTGTCAAGGCCGCGTAGCGTAGTGGATCAGTGCGTCAGACTTCGAATCTGAAGGCTGTGGGTTCGAATTCCACCCTGGTCGTGTTTTGTCAGTAGCTCAAATAGTCAGTCGAACAAGTTGCTAATAATTGAGTACTCCCAGCGAGACAATATCGCTGATACTATATTTTCACCATGATGAGAGGAAGACCGTAGCGGGCGATACGATGGCGACAAGCGAAACCGGAAGCGCTTGAGAATGGTGGCCAAGGCGATCTTGGCTTCGATGAGTGCAAAGGCTTGGCCAACACACACGCGGGGGCCAAGCGAAAAGGCCAGGAACGCGTTCGAGTGCTTGCACGGTCCATCCTTGAAGCTCTCCGGATTGAAGTCGTGGGTGTCGTGATGACTGGAATGGAGACCGCAGTTCCCTTTGGGACGAGGATGCGAAGATGAACACCACCACCGGTGGAGAGTTTCGTGGAGATCTATACAAGAAACTTCAAAGCAACGCAAAAACCTTACCAGCTTAAGCTTGCTGATTGAATTGGCTTCTGGAATGGCACCGTTGCAGACTTCCTGAGCCTCGACGCAAGCGCGCTCTGCCATTCCAAAGCCAAGAGCACAGCATGGACCAGTCTCCAGATGAGGAGACTACGTCGTCTTGTGGCCAGCAAAGAAAGTCTTGCACTCCTCCATCACGGGGAGAGAACGAAGAAAGAAAAACTTTACCGTATTCCTTGGACCACTGGTGGCATCACATGCTCCACAATGTCGTGATTCAAGCCTGCCATGTCCCGCTCCTTGGCACTGTCTCTCATCTTCATCACCTTGCCGAAAGTCCTTGACGGCCCCTGGATCCTGGCTTCGAATCCTTGCGTCGAGCGATCTTGGCTCCAGCCAAAACCTGGTTATGATCGATCGCCATAGCTTCACAACCACTGCTAGCAGCACCAGCAGCGTGCCCGTCCATATCGTGGAATGCCTGCCGGCCCATTGGATCGCACAATATATTGTACAAGAACTTTCATTGAAACCCCCAAAGTTTTTTTCTAGAAAATCAGAACGATTCCTCAGCACCCATTGTTCCAAGGCGGCCATGGTGTGTTTTAGCTCGCCCCTCAAAGCAATAATCCCATGGAATGTAATACAGCAACAATTCGTTATCAGGGATTTCTGCCTCGGGGAGGAGGAGAGCGTTTTGGTCGAAATTCTCGGTATGCTGGTGGGGGCATTTCTCGTTGTGAATCATATCCTACCTGAAGAAGGAACCTTGACTTGAATTTCATGGTTGGAGCATCAAATTCTGCAGTCCATTATTTAGAGAAAACTGATGAAAAATTCTTCCTCGTACCTTGTTCTTCATGAAAAGGAGCTCCATGTATACCACCGATCAAAAGAAATCCGAGTATGCAGGACACAAAAAAAATTCTTACGGGTGTCATCTCTTGCTACTTCGAACATTTGAGACCTCCATTCAAGTTTTTCAAAGCAGACTCAGAAGGTCCAAGTCAAGTATCTCGTCTCAGTCAAGCTGACAAATAAAGACCAAAAGTTTGAAACCACGGGCGGGCTTTTGGTTTATCTATGGGCACTGTTTGCTTGCGATCATCAAGATTTATATTGTCAATCCTCGAGATTCTGGATATTAAAAAAGAGAGTTTTGAGTTTAAGGTTTACTCTGAAAAGGCTCCTTAATTCCACACCTTTTACCGTGGTTATATAAGCTTGCCACAGCTGCGAGTCATATTGTGGGTATGGAGCAAGAGAATTGGAAGGTTTTGCCAACACCGGAGCAAATTATGGAGAGGCGGCGCCTTTGGATACAGCGAAACCGAGCTGACTATTTGGAAGAGATTGGCGGGGAAACAGAGAAAGACGATGTGAAGCTGGAGAAACATTCTCCCGGGGCTTCAAACTCCTCTAAGAGAGTTGACGAGGAAAAAGAAGATGCTTGTCTAGAAGGCCACAACAGTAGTAATAGACTTCTTTGGTGGTTTTGTGATTCTTTGTTTTATCCTGTATAGTTTTTATTTGTTTTCTTGGAAACAAATGTTGAAAGGAATATTTAGTTTTCTTACTCCCAGAGATAATTCCAACTTGTAAAAGGTGCTTAGGAACAGACATGTTTCATATCTAATGACCTCATGGCCCAATGGACAAGGCGCTGGTCTATGGAATCTCTGGCGCTGGTCTATGGAACCAGAGATTAATGGACAATCTTAATGAACAATCTTTGATCATGCATTTGTGGAGACCACGGTGGGATTTGACGCGGCCTTGACACTGAGAGCACAACCACGACCACGGTGGGATTCGAACCCACAGCCTTCAGATCCGAAGTCTAACATGCTAATCCACTGCGCTACGCGGCCTTGACACTGAGAGCTTGTGCTTATGTGATCATACCAGACGACCAAGATATTGTCAACTTCTCGAGCTTTAGATGACTTTAAAAGGAGTAGCAAAAAGGCAAGGAAAACCAAGCAATGGCATTGACGAGCGCAGTATTCCTTTTAGTTTTGATCAGTGGTCCACATTATACTTGTGCTTCTTTCCATTCACAACGTATTGAAATTATTTGATCTTTCTTACCTTCTTCTTCCTCAAAACTGCGATGGAATGTCCTCGCCCTCTCAATCCAGGTTATGTCTATCAAATTTCCATAGAGAATGGCAAGAATTTCCTGTTAGTTCCTATCTCATCTTCCGGACCACTGCCCGGCTATCAGACCCCAGCCATCAACTCGCCCTCCGCGCGCGGTCAATCCATAGTAAAACTCTTTCTTGTGTATTAGCAAAATGCAATTTGAAACTAAAATTCTACCTTAGGGTTTTTGCGGCAATGGCAGTGATGAATGCCGCGGCGTCGTCTCCGTGCTGCTTCAATCCCAGGTGAGAGCTGGATTAGGAATGTGAGTGAATTCGCATCGGCTGTGGCAGGAGCAGCAGCTGCGAGAAATCGGCAGCGCTATTTTCCAGCCAGTGGCGCCAGGACGAATCTGGGTTCTGCGTCTCCAGGAGTGCGAATGCGAGGCCGGGCCGAGCAGGGATTTGCCGTGCGCAAGTAACGATGATGCCAATCGGCACTCCCAAAGTGCCTTACAGAACTCCCGGCGAGGGAACTTGGCAGTTCGTGGATATTTGGAATGTGCTGGTATGCTACTTCGTCTCGTTTTCTTCTTCTTTTGCTGCTCTAGACTTTGTGCCACTCCGTGACTTCTTTGCTCCAGTATCGAGAGAGAATCATTTTTATCGGGCAACACATTGACGAGGAGTTTGGCAATCAAGTGCTCGCGACTATGCTCTACTTGGACAGCGTTGATTCCAGCAAAGATCTCCATTTCTACATGAGTTGTCCTGGTGGAGACGTAAGCTTCTCGCTTTTCATGAACCTTTCATCTTTTCACTAGTTTCATTTGCCAGTTAACTCCTTCCATGGCCATATACGACACAATGGGAAGCGTGAAAAGCCGGATGGGAACGATGGCACTCGGCTATGCGTATAACATCGCTGGATTCTTACTTGCGGCTGGAGAAAAGGTTGAGTCTCTTCTGATTTCTTTCAACGCCATAAATTCCGTGCCTTGACCAGGGACTGCGAACCTCCATGCCTCTGACAAGAATTGCTATGCAACCGCCTCAAGGAGCTGCTCGCGGAAAAGTGAGAGCCTTTGCATTGATCATCCAATTGTCGTTTTAGATCTGAGCGTTGTTTTTTGCAGGCAGCCGACATTCAAAACGAGGCTAAGGAACTATCTCGAGTTCGAGATTATCTCTTCAAGCAACTAGCTGTGAAAACTGGGCAGCCAGAAGAAAAGGTAATCTGAGAAGCATGGCATTTACGCAGCCACGCATTTGTCTGATGCTGGCATCTCAATGCTGTTGCAGATTCACAAAGACTTTAGCAGGATAAAAAGGTTTTCTGCGCAAGAGGCTCTAGACTATGGCCTGATTGACAAAATCATAAGGCCTCCCACGGTCAAACCAGATGCAAGCTCCAAGGCCGAGGCCGGTCGTGGCATCGGCTGAAAGCTTGATGAATATCTTTTGCATTTCATGTTGCATACGTGGCAGCTGGCTCAATTGACGTAATTGTGCTCGTGTTCCTTAGGTTTAATCACTCTCCACGAGCAAAGTCAACAAGTCCGCGTTTAAAATCATACGTGGAAAATGCGAGGAGTGGACTTTCGCTCTGTATAGACGGCAGAAACTCTGGTTCCATGACATCATATTGACTTGCATGCTCTGAATAAAATGTGGAGAGCACAAGGCGCAATTCACCCAGCAAATGGCATTCATAAGAATGATAATGGTTTACCTTTTGATCGGATTTTTCTTCATCTATGACGCTTCTCAAGGTTCGCTAGGTGATTTCTTTGTTAGTCCTGTGAAATCAAGTGAAATGGCAGCTGCTCCTGACACTTCGGTGATGAGACGCAAGAAGGAACCACAGTTTCGACCACCCTGGCGCGTCACTAGCCCACCGCACGGGATCAATCCATAGTAGCACGAGAATGAAATGTATACCGTCGCTAAACGCCATCCCATATGAGTGTGGACTCTTTGATCTCGTTTTATTTGAAGGTGCAATTTTCATAGCTGAAAATATGCTCTGCAAACTGAAGTCTTAGCTTTGATTTTGGAGTGAAACAATTTGTGATAGATTTGAAAATGTTAGAAACAGTTTTAGAAGACCTGATCATTCAATATTTCTTGAACATTAGACTCCAGACTCATGACCTCTGCTCCTGGGCTCTTGGACTATATGTAAGTTATACTTCTCCCTGCTGGTTCTTTAGTACGTTTTAAACTTGCAGATGCCGAGATTGTAGAGCCCATGTTAGACTAAACTATTAATTTCACTGTACTCCCAGCTTTGGCCGGCGAGTTAGACTTTCTTGAAGGTTTGACTTGCAATGTTCCAACTAGGTTGGAGCATACAAAAAGCACGAGGGGAGCAAACCACAGAAGAAATGAAATTAGCCAGAGAGATTTTGGTGTTTCTTGTAATGGGATTGATTATATTTGTTAGTGGTGAAAAATTTGTTAAAATCCTTTTGTAACAAAAAAAAACCTATATCTGCTTGAAGATAATTTAAAACTAAAAACCTGACGATGATTTTGAACTGCGAATCAGACAATTCTAATCGCATATTTCTTGTGCTTTCCAGGAAATTAGTCCATCACGAATTTCGATCCCCCACGATCCATATTATATTAAACAAATTGTTGAACATTTTGCATAAATTTTGATATGGTTACGCTGATCTTGTGGCCGCGTCGCAAGGCTTCCATACAGTGTACGTATTCGAGAGCTGCACGTAACTTGCAGCATTTTCTGGTTCTAGCTCGATCAACCTCTGTGCTGCATGTTTTGCAACTTTGACATTGCCATGAACTCTGGAAGAACCAAGAAGAGAACTCCATAGCACCGAGTCTGGCTGCACGGTCATCTTCTTGACGAGGGCCTCCGCTTCGTTCAGCCAACCCGATCGTCCCAAGAGATCAATAAGGCAGCCATAGTGCTCAATACCAGCGGCCAGGCCAAGCTCCTGAGTCATGGCTATGAAGAAGTAGCAAGCGTCCTCTACAATGCCCGCATGGCTACATGCCGAGAGCACATTTATGAAAGTCACTTCATCCGGCTTGACGCCTTCCTGTTGCATCCTCTCGAAGATCTTCCGGGCATGCTCCATCTCCCCGTGCTGAGCGTATCCAGTTATTACGGCCGTCCAGGAGTTCACCATGGTCTTGTCGTCCATGGCTTCGAAGATCCGCCGTGCAAGCTTGAGGCTCCCACACTTGCCATAGAAGTTAATGAGAGAGCTCTGGACGAGGGGGATCGAGGAGCAGCCAGTTTCGGCGATGGTGGCGTGAATTGCCTTTCCAACAGGCAGAGTTGCAAGGCTCGAGCAGGAAGTGAGAGCCGCGACGAAGGTGGTGGGGCTTGGCTTCATGCCTTCGAGGAGGATCCGGTGGTAGAGCTCGAGAGATTTTCTCCACAGACCGAGCTGGGAGTATGCTGACACCATTACCGTGCCGGCTATCACGTCCCAGCAGTAGTCCAGCTCCTCGAATGTCTTCTCTACGTCTTGCAAGCTCCCGGACTTCCCAAACAGGTTGAGCAACGCGTTCTTCACGGCAAAGTCCGGCTCGTGGCCACTTTGAGCCACCAAGCAGCGAACCAGCGCTACTTCCTCGGGTGGCAGAGCTTGCGAATTTGCGCAGGCGTTGAGAACCGTGACGAACGTGACTTTGTTCGGTTTGGTGCCATCCAGCAACATCTGCTTGAATAGATGCAATGCTGCTCTCGAGTCTCCAGCGTCGGAGTATCCTCCGATGATAGCAGTCCAGAGAACGACGCCCCTCCTCGAGTGCTTGGCAAAGATCCTGTGAGCTTCTTCCAGCCCTCCACACTTGCAGTACATATCAACGAGAGCGCTGACGACGACATCAGTGGATTCGTAACCGGTTCCAACGAGGTTGGCATGAATCATCCGGCCTCGCTCCAAGAAACTCTCGCTGCAAGCGTTGAGAACCGTGGTAAAGGTGACGTTCGTGGGACGAAAGCCTTCCAGCTGCATCCGGGTGGTACAACTCAAAGGCAAGGTCGCAGTAGCCATTGACAGAGTACGCTGCGATCAAGCTGTTCCAGGATACAACA